ATTCAGGAGACAATACGAGGACGTGGAAACGCGTCCGCCGCGACTGCCGGTCGTAAGTATTGTGCCTCTCGTGGTTTGGGACTCACGAGACGGCATCAGAGCCAGTAAGACAACCTCACCACATGTGCAAGACAATTTGCAGCATACAAACGCACAGTCGCTGGCCGGCGAGATGGAAGCACACGGAGAAAAGAGTTGAATTTACTCTGATAAACTGGGATCTCTATGAGGAAGTTACTGACTGTGCTGGACAATTTGTATACTTTTGTGCAACTTCTGTGAGCAATCTCAAAAGACAAGAGAGTTTTTAATCTATTTTTCATCCACAAAAGTATTCTTTTTATTCAAAATCTTATAGTTTCTCTAAAACCTATGGTATTCTGAGTAGGAAATGTTTCAAAATTCGCAACATTTCTGTGTTCTAATCTTTTTTCATCTCAATTGAAGCATTTCTTATAAAATAATACTCAAATTGCTCTTCTAAATCATGTCATGAAATTAAACAAAACTTGGCAAATGAATAATTCTGAGGTGAAACAAACACAGTAAAATATACTAAAATCAAACATAACATCAAAAGTGTCTTTCAGATTAAAAAAAATTCATTTAAAGAATTTTCTCGACAGGTTTTGGGTTAAAATCCGAATTGTGCCCGTTAAAATATTTTCAGAGCTTCTTTGCGTCTTTCTTCTTTTAAATTGCTTAATTTTATTTTCAAATAACAAATAAATTGTCCGTTTGTCAATTTTATTAAAATATGTTTTTCCCTTAACTTTTTAGCTGATAATCTCCCAATTTTCCTTGGATTACTTATGAGATTCATTTCAAAAACAATTGAAACAGTCAGTCAAGTATTAGATCATTAACTAAGTCTAACCAAGATTAAACTCCAACCACAATCTTTTATAGGAAAGTCACGCAGCATTCGCGATGATTATTATTGCTGTTCAGGTGGTGAAATGTCTCCATCAAGACACAGCTGCGCCCTTTGTTATGACTGCGGACAAAGAAACTTTCGGAGTTATGTAAGCGGGCGATATCAGCGCGGCGCGCGTACAAGCGCGGCCGGCGACTGTCGGCTCTCAACCATTTCACATACAAGTGGTCCCGCGGAGCCTTTGGAGACACGGAAAAATGTGTTGGAGAAACCAGTTAGACGTGCACCCAGGCAATCATATACCACAAATACGACAGCGAGACGCGGAGGTAAACAGCGAGCAATCGTCCAATATCTCGTCAGACGGGGAGAGGCTCGAGAGTTTTGGGCATCATGAAGAGACTCTCCATTAGGCGGGCATTAAGGCTCGCCATATGGATATAGCCAGAGCGTTCTGTAAGTGGCGTTGCATGACTGAAATTTAAAATTTTCAAATAGATACAATACCTGATACAGTTCATAAGAGGGAATTGTACATTTCGGATCGCGCTCACACTCTAATCGCGAACCCAAGTGACGGTGGACGGCTGAATCGCGCGGCCTGAGAGCCGATTAAATCACAAAAATGAGAAAGTTATCGAAACACGATTTGAAAATTTTTCCAACTGGCGCGCAAAAGTATGAAAGGGGCAAAACCTTCGATCTGATTGATTAGCAATGCCGGAGTGTATTTCAGCCACTCTGTGGCACAGAAGGGCAATATCCGCGATGTCCCAGAAAGTGGTGCAATTGAGTGGCGAGAAGAGATCATTCTCATTTGCCTGTCGTGGCGTGAATTGCGCCCATAAAATTACTTCACGAACACCCATGTTTTATGGCTTTTTCCACCCCCCCGAAACAGGAGAGCCATTCGATGAAATTTTATTTATTCCAATACACATTAATCTCTCACCCCTCGAGTCCCCTTTTCGGGCATTGGCATGCCCTTTTTCTAATGCCAACTCCCCGGGAAATGGGGAATTTCCGTGTCTTTTCCCTCAGCGCGCGACTTGCCAGTTATTTCTGGTTACACAAAGAAAGGCTAAAATGCGCAGAGATATTAAGAAGGAGATAAGAATGTTCTCGATTAGGGACCTAGTTTGTAAGTCACTATCTCTTCGTGAAGTTCAATGTCCAGGAAGAAGGTATGAATAGGGAGCGCAATGGTGGCCAAAAATCGTGTGAAAGTGTTAATTTACTCCCACAGAAGAAGGCCTCAAGAGTCTATGAAAGATGCCTGTCAGCAAAAACTCACCTCATCTTTAAGGCATTAGGCTTGCCCGAGTGCTGAGGAACACGCGTAATTCGCCCTCACCAAATCAAAATACAATTTACTGCATCGCCGCGCTGAGATTTTCAAAATATCACAGCTATCGCAATGTGTTCATGGGCAGCACATCAAAGTTCAATACATTGCTTCCATACAACTGCCAATGACTCCTAAACACAATTAACCTCAGCAAATTGAGTGCGGTTTCTGCTCGTGAGACACCCCAGAGAGTCCAGACAATATTGCTTCCGGCCTCTTCGGGTGGAGCACACGGCAAAGAGCTGGCGCATTCGCCTCGTGGCCTTTCGTGTGTGCTGCAATTGCTTTTCCACCTCACTTCTGTGATCGACCAGAAGACTCTAGAGCTCGTTTCACAAGGAAATGGGATGCGAAGTGCACAGATTGAGACCAAATCATCCTTAGTTCGGTCTCGAACGTTTCGAATCAATTGGAAACCGATTGTGTTACCGCATCAGCAGACAGAGAAACATTTCTAAGCGTTGTTTTCTGATGATAATAGTCTCAATCGAAAGGCAATGGTTTAATTGGTGGATAAAAGCATAGTTTGGCGCAATAAAATAGGTTTAATTGCCTCAAAATAGTACAAATAGAAACAATGTCCCATCGGGCACCCCAAATATTGAAGGTTTCCAGCAGTTTTTTGACAACAGTATCAATAATTTTTCCTCCAGAACATTTTTTCATTCCTCTCTGATCTTTTTACAATCTATAAGGATGTGTGAAGTGGAAAATGATGAAGAAAGAACAGAGAAAAATTGGCGCCATTTTTTAAAACGAGAATCTGGCAACCCGTTCCAGCACTTTCAGACCAAATGATCGTGTCTGATAAGTCTGTTAGACATCGCAAAATCGGCTTTTGTGCCGTGATTCAGTAGTCTTTAACTCTTAACAATCTTTGTCACATTCCGCGTTGCTCCCCAGAAATCTCATCATCGCTTAAAACCAAGCAAAGCGCGGGCGTTTCTCCACACTTTTTCGCCACTGCCTTAATTGTACGGTAATTTTGTGGAGGAAAGGAAGGTGGTCTAGGCAAAAATACAAAAATACTTGATTTGGTGGTGCAGAGAAAAAGCTTTTCCTTCTTTCTCCCCACAAACCCATTCTCTCTCTCTCTCCCTTTTACTTCGACGTCTCGAGCAATGAGCAATTTTACTTTTCTCTGTGCTCGTGTAACTGGAGGAACTGCGCGCACAAAACCAGAAGCTTAATGACTTTTTCGAGACACTCCTTTTTTCACAATCTCTCTTTCATTATCGTGCCCAGTGTAGATTTGGCTGTGTGTGCGGCTCAGGTGTGAAGTACTGCCCATGATTGAAAGTTTAAGTAAATGCGAGATGAAGTGTGGCAGATTAGATGGAAGAGCGACAAATGTGCTTCCTGAATTTATATATTTTTTTTCAGATGCGACTTAATGCCGCGCGGTTCGATGTTCGGGATTGCGCAAGCGAACGACTTGAGAGTGCGCTGGTCATGCTGAGGCTAGAAGAATAGCCGCGGAGGGTTCTAATTAGGCAAAGGGGCATGATTGTGCGCTTTATTGCAAAATCTGCGCCATTGAATCCGCCGCGCTTGCTATTGAGATGTTCAGAGAAAGGGAATAATTGTTGAATATCTATTTAGATTCTCGCTTTGTTCTCACAAAGGAAACGCGCGCGCGCGCGCGGGGAAAGATATGCGGCAATAATTGCTACATATCCAACTTTGATGAATGATTTTCTCTCACAGACATTTTGGAGGTGAATTCCTTCCACTGCAAATGACCTTTCTTGTGAATCCACCTCGAGGCCGAGCATATCGCCCCAACTTATTGGCCATCGCAGGAAGAATCGCGCGGCTGCGCGAGTGTGAGATGAATTCCACCGTATGCAAGATCGTCTTGTGTATCGCCATATTTACACCTAACAAAGTTCACCATCGCGCGCCTGTGAAAAACGTGCTGAAGAAGAGCAATAGATGATGGACGGCTGAGAGAAATAAAAATCCGTACAATACAATTAAGCCGATCACGTAATGTTACCCCAGAGATTTCCAGTTTTCCAGCCAAATCCAATCGCATGAGACGCCAAACTTCGACAGTTGAACTCAGATAAATTACATGTGGTACTATTCCTTCCACAAAAGCGAATGCTCATTTGCCAGTCTATTATTTTCAGAACTCTTGTGCCGCACAGCGATGAAAATGAGGCATAGAGACGAAAGAATGGAAATGCAGAGGGAGATTATGAAGTGGGAACTTACAGACACACAGAGCCATAAACTGCTAAGAATATCGTGTGAAGATAACAGAAAATGAAGCTTGTCCATCATAGAAGTATCAATTAATGCCGATCGCGTGTTGATTTAACTCGACTTTACCACTAAGACAGCACAGATTCTCCTTTAACCTCTCGGATATTTTTCTCAAAAAATCCCTCTTTGCCATCTTTGGCCTCCCAATAACCTCTTGGTTCTTGCACGCTCATCAAGGTTCTGTGGCGCATTTCTCTTGCTTTTCCGCATGTTTTCTCGCTGCTTTTCAGCTTCACAGCACTTTAATCTCAACAAAAATATCTTGCTTCCTTTCCATTTCACCAATTTTTCACCTTAAAAAAAAGCTCTTTTGTTGTCAAACGTGTTCTGTTGTTTTCCTTCGAAGGTCATTTACCGCCACTAAGTTGCCAGCAAACGCAGATTGTTGAGCTATGAATCATGATTTGCGATCTCTCTGTGATTTCAGGAACATTCACAGAGCAATTTTGTGTCGTTAAGCAGCAAAATTTAGCTGATAAATCACCAAGCAAAACAGTCGTGAAATTTTATTATCATTGTTATATTAAAAAAGAAAAACTCTGCTTTCTCTGTATGAATATAAATTCTTTGTACGCTACAATATAATTGAATACGAACTGCAGGGAAACACTTCCTTGGCGTAAATTTGAGGAGTAGCATTACTACATAAAATTTATATAATGAATATGTTTGGTAGTCATTAGTAATATGAATATTAATTTCTCCATTACTCTATACATAAAACTAGAGCAAATTAGTGTGTTTGTCCAGCAATTCCACAAATCACGGGACAAGCCAATTTGGCGGAAAAGAAAAACTGTTGAGAAAGTAAATTTGAGTTTGGTGAAATGATTATTAGAGGAATGATTTGAGATTCGGGCAATCAATTTAAATTGTTACTTTTACACCACATTGTAGCAAATATTCACACGTTATTCCCAGTGCTAATGAAATTTCACCGATTTATTTCGTTACACTCTGTTGAATAACCTTATCTGAGTTGCCAATAAACGGCGATTTGTTCACTTTTTTTCCTTCTTTCATGCAAAACAGCGGCAAAAATTTAAAAAAAAAATCTCTCTGTAAAATTATGCAAATATATATATGTAGATATGTAGAAAAACCTTTGATTATTGCAATACGTCTTTTGCATTAATAGACCTAGTTTAAATTAGTGCTTAAAATGGTAGTAAAATTATGACCTCTCATTATCATTTGGGTAATTCTATTACAGGCGCACTTTGAGAGATTCCATGCGCTGAACGATCCTCTTCCGCATTTCTGTATACCTGCAATTAACATTGACGCAGTGGTAAGAAATGAAGCGAGACTCGCCGCTAATTGGATCATACTTCTCTCTAATTCGGCCCACTTCGCGCTCCTGCTCTTCGCCATAGCGATCGAGAATGGAGCGACACTCCGACAGCGAAAGATTGAGGAACTGCGCCACCTCGCTGCTGATCTCCGGCGTCTCGCTGGAGTCCACCAGGAAGATCCTGGCCACATCCTCGTGCGGGCCCAGCATCACGCGCACCAGAAGCGGATAGTCGTCCTCCTTCAGGCGACGCTGCTCGCCGTTGTCGCGCACAATGAAGAGGGCAAAGTTCTCCGGCCGACTGTCCACCTTGTACTTCTCCAGCAGCAGATTTATGATCTGAAAGCATGAGAATGGATTTTATGCTCGTGCCCGGGCCTCTCATCTCAATAATGCTAATTTAATCACCACACAAATTGACCGTATCGCATTACCTCTTTTGTGTCCACCAGCGATGTAATCCACACGCTCATCATCGAGCCGCGGGGTGGCGTGAAGAAGGACGTCTCCCTGTTATAGAAGTGGCCATTGATTGAGCACCGCCGCTTCAGCTTCGTCCGCGAGCGCCTGTTGCCCGATCTGCGCTTAATCGCCGTCGAGCCCGTCTTTGGTGGCTTCCGCAGCACGACACCCTCATCGCTGTCGCCCCCGTTGCGCTGCGCCGCGCTGTTCAGCGGCGTGCTGTCGGAAGACGTCTGCAGCTCATCGTAGCAATCCATCTTGATTGACACGCCCTTCCGCTCCCAATTGGGATTCCTCTTCACCGTCGACGGCCGCAGCGTGGCCGCGTCCGCGTCATCGTCATCGTCCTCGAATGGGAAGCAATTCGGGCCGGACTTTGATTTACACAGCTGCCCTTGGACGAGCGTATCAGTCTCGGAAGTGTCCGTGCATGTGGAGGCCGACTCGGACTTCTGGAGGCCACCAATCGCCCTTATCTTGCGCCGCGACGGCCCCACATTGCCACACATAGTCTCATATGGCTTGAAGGCATTCTCGAAATCTGAAAAATGAGCACAAAGATGCAGATTATTGTCTCGATTCCGTGACTTTCGGCGCGCTTAATTGATTTTCTGTTTCCCTAATTTTCTTCTAACGAGCCTCAGGAAGTGCTTTTATTACTATAACCCATTATAAGTCTTGTTCATCACGTTTCTTTTATTACCCTTCGCCGTGTAAATCACAAATGGTGTTTTAGGCACACATTATATGTCCTAAAAAGTTGAATGAATTGTATTTAGACACTCTTTACTCGCTTACACACACAATTTACCTTGAGTTTGGAACAATGTTAAGATTTTTCTCATAAATGTTCTGTGATAAAAAAAATTCAAGGGACTTTAATGGGACTTCTTAAGGTCTTCACCCTCAAGGAAGAAGAACTGTCGTATAGAAATCATACGATTTGCACTATGACACTCTTTTATTCTGGGAAAAGCGGGGAAAAGTATTTAATATTAAGCTTGTCACCAAACTTTATAGAATTTCAAGTCCAAGAATCTGTTCTTCAAACATAAAATAGCTAAATTTAACAGCTTTCCAAAGACATTTTACCATCATTCGATAAAATTCTATTTGTGTCACTTGTGTAGATCGAGTGTTAGCCGATCAGTAGCATTGAATCTGTGGCTTAGCAGCCGGAACATGACTTCTTCAAGTGTCTTCCATTTGCCATTCACTTCATCTGACAATGCGATCGTATTTCGCGTCCGCCCAGCATTTGCATCAGAGCTTGATTAAGTAATCATCCGACAATTTCTAATATCTCATGTGGCAAACAAAAAATCGTCACAACAATCCAACAGCAATTACAATTATGTACACTTGAGCACATGAATTGAATAGAATATAAATAAATGCCTGAGATAAAAGTAAATCTTTCAGCATTGCACATTGTGTCCCTTTCACCGAAAAATTTCACAAATCGCGCGGTACTTTGCTCGCCATTGGAGATTAAAGCAATTGATATGGAATCGAGTGTACTCGCCTATTTCGTACGACTCGCTGCCCATTGAAGACGGCATTCCATTGAAGCTCTGGCTCATAATATTTTCACTGTACAGCTTCAGGGAGTCGTTGATGCGCGATGGATCAATCGGCTGGTTGGACTTGAGCGTGCCGTCGTTCGTGCTGCCCATCATGTTGGCGCCATTGATGAACTCCTCGGCGATGCGCTTCTTGAAGTCATCGAAGTCCTCCGGCTTCAGTGTGCTGCACTCCGTGCTGTCCTCGCCCGTGTCCTCCGTGAAGTGGCTCGCGGCCGTGATGAGTTGCTCCTCACTCGAGTCCTGCGTGTTCAGCGAATCCGGCGTGAAGTCCTGCGACAGGGTTTGCGCGGACGACGCCTCCGTGCTGGATTGCGATGGCAGTGGCGATGGCATTGTGCGGAAGGCCCTCTCGGAGTCGTCCACGCGCCGCTCCACCTGGAGCAGCTCGTCAATCTCGTCCCAGTCCAGCTGCTTCACGTCCAGCTTGGGCGGAAGCGTGGCGCACTTCTGTGTTGGCGACACGTCCTTGGACGAGTTCTGGCTGTTCGGCGCCGCATCCTCTGACCAAGTGCACGTGTCGCACGTCGTGCTGTCCGACGTGGACAGATCCTCGGACGTCACGGACGCACTCATGTCCACCGTGGGACTCACGAGCGTGGCCGCGGTGTCCGTGAACTCGCTCATGGGATCAACTTCCATGGAGTTCCTGTAGCGGCACGAGTTGCGCTTCCGCACCGTCACCACGGTGCGCTGATCGTCGTCCTCCTTCAGGTGGATCACGCCCTGCACGCCCCAGTAGACGCGCAGCGCGCCCTCCAGCACCAGCCGGCCGTTGACCTCCCGCGAGCGGATCTCCATGCTCTTATTGTCGAAGAACTGGTTGTACACCTTGAGCTTCCCCTCCAGCTGATCACGCACGATCGCCGGCCCGTTGGACAGCTGCTTGGCGTCTCCCTTGGGATTCTGGCCGAAGCTCTTGTGCGACTCCACGCGCGTCCCGTGGCCGAACAGCTGCGGCCCGAACAGAGCGCCGTAGCACGGAACATGGCAATAAGGCACTCCTTTATGCTGCGAAGAGACACACTTGAATTACAGACACCCAGAACGAGCCACTGTGTGGCGGTTCACGGATAAAATACTGCACCTCAGCATGTTGTCCAGGATTCAGTCGCTTGCCGCATTCCTCGCACCGGAGGCACTCCGGGTGCCAATCATAGCCCAGGGATTGCTTCCGTTCGGCTGCAAGATAACGCCGAGAGTAAATAATCAGCATTTTCGCACACGGAAAGTAAACAGACGAAATGAAAAGTCACGTTCTTTGTCATTTTGTATACCCACCAAAGTAAACACTCTTGCCGCACTTTCTGCACTTCCACATCGTCTTATCACACTATTTTCCAATTGTTGGTATCATTGAGCGCTCTAGGGGTGCATTTTGGGCGGTATTTGGGTGCAGAAGGAGTGATAAAAACACCGAAAAATAAAAACTGTGATTGCAGACGGGCTGCAAATATAATCTGACAGCTGATGACATCGCAACTCTTTCCCAATTCGACCGCCATCTGTGTGTGGAGATATGAAGAAGGCCGATCGCGACTTTTAAATTTTGCGAGTTCCCTTTTCGGTCTGCGAAAAAAAACGAATCGGAGAAGAAGCTTGACGTGCGGCCATTGCGACATTCTTTTCTTTCCGTGCAAAAGGGAAGTTTTCAGTGTGAAATTATACATTTCGGGCGGTAAAAAGCAGTTTATTGTGCGTAGAAGCAGCTGAGGTAAGAGATGAGGAGTGAATAAAGTGGAATAAGTCGTGTGATGAGGCATAAAGGCAAAGAAATTTGCGCATTGCAATGGCGGCTTCCGAGAAGTCGCTCACGATGCCATTACGAAACGTTGTATGAAGACTTTCTTCTGCAGTTACCATGGCGAGGTGCAGTTCCGCCGGGACTTCCGCAGAGAAAAACATCAAGATTGCTGAAGACGAGAAGGTGGAAGAGGTGACGGAACAGAGCGGCTGGGGTTCAACTCTGCCGGAACCTGTTCTACACAAGATCTTCATGATTGTCACTAAAAATGAAAGCGTCCGTGATTTGATGATTCTGGGCAAAGTGTGCTCCTTGTGGCACCGAGTGAGCCTATGTCCTTCACTCTGGCATAGTTTGGTTATGTTCAGCTGGTAGGTTAAGTTAGTAATTGAAAAGGTTTAGCAAAATAACTCACGGCAATTCGTAAACAGGGAACTAAAGGTGTTTCTGGAATATCGCTTGAAGGGATTGAAAGGTTCTCCGGATCAAGCCGGTTCATATGAGAATGATTTTATCAACGCACTTTTCCAATCTGACAGAAGGATAAAGGAGAACCTCAAGAAGTTGAGAAGTGTGTTTCCGAAGCTGGAGTCTCTGACTCTAAGAAGTTGGAAACTTGGATACATGCACTTCAGGATTATTGCGCAGCTGAACTTAAAGGAGCTAAAGTTGGATTGTTGTAGGAGTTTGATCCGAAGCAAGTGGCTTAGCTACGCTTTGAATGGATTGCAGGGAAGCCTAGAAAATCTTTCAGTCTCTGACATCAGTATGTGGGGCTCATTTTCGCAGATAATTACATCTCTGGCGGTGATTATTTATTCAGTAATCTCTAATGATTGAATTTAACGAGTCTCTTCTCCACAGACTTGCTCAAATCTTACTGTCTTGGACTTTAACATAGGCGACGTGAAATACAGGCGTAAACTGGACAACTTCGAAGTGGATATAGAGAAGCTTCAGTACGGCTGCCCGAAACTCAAAGATCTTACGTTGGTTGGAACAAGGGACTACGTATTGAGTCTGACAAAAATTAGTCCGGATCAGGAGGTGATTATCTTTTACTTCACCAGAATCAGCGCGACACTCACGATGACTTTCTCTCCTCAGGCGGCATCTCCAGGATTCCCGAACCTGGAGAGACTCGTTGTGCTTCAAAGTTGTGAGGATTTCGAAGTTGGTTTTGATGATACAAACATTAATGACGACTTAATCAGGAGGATTCTGAAGACAAGTTCCAAACTCAGAGAGCTGAAGCTGTGCAATTGCAGCGTTAGTTACGAAGGTTTTTCTCAAATCGCCGCAAACGATGTCGCACTTCTGAACATTTTGACATGCGACACACCCGATGTGTGAGTAATTAGCATCTTTTGTGATGCAATAATCCTGTGTCAATAATTTTGGCAAATTAATTTTCAGTAACGACCTGAAGCAGATTCTGACGAAGTGGGTGCACAGCTTGGAAAAAGTTGATTTGTGCATAGTAGCAGATATTAGCGATGCATTGGAAGTATTGGCAATGATGAAGTCAGCCTCTCGCCTCAAGTATGACACTAATTACATGCAATAGAAATTGTTTAGTGATTTGTTCCCTCTCTTCCAGGTACATCAAACTGACCGACACGTATATTTCCCAGCAGACTATGCGCAATATTCTGAGTAACTGTCCTCTCTTGGAATACTTTGATCTTAGCATTCTTACAAAAGGAGACGATTTTCTTTTCACAAGCGCAACAGAAATTGAGCAATTTCGACTGGAACTGAATGCGCCACTTAAATGCTGAACCTCTTTGATTATCTCCTTTACCGCATCAAAGACACTAATGCTAAAACCGCTAAAACATAAACTGAATTCAAAAGAGTAAGATTTTGCAGCAGTATTAATATGAATTTTATGACTTGAAATTAGCATTATATATTGGAATACAATAATTGGATACAATGTTTGATCGTTTGATCACGATGAGAATTGCTAGAATGAAATAAAACTTAACTTATGAATTGAAAAATGACTCGTTTTAATGCGTTTTAAGCATTCGATAGTATTTCTGGTTCTAAGAAATGTACGAAATGCATAGATGAATATATTACATTATCGTACGCGTCGAGTAAAGGCACTTGGCTGGACGGCGCGCGGGGCGTGTGTCAAAGTGACACGCACTCATCGCGATAGGAGAGTTTCTTTTATGGAAAATCAATAGGATTCAAGGGAAGACTGAGGATAAATGTGTGGCTGAGCAATGGGGAGTGAACAGTCCCTGCTGAAGGGCCTGGAGATCGAGGAGAAGGCAACGGAAGTGTCTGACTTCTGGTCAGTGTTCGCTGGTGAGCTGAAGACAGACACCAGAACTTCGCTCCTCACCATATTCCAGGGCGAGTCCGTCATCAGCACGAACCAGTTCTGGGACAAGAAGAATCCCCTCGAGAAGGCGATAAAGGTGAGCCTGTCGCGCTGACCTCGCGCAGTTTCTCACCAGGGCGCATTTGTCTTGCAGAATCTTATGCTGTTCCGACATCCGTCTATCCTGAAGTATGTCTCGTCGTGGGAGCGCGGATCCACAAAGTATCTGGCCACTGAGCGGTGCAAGCCGCTGTCACTGCTCATCAAGACACAGAATTCACTCGAGATCTGTCTGGGGCTGAGGAATATCCTCAATGCCCTGATATTCCTGGTGGAGCACGGGAAGACGAGGCATCTCAATATCTGCTTCTCCTCCGTGTACATCACGCACGAGGGCGTGTGGAAGCTGTCCGGCTTCGAGTACCTCTGGCCATCGGCAGAGTTGACCAGGCCGATCCTGGAGCTGTCGTTGCCCAACAGATACTCCAATGCCGTGGACAAGCGCGAGCTGGAGCACAGCGGCCTGGGAATCGAGCAGTACGGCTTCGCCACGCTGTGCAAGGAGATCTTCGAGTTGACATCACAGGAGAAGAGTTCTCCGTTCCACGAGGACTTTCAGCAGTACTGTACGAATCACCTGCAGCACACGAATCCCTCCCTGCGCCCTGAGCTGTCGGCCGTCCTGCTTCATCCCTATTTCAACCACGACTTCGTGCTGATCCACTCATTCCTCAGCGAGGTGCCGCTCAAGGACTCTGCGGAGAAGCAGCAGTTCTTCACGGACCTCGTGGACAAGCTCAGAACCTTCGACGAGACGGACGTGGCCATCCACTTGGGAGACTTCCTGCTCTCGCGCCTCGTTCTGCTCGATCCCACCGCGCAGATCTGCGTCACGCCCTTCGTTCTGGATCCTAAGTGTGACGACATCGTGCCGGGCGTGTTCAGCACCGGGACGTTCGTGAAGTTCATCATTCCCAAGCTGAAGCAGGTCTTTTGCGTGCACGACGTGCAAATCCGACTGATTCTGCTCGAGCACTTCCACAAGTTCATGTCGCTGTTCTCCGAGGAGGACCTGACTGGGCTGATCCTGCCGCAGCTGCTGCTGGGAATCAAGGACACCAACGACATCCTGGTCTCCATGACGCTGCGCTGCCTGGCGGACTTGGTGGCCATTCTGGGCGCGACAGTTGTCGTCGGCAAGAATCGCAGTAGGCTGTTCGCCGACGGGCGTCCCCAGCGCGTCCCCGAGGCGCCGATGCACCACTGGGGTGAGCCACGGTCCATATCGCCAGTGATCGAGTCGGCGGGCCAGTTCTCCTCCCACAACATGGTCATCCGGGATCACAGAGCGTCCTTCGCCGACATCAGCAATGAAAATCTCCTGTCCGAGAGACTCTCGCCGGACGGCGGCGAAGCCGGCGAGCTGAGGGACAAGGATGACGATCAGTGGAGTGATTGGGATGCGGAAAATGCCAAAACTCCAGATCCACCCGCAGAAGCTGACCAGGACGACGGCATATCCGCACCAACTGCACAAGAGGATGAGATCCAGAGGCTGGACATGAGGATAATGCCAAAGAAGAAGGCCAGCGTCGAGGAGGAAGTGGATTTCTTCAAGGACATGGAACCAGTGATCGCGAAGACGCAGGTCCTCGTCATTGGCGAGGAGGTGGCCAAGAGCGGCGCATCCCAAGTCAGTCGCTTGCAGGCCAATTTGAGTGAGAACGCCACTGAGGAGGGCTGGGATGAGAGTGATTGGGAATAGGCTGTAAAGGTAGAACAATTAAAGATTTGGCGCAATTTCACAGAGCGCGTTTCATTCGCGCATGAAGCAAATGCTGCATGGCGCCGGCGTGAATATTAGCGACGCGATACACTTTCCAGTCTCCGGAACATCATTCGATGGGAGTTTTGAGGAATCTTCTGCTGTCCAGAAACATCAATCTGATCCGTGATATAGCAAAAATGAAGCTACTCTCGCAGAAAGAAGCCACAGACATCGATCTGAAGCTGTTCAATGAGTACAAATTCAGCGTGGATCAACTGATGGAACTCGCCGGACTTTCCTGCGCTCACGCCATAGCAAAGTGCTACAATCTCGAGAAGTAATCCCCCTAGAAGTCCTCCCAATTTCCCTAGTTAATTGTCTTCCTTCGCCAGGTTGAAGACACCCAAAGTACTGGTGTGCTGCGGCCCGGGAAACAACGGCGGTGACGGATTGGTTTGTGCTCGACATTTGGCTTTGATGGGCTTCCAGCCGGTGATTTACTATCCCAAGCAGACGGACAACCAGCTGTACAAGAACTTGACTCACCAGTGCGAGAGGATGAGCATCGGCTTTGTCCAGGAAGCGCCGCACACGAAAGATATTGATGAAAACTACTCCGTCGTCGTCGATGCTCTGTTCGGATTCAGCTTCAAGCCTCCCGTGAGGGAATCTTTCGCCCCGATCATGGAGTCTCTTGTGGAGACTAGCACTCCTGTAGCCAGCGTGGACATCCCCAGCGGTTGGCACGTTGAGGATGGCCCAGCCGAGGCGAAATCCCTCCAGCCTGACTTGCTGATCTCTCTGACTGCCCCAAAACTCTGCTCGGTGCACTTCAAGGGTCAACATCACTTCCTGGGCGGCAGATTCGTGCCTCCGGCGCTGCAGGAAGAGTACAACCTGAACTTGCCCGAGTATCCGGGAACTGAAAGCTGTGTTCGACTGCCGAAACAATAAATATGTTTATTTCTCACCATCGCTGTCGTCAGAGTTGTTCTGCTCGGATTCCTGGGCCTTCTTCTTCAGAATTGCCCCAGGGCTCGGATAGGGCCTCATCTGGTACAGCGATCCGGACGCTGTGGTGTCCACGCCCGACTTCTTGTCCTCGTGATCGAGTCCTGACGCCCACGTGCCGCGCGGGATGTCAGAATACGAGGCGGGATCCATGGGATCGAGCACATCCAGGTCCTTGGGTGGCTTGTAGCCTCGAGAGCGCCGCTCGGACTTCGCCTTGAGCGTCTTTTCGAGATCTCTGGCCTTTGGCTTCTTCGGCGGCGGCATCTGCGACTTGACGTAGTCCGATTCCGACTGCGGCAACGGAATCATCTCCGTGTCCGGCAGCAGCCCAGAGTCCTGATCTTCCTCGGGCGACACCTCGTCCAGCTCCTTACGCAACACCGCGGCACTCTTCGAGACGTGCGCCTTGGGATGCGTGGGCGGGAGCCAAGTCACGGTGTCGTCCTGCGTGTTCCAGTAGTAGTGCACGCCGCAGCCCTCGTCGAAGATCTCCATCCAGTGCTTCGGCAGTGGGTATCGCTTCAGCAGCTTCTCCTTCCGCCTCTTGTACTCCTCGGACTGGTGGCCAACTCTCTCTGTCCAGCGATTGATGCAGAACAGCGTGCATTTGTGGAAGATGTTGTACTTGTTGGGACAGTTCTTGTATCCCAAGCTGTTGCCCTCGGTGATCCTCCGCTTCAGACTCTCACTCCAGAAGTTCTCCGGGGGCTTCTTCACCGGCTCAAAGTCGTACTGCGCGGGCTCCTCGATGTCATCATAGTCCTCAGCGATGATCTCCTCATTCTGGATGCTTTCCGCGTCTGAAAAACAGACGAAATCAATCTCTGCCCTTCAGAGACTGTGCTGAAGTATTTCAACCCACCTTTTCCGCCTTCGATGATCCCTCTCTTGGCCAGACGAGCCAATAATGCTGGAGGAAGAGGCATTTCTCTGTTTTTGTTTACACTTTTTTACACGCACTGGAAATGTCAGTTTTCCGAAAAGACCGGTTTTTGGAAGGCGTTCCGAAAGTTGTTGTCAATTTCACGTGCGTGGTATTTTTGCCATTTTTGCAGGTCAAAAATACGCAATTTTCTTAGGGATTTTCACCAGATAACAGCCCAAAAATGACTGATCAGGAGGGCGAACTGTGTTCAGTGATCCTGGAGCAGCATTTTGGGGTGAATGTGCAGAAAATCGGGAAGGAATTGTTTACAGGATCGAAAACTCTTTTAGGACTCATAAAATCAACAAGTCTGACCAAGAATGAGGTCAAAAAGGTGTGAATTCTCTCAATTTCCCCTACTAAATTCCTACTTTGCAGGTCTCTCAGGCCCTCGCCGTGCTGCTGAAGTTCCGTCTGACCACTTTCGAAGTGCCCACGGGCAAGACGTTCGCCGAGTATTCGCTCAAGACGGACCACATTCTGCGCATCCTGCGCTATCCGCGCTACATCTTCTACATGCAGTCCAAGTACGGACACACGGCGGCTCTGCTGGTGGAGGAACTCCTGCGCGCGGGCTGCGAGACTGCCACAAATCTGATTGGCAAGTCCGTGCTGAACTCGGAGAGCAAGGAGAAGAACACGGTGATTGAGCATCGAGACAAGTTCCTGGAGCTGATTCAAGGGAACTTCTTCATTAGGGCCATTCTGGGTGAGAATGCCGAGGAGCTGCGCGAAGCCACGAGAAGCGATCCGACGCTGCTCTTCCAGAAGCCCGAGATCGATGTGCAGGAGTTGCTGTCGCTGCAGGAGGGAAAAACGCTGTCCAGCACGCGGGATTCGGGTGTGTATTGGCACGTGAACTTCGAGAAGTTCCACCAGCACTTCCGGGATACGATTGTGCTGCAGGCGATCGAGAGGAAGATCAATGCGAACGCCAGCGAGTGCTTTAAATACTTCCTGCAGTCGATGTATCTGCGCACGGATCCGTGGAAGTTCTCATCGAATCCCATTCCCTTCGCCGAGATCCGCTCGTTCTGCGACAAGCAGTCCGGCAATGCGGAGCTGAAGCGATACCTTGAGCAGTACATCTCGGTCATCATCGAGGATCCTCTGACGGTGCTGAGCAAGTATTCAGAGACCGGCGGCGGGCAGTTCATCGTGCAGATGAAGAAAGTGTTCGAGCAGCTGGCGTGGACGCACATAGAGAGCATCATAATGGAGAAGTTTGGCGCGAAGGCGGCGAGAATCTTCCGCGTGGTGCGCATGAAGAAGCTGATCACGCAGGAGGACATCCAGAAGGAGGCCATGATTCCGTCCAAGGAGGCGAAGCAGCTCACGTACACGCTGGAACAGAGTCACTTCCTCCAGATTCTGTCCCTGCGCAAGCCGGGCAGCAGCGGAACTGGTCCCGTGAAGAACTTCAATCTCTTCTACGCCGAGCAAAATCAGGTGAGAAGCTCTGCATTGCCTCTGTTCCACTCTATTCGTTGTGATTGACGCTTTGCAGATCATTAGAACGCTGACGCAGATTTGCTTCAAAGCCCTTTTCAATGGAATTACGCGATCGAATTACGATTTATCGGTGAATCGAAGACTGATCGACAAATCACAGAGGCTAGAGAGTGTGGTTGAAGCTATGAAAGAGCGAGGCGAATCGGAGGAATACATTATGGACGTGAGTGAAACTCTATTGTTCTGAAGAATCTCTGTATTGACTGTTTTCCTCTTCGGCAGATCTTGGAGACGCTGACGCCGCCTGAAAGGGAGATTCTGGAGAAGGTGAAGATCAGAATCAAGAATCTGTACAGTGCAGAAATCGGTCTGGATGAGTCGCTCTTCCTCATGGAAATGTACCAATTCTACCACAAAGAGAGCACGGAGAAAGCGTAGTTGAATGGCTGAGAAGGTGAGTGTTAATGGGAATGCATTTATTTTCATAAACATTTCAACATTCGTCTTTTATGTTCAACTACATAACAAAATATCTTGCAACAAACAATTTATACTAAATTCAGCGCGGAATAAATCTCAGTTTATCTCATTTCCATTGTACTTTGCGTACATGTCGTCCCAGAACTTGAGGCGCTGCCCTTCGGGATTCATCCTCATCTCCAGTCGATCTGTGATGTCCAAGTATGGCAAGTCGTTGCCTTCCTTCTGCAGAATAGGCTCCCAGTTGACGCGGAAGTCGGCGTCTTGTTCGCCCATCGGCGTTGGCACGCTGCAAAGCACGCGACTCAACTTTAGCACGCTATATCACTTGACTAAATGTCTGCGTGTTTTGGGCTTGAGAAAGACATCTCAGATATATGTATGTTAAGTGTGAAAGGAAGTGCCTTTCGGCACAATCGTGATTTCTATGAACTTGCATTTCATTGAGACATTGCGAAACTGTGAATTCTCACCAGAGTGGCACAATAAAGTGCGTTGAGAGAACACTTCAACACCCCAAATTGCCAATATAACAGGCATTTATTAATTGCAAAATGTAGCGCACGTAAAAAAAAATTCATAATATCTCACCTTGAGAAGCCACTAAAAAGATTGTGAATCGATCATTATGTAATTGATGCGGGGAAAATGTTAGGGTCAACCATTTATCAAGATGATGTACGCAAAAAGAGCGGTAATTATGTTCTGTACGCACTTAACGCGAGCGCGCACAGGTTAATTTATCACGTGTGGATGTGATCGCGATTGCGCCACGTGTGAAAAAAAATAGATCACTGACATCAGCTTCTCGCGGGCCTAATTGCAATCTAGGAGGATCAGATAAAGTCTGGGCAAATGCAGAGAATGCGCTGTTTTTTTCTCTCTATCAACTTTCTTGTATAATTTTTGAACTTTTCCTCTCAATGAGAGAAATGCCAGTTCATTTTATGCAATGATTTTTTCAAACTGACACACGGTGATATAATAGAGGCATTTTTTCCAAACACAAGCCTTACTTTTAATGGTGTCAAGATAGTGGACTGGTGCATATAGGCATAAATTTTCTTCTCTTACGTGTTTATTAATAGGCAGAGTGGCAGAAGATATGACAAAAAAGGGGGTTAAAGCATTCATGCTCATCGTTAATTACCCGTTGGATGGTGTATCTTGAGAAACAAGGGGTGAAATAGGCTGAATTACGACGATTTGTTTCTCAAAGTGATTGTTTTCAGTTCTTCTCAATTACAATGACATTAATTTTTAATGATCTTCTTTCTTTTTAATGTGATTATAAGTTGAGAATCAATCTCAATAACGTGCTGCACAATCTTCTGTTGCTTTGCGTTCTTAAAAAATTGCACATTTGAGGGCGCGGAAAGCGAATATATCCGGCCAAACCCACAAGATTAGTGATTCTCTGTTGCATTTTGCAGAAGAGTAAGATTTTAAGTATAGCTAAATTGCGAAATGACCATTCAGTGATGTGAATACACTTATTGGCAGTTAAGCGTGATGCATAATAGTGTCTTTTAGCCAAAGGGTCAGCAATAATGCGTTTTTCCTTCTCCAACATCGCAATTCAGATGCATGCAATGCTTCTTCAACAATTTTGCACAATCATTCCGTGAGTGAATGATGAATATATGGCGTGTGCATCGCATGAATTTTGCCAGTGACCTTCTTTGTAGCTATTTCACATTGTCATGCGCATTAATCTTACCCGTATTTGGCGAAATTTGTCCACATGGAGACCATGCGCTTCTTCACTTGGATCTCGGGCGACGCCTTGTCCAGGCTGAGGTTGAAGAAGCCGAAGTGGAAGAGGTAGCCAATCTCATCGCCGTGACATACGCCGGGACGCGAGATGCCCAGGAGGCGCTTGTACAGGCCGAGGGCGCCGTCGAATGCGAACCTATACAGGTAAGTTGTGGCATTTCGCGCGGCTCCGTGCAGCCGCGCAGAGGTCACGATGCCGCGCACAAACATCAGGTCCGTCCACATCTTTCCGTGTTCGTGCAATTAATCAATGTTAGCTTTGTGACCTTTTGTACAGGGAAAATGTTAGGGAAACTCACGTCTATCAGCTCATTGATGGTGTCTTGCGTAATTGGCCGTGACCCCAAATAGAATTGGCGCACGCTTCCCGCCACTATTTGACCCTCTGGCGAATCCCGGCCGCCGGGAATTTGCATATCGGTCGGCACAACGCGCGTTGTGTCGTTCTGATAGGCCGCCAAGAGATTTGGATCCTTTCTGAGTCCTGGAAAAGTGCATTTCAGAAAAGCTCAAGAAAGCATTGGAATAGAGACAAGAGAATTACTTCTCAGGAAGAGCATCGCCTCGTGCGAATTGAAGCCCGTGATGTAGGGAATCTTGTGGAAATCTCCTCTCTTCAGCAAGTCAATTGGCGGCTCTGTGAGGAATGGTTCATCGTGAGACACATCAGGATCTGCTTCGTCCCACGTGTCGATATTCTCCTCAATGGACGGCACAAAAGGCAGGCCGATGTTATTTCTGGCGTCTTCCGCCGTCAGCGTCTCCTCGGACGCATCAATCAGCTTCCGCGGTGGGACTTTGCGCAGGAAGTCCAGCAATTCCTCCGTGCTGTTGGTGCTCAGGCCCAGCACTTGTCCCAGCTTGAATGCCCTCTCTTTGGGCCGCACCGCGTGCGCCCAGGGCGACAGCGCCGAGCCGCTCTCCGAGATGGCGCGATGGAAGAGTCCCGTGGCCATGGGAGAGAGCATCAGATACTGCACTGACGCTCCTCCGGCGGACTCCCCGAAGATCGTCACCTCTGTCGGATCGCCGCCGAAAGCGGCGATGTTCTCTTGCACCCACTTTAGCGCCAAGACCTGATCCTGAAATCACACGCGATTGCAGTGGATTATTGCTGGGCAAAGAAGTGATGATTAAAGCGGCGATTGAGTGTGTGGGATAAAAGCGTAATTAGCTAATTGACGCGCACAAAGACGACAAAGTTGTCTAATAAAAACATTGTACTCATCCCACGATTTTGCAATCTTTCGTGGGGTTTAAGAGGAATTAAACACGAGTCTAAAATGGTAAAGATCTTCAAGAAAAAAGTCTCCGAAAGATTAAGACGGCTTTCTTCGATGTTAATTGGCTTTCAAAGCTGATTATTCTGGAATTTCACTCAGTGTAGAGATGATAATTCGTGGCTTACCTTGAGGCCGGCGTTGCCGGGCGCATCGCCACCCACCGAGAGGAATCCAAGGGGTCCCAGTCGGTAGTTAATGGTCACGAGCACAATGCCCTCGGCGACTAGGTAGTCTGGCCCATAGAGAAAAGAATTGCCTGAGCCAAATGCAAAACCACCACCGTGAATCCATACCATGACAGGAAGCTGAGGGTGGCGCGTTCGGTTTGGCAATTCGGGTGTGTAGATGTTGAGAAAGAGGCAATCTTCGTCGCCTTTGAATGTGTCAAGGAGAATGTTGCGATGTGGACACGTGCTTCCCTCGCGCACAGCCAATCGAATGCCCTTCCATGGCTTTTCCGGCAGCGCGGCTCGGAATCTGCATGAAAACATTTTGGTGAGTGTGGCGAAAGAAGCGTTGCAAAACGCCTAATCGCGTTGAGGTCTTGCCTTCGCGCGCCGCTGGGCGCTTGTCCGTATCGCACGCCGCGGAAGCTGTAGTATGAGCCGGCGACGCCGGACTTGTAGGGTTGATGCCGCCCGCGAAGAATGCCATTCGGCGTCGCCAAAACCACGCGGCCTTCGTTCTGTCCACAAGGAAAACATGAAAATGATCAGTATTCCGAACACAACTCTCGAAAATTTAACCGCAAAAACATACTGAACTCTTCAACGCCTCTTGATTGATGTTAGCTTTTCTGGCTAAAAGTGCAGAATAATGATCAAATATAATTTTCCCATTAAATATAATAAATCATAATATACTTAAAGGTGTTCTCTTCTGTGTGAACGCCACTCATAAATTACGAAAGGACTCATGAATAAGCTTGGCGCTGAGCGCACGAAAATCCACGAAAGTGTTGGAAACTGACTCTCCGCGGTGGCGCACAATGAATAATAATTTGAAAAGACTACACAAAATAATATTGTACATACATATAATTTCAAAATTTGAGTGCGTGTTTATAGAAGAATAATTGTGAGACTCGTGGACGTGCAAATTTATTCTGTGCTGTGTGTTTAGACTGGGGAAAAAATTTATGAATAGAGGTCTCTTTTTTTTGGTGTTTGAAAAAAAAGCTCAGACATTTTTATGCAATTAAACAAACATTCTCCACATTCAATTGGCATTGTGCAATTTGGATGTGCCACTTGACAGTGCGATGACTGCCAAGTGGCGGTTTGTGGTGCGCGCACTTACCCTGAGTGACCCCACGACCTCTCGCACCACCTCCATTGCGCGCGCCGGCAGAATCCGCACCAGGCCGCCGGATTGCATAATGCGCCGCCACGCCGCCGTTTCCTATCGGAGAGCACGCTTTAGTCCGCGATTTGCACATGAGCGAGCAGATGCGTGTAATTAGCAAGTGCCATTAGGTGGATTAATAAGTGGATCGTGTGATGCTCATCAATTAGTACTCGAGGTGTAATGCAATCGATCGTCGGCAAGTGCAGCGGACCAAATCGATCAATTTGCTTGCGGAGCGAAATCAACCGCAAATCTGCCCTGTCTTTAGGGATCACTCGCGGCTGGGAGCATAAATTGTTTCCCTCAAGCACTGGATTATGCTAATTCTTGCGTAATATTTACCATAAGATAAATTATATCAGAGAAAAGAAGCTGTGAACAATGGGATTTTTTCAATGAGGAATTCGCATTGAATCTTACGAATATTTAATAATGGAACAATCAGAGAAATAATAAGCACTGTAATGAGATTCGCGTCTCAATTGTTATGCTCATGAAATCTAATTCATGCGCTCTGTATTTAAAATTGGAGGAATATTGAAGAGAAACAGATGGATTTCTAAGGAATTCCTTCTCGTTTAGAGTATAAGAAATTGTCAAAATTGTAGACGAAAGCGATCTTTGCTGGTTCAGCAATGAAAAAATACATTTTATTTAGTATATACAAGTATACTTTACTACACACTTGCAATAACATCAATAATTGTCATTATTATAGTCGTTATTGATATAAAACCACTCCAATTTTGTTCCTCAATGAGCAAACGTCTACTGAACGCAAAAACTTGTATCATTAATAAGGGACAAGAGACATCAAATGTCTTCGGAAGCAATAATTTTCTTAACTGCCTTCAATGGAAATTACCTGAAAATTGATTCTCATGTGAAATAATATTTATGAAATAATATCCCGCTTTGCTGATTATCCCGTCTTAAGATTATTCACTTTTCGATAGTAATTGAACTTCGTTACATGTTTTTCTTGTCTACAAATTCTATTCAAAGATCATGAGTGTTCTGTTATCGTTAATTTCGAAAATTTTGAGATTTGACTTTTTCCCTTCTTTTGTACAAAAAGCAGGCACAAGACAATCAAATTCACAGTTTATGGAATATGTAGCATTAGGTTTGATACAGTAACCAGACTCAAATTCCGCAATTACTAATTTATGATCCCAATCTAAAATCATATCTGGTTCTGAGTATATTCTGCGAAAAATGAGATTAATGGACTTATTTTCCTGCCATTTTTTCTGAAAACTGAGGATTCTTTTCTTCCAATTCCACCTTTAAGATTACTTTCTTTGACCGATATCACACGTAACGAATGTCAAACAAAGCAAAATTTCTGGCTGTAATTTGGACTTATTTGTAAAATCGAAATGCTCACGCCTGAACACTTTGAGAGCTTCAGCGGAAAAGAACGCTTCTCTTTATCAAACCAGGAGATAACGAATGTAAAGTGGTGCTGCAATCGATGTGCTATAATTCCAGGATCGCATTTAGAGGATCACTTTGGTCAGAGTACTAAAAACCTTCATCTTACACGTATATTTGTAGCAAACATCGCGATGAAGAAATAAAAGAAATCTTCCAAGTGATGCAATAATTAATACATTTGTGCATTGGAAGAGCCATTTTTCGCTAACATCCGATTTGCGATTGAAATATAACTGATGACACGATCACCTTGATTGGACATTAATTTTTTATCTGTCGCGACACAGAAAAAAAATTGGAGAGATAGGCGATCAAATGTCGAAAGTAGAGCCAAGATCAACAAGTTGCATTTGAATTCCGTATACATAATTGCTTGCTGTTTATAAACATCATGCTGTTTCTCTTCTTTTTTACTACTGTTTGCACTATAATTACTTTCACGTTCATTTGAAGTCAATGAATGGCTGAATGTGAGTTTGCTGGAAAACATTCAAAAACATCACGTAAGAGTGTTGAGAAAAAAAGATAATCAATTATTCTTATAACTTTCATTATAATGTCAATGATCATTTAATATTTTAATTATATAAAAGGGTGTTATCGCGAAAATGCAAATTGTGCACGCTTAGAGAAATGGTAAAATCGAAAATTTTCTGCTTTTGGGTCAACTGATGTAATTCACACATTTTTATAATGGACAATTTTGCTCATTTCGCTTGATAGATTGTTTTTTTTTGCTTAGCAAAGAATGCGTTTTGTCACAATTTGCAGTGCTATTTCATATTGAGACAGTCGCTGAGCGGCAATTTAAAACGGGTTTTGCTGAAGCTTTAGGTCATATCAAATGATTACTCCTTCATTTGCTTAGCATCTAGGGCAGTTTCATTAAAATTCTAATTAGTGAAAAAATAAAAAAAACGTGTTAGCCTGAGTCGGGCGGGGTTTCAAAATGCCGCGCTCTGTGGATTTCGATCTCCGGAAGACTTGCAAATTTGGGAAATCCACGCTGAGTTGTGGGAAGCTGAGTTAATTAGAGTGCGCGCTGCATGGAAAAAGAAATATTTCCCAATGTCCCTTGATAGAAATATAATAATGGCTTGCGACATACCTTCAGTTTATTCGACAACTGCCCTGTGCTCGCCGCAATCTCAGCCACTTGGGCTGGCGCCAGAGCCAGGCCAATTGTGCATGTTATTAAGGCAAAGATGACATACACAATTGGTGCAGTCTTCATTGTTGTGCGCGCTTGCTTTGTATGCCGATCGCTGAGTTATGCGCTTCGCAGCATAATAGATGGACACACGTCGGAAGACAAGCTTGTTGGCTGTGAAAGTAAACACGCTAAAACAGCTAATTAATTTGTATGCACTTTATCGATGGTGAATATCGCGTAACAATTTACACACACTCACGAAATCACTGCTGTACTTTGGTATTTCTTGCCAAAACAAAATACTTTCACTCAGGTTATCGCGTATATTTACAACCGTCCGACTCTAAGGTCAATGTTACTTATCATGCGTACAGAGTGCGTGACGCAAAACCATCTCTCTCTGCAATTCAAATTGCGGATGACACTCTGGGCAACGTTTGCGTGCGTCAAGACGCTCGGCAGATGCTGATAAGGCACAAAAATCACTTATTCCTCACATAAACTCTTATATAATTGTGGGTCTGAAAGTGAAATTAATATTTGCACTTTTCACGCTTTATTCGCAATGCAACTGACGCCTTTATTAATCTCTCACATCCAGCGAAAAGTGAGATGTTGCGGAGAAATTCTTCGAAAAAGCCACACACTCTTCGCGACTTTAAAGCACTTTTAAGTCACCTGAGCACATTTCTCGCTGTTGAAGACAGCGAAACGGCACGTCTCTTGCGCGATCAGGCCTAAAAGAAACTGACTAGGTTAGAGACTTTCGTTTGATTTGTGAGTTTGGCGAGAGCTCTTCTCCCACCATCGCCAGACTGCTTTTTTAAACTCCAAGAGGTGGAGGAAGTTGTGGTTCACAGTAAGTTAAATATCTTTCGGTCGATTAACTCCGCTTTGAGGTTCAATTGGAGGCAAATATACTTTTTTTTAACCTTGTTTATCGTGCGTTTTACGAGTGATCCTGACACTCCTTTCTATCACACCTCATAAGCATTTAGTGTATACAGCAAAATGGAACAAAATTGTTTGTTTTCTAAAGCCAAAATTTCACAAGAAATTGCCCAAAAAGCCCAAAGTGAAGGATTCGAAGCTCAGTTAATTGAGCATGAAAAGTAAAGTTAGAGATCTTGCTCAAGTGTATGAAGTCAAGATTCCTTGCAACATGCGTTGTTAAATTATAATGAAATCAATTCTCAAGGAAGTAAGCATTAAATTCGTGCAATTGCTAGTTTTCACTGCGTCGTTATTCAACGGTTTCTCATCATCCTTCCTTCGATTGCGATTTTTATGGCATTTTAGTACGCTTGCAGCTTTAGAACACAGAAATATAGCAAGCCGGGCAGCTTTAATTGTGTCATTAGTAGTTGGCTTTGCGGCTTGGCCACATCGTCTCGTGAGAAGTCTTGAGAACTTCTCAAAAAAGTGACTAAAATTCACCTCAGAACAGTAAATATTACAGGTAAAGTATATCGGTGATTGAAGAAATCACTTTCTGGTGGAGATTTCTCGTGAATTTCCCCAGAAAAAGCCGCACGTGGCGAAGAATATTTTCTCCGCCACGTGCTAAGACCTCAATTTTGCATGAATTTTCTGTGCATTTGAAGCCTTGGAATGAGATTATCAATGTTCCTATGGTTTTGATCACACAGATAGAGAAAAGTGGACAAATTTACCGTGTTGAAATGTAAGATGTACAATTTACATATTCAACCCCGTGTTTTTCCCACAAATTCACAATCTTTGACTGAAGAACTTTGGAAAAATAGCCAATTTTCTGCGTCCCACTGAGTTAATGGAAAGCCCATAGTTAACTTTATGTACACACGCAGAAAGAATAAAATAGAAATTCTCGTGATTGAAGCAACATTCCATTTGCTTTTAATTCCATGAGTTTCTGACAATCCAAATGAACATTTCTTATCTCTGTGATTATGCCTGAATGAATAAATAAAAGGAAGTTGAGAAGAAAGCTGTGTTTTATGATTATGAACATCGCTGAGGGTCTTTCATGTCGTCCAGAGTCTTTGGGGCGCTACGGATTGCGAGTTCTTAAGGTCTTGCATGCATGCTTGTGAAAAATAAGATTCTCTGTTAACCCTTTACGCTTTCTGCAAACGTTTTCTTTTTTGTACACCATCGTAATTAAATGCAGAAGAGCGCAGTTTATTTACTATTTTCAATTCTGAATTTGCCAAACTGAAAATACAAACTTTCCTATACATTTTCTTCAATATCAGTATAATTGTTGATCCAAGGAGGATTTGAAGAACGTGTCAGCTTGTTGAAGATTTATCTGAGTAATTTTTCTACACCCAATTCCTACGAGATTTTCAGACTTCCGCTGCCAAGCTTGCATGCGAGTAGAGTTGGTTTCGCAAAGCGCGCGTTTTTTCAATTCAAGTCCGTTCAAGGGAGGTTCTGGACGCATGTGGTCACTCAGGAAGATATCTGGAACATTCCTCTGGCGTGTCTTGCATGAGATTTTCTCTATTTGATAATAAATTAACTGCATTTACATACTTTTCCTCACAAAATAGCTTTGAATCTCTGTGTGTAGTGTGTAAATAGTCAAGTGAGCTGCACAGGAAAGAGTCGCCAAGTGAGGGGAATGACGACAAACGTCTCTTGGCGAATGCCTAGAGATCCCAGGAGAAAAGGTGGTGCTTCACCAGCATGTCCCGCACACCATCTTTGAGCGGCTGGCTCTGAACACCCTTCTTGGCCGGTAATTCCCAGTCGGGATTGAGATTGAAGGCGAATTGCGAGAGGATGCGCACCTCGCACTTGATCTGCACCCATCCGGGTGAGTAGATGAAGCTCCACGGATAGTACCACTTCTGCACGATCTCCGCGCAGCTGCACAGCACCTCCAGCCAGAGGTGGAGCACCTGCTCGTTGAGCCCCAGGCACACGAGCGAGCGCAGCTTGACGTCCATCTGGGCGTGGGCGTTGTCGTGGCTCTGGTTGATGGACTGGACGGATCTGTAGAGCAGCTCCTCGGGCGTGAGCACCTTCCCGTCCTCATCCAAGCGGTACGTCTTGCACAGCACCAGACGACTGTACACGGAGTCGAAGTCCTTCTCCACCTCCCGCGTGGCCGCCTCCTCGATGAAGAGCCACGGGTGGCACGGGCCGCCCAGGAAGGAGGGCCGCCTCATGCCGTGCTCCAGCACCTGCTTGATTGTGGGCGCGAAGGTGCCCCGCACGAGGTCTGTCACCGTCTCTGAGATGGCGTCGTCGCCGGCGGAGCTGTACTGCTTGCTGCGCTCGTCCAGCAACTCCACGAACTTAGCCGGGAACCAGCCGCGTAGCCCGTTCAGCTCGCCCACCCAGCAATGTTCGTCCTTCTGGCTCACGATTGTAATGATGTCGTTGCGCCTGAAGCCCAGCTCGTCGTCATCGTGGCGCTCGAAGTCGTGCAGCGCCTTGGCGCGCCTCTTCCTATTGCGCGACACATTGATGTAGTCCTCGTGATCCTTGGCGTGGCTGCTCATCGTGTAGTCCGCCACCAGCTTTATGTGCGCCTGCAGCTTCGGCTCGATGGTGAGGAAGTGACGCGCCACTTTCAGGATCGCCTCTCGCAAGTCCACCAGGATCTCCGTTTGCCGGATGTTCTTCGACTTGAGATCCTCATCGCCGCCCTCGGCGCCAAATAGTAGCGTCTGGATCACTGATTTGCTCTTTTTCACCTGTCGCTTCGCTAGCTGCTGCTTGGGCAGATTGGGTGTGGCCTCGGGATTGCCCACGAGCGTCCCCTGGTCGGCCATCAAGTACGCCAAGTGCCGCCGGCGATGCGTGTCAATCACTGTCTGGCTCAGAGATCCGCCCACTTCCATGGAAATGGCGAAGAGATTCTCCACATCGTCAATGTCACCGGGAATGTCGCTCAAGGAGTTGAAGATTTGTGCAGAGTTCTCCAGATCCTTGAGGCTTGGCTCCTTGATCTTCAGCATGCCCAGCGTCAGCTGGAACAGCACGATGGAGCCGTCGTAGAAGAACCAGTCCCACACGCGCAGCAGAATCTTCATGTGCACCACATTGGCGAAGATGGTGAGGAACCAGTGCAGAGTGATCAGCGAGAGTTCGATATCGTGACTCTTCAGCGCCTCGTCCACAGAGCTGAGGTAGTTCCCAATCAGCGTCTGCATCACTCTCTGATCCGCCTGGATGCCCAGGAATGTGGAGGAGTAGTAGGATGCCGGCAAGAGGTCCTCTACAATCGTGGCCATCATCCAGAAGGCGTCCTCCTCCTCCATGTACAGCAGCAGCGAGGCTACAATGACTCCCGTTCCCTGGCAATAGCCAATGTCCGGATACAGCCAGGCAATTCCGCGCAGGACTCTTCGCAGCCGTGGAATCCCTGTGCCAGATGGCGAGCTGAAGCACACATTTGTGGGCATTATTCGCAGGATGTCCTTCTCAATCTGCTTGGACGTCATCAGGGCATCATTGCTGGACGCCTTCACGATCTCGCGGTAAGTCGTCTCCGTCTTGAGCTTCTTCTGCAGCGCCCCCGAGAGGCGCATCCACATCTGCGGTCGCAGGGAGTGCGGGATTCCGGCGCGAACCATGTTCCGGAGCTTCTCGGTGCGCGGCAGGACCACGTCCACAGTGTCCCAGGTCAGCTCGGTGGCCTCCTTGTGGTGCGAGAACTCCAGATGCGCTATCCACTGCAGCCGATGCTTGTCGTCCTCCACAAAGGGAATGCTGAGCAATTTGTTGGAGCTCTGCTCTGGGCCGTCCTCCTCCTCCACGCGAAAGCCGAACTCATCAAATCTATAATCGGGCTGGTCGCTGTCACTCTATCGAGACAGACGTGATTTATTATCTCCCGCAGAATAGATAAGGGACGCCCACTCACCTCTGGCTGGCCGAGCTTCGTGAGGATGTCCTGGGGCCACATCGAGGGTGTGAGCGCGGAAAAGGGTCCTCCAGGACTTGGGCGCACCAGATGCAGAGATTCAGCGATTTCCGCCAGCTCGGAGTCATCCTCGGAAGCAGCTGTGTCGAGTTTCTTCTGCAAGGAGGGACTTTCAGTGATTGACTTCGCTGCAGCTTTCGCTGTGACACTCACGATATGTTCCTCCCTGCCAGCATAGCCTTCGTGATCCCGCGCGCCGAACAGTGACTTGGCCATCTCCATCGTCCGCAAAGCAACGCTCCACAGGAGTGAAAACAACTGGAACACTTTGGTGGACAAGAGGAAGTGTCCGACGATGACACCCACACTGTGAAAGTTCGCAGAAGAATGCCGAGAAGCTCACGGAGCGAGGGATTCTCCAGTAGACCACGTGCATGATTTCAGGCCTTAACTGGCTTTAGTACCTTTGAGTTTCTGCTGCTTTGAGTGATTTGTTTCACATTGTTCGGCAGATATTGGTATTATTATCTGTTAATCAGCAAAGAATCAAATATCAAGCGCGATTTCAAGTTTCATTTCATGCTTCGAACGCAATATCTGCGATTTCCCAGAGCACATCATCTGAGCGAATGACAATGAAGTGTTGCCATGCGTCGCGAAGCAACAATTCTGCAGATTTTCCGCCAAACTCCCGGAAAGCGCCCCACTTCGCCCCCAAAAACACACACAAAGCGCTTTATTCATCCATTTATTTGACGCGAGTTTCCTTCCGGAGGACAGTTTACTCGTTCTCCTGCGATCGGATCCTGCCATTGGGATTGGTCACGCGGATGGAGAGCTGCTTGGCCCTCTCGACGATGTCCCGGCGCTTCTTGGACGACACTCCGTGGGCGATTTCGGCGCAGTACACGCGGTTCTGCATCATCAACACCTCCAGCTCGCGCAGATTGTGCACCAGGAACTTCTTGAAGCCCGTGGGCAGCATGTGGCGGGTCTTGCTATTGGAGCCGTAGCCGATGTTGGGCATCAGGAACTGACCCTTGAAGCGACGACGCACGCGATTGTCGATACCCTTGGGCTTTCTCCATTTTTGCTGGGAAAAGAGAAAAAGTCGAATGAGTTTTCTGGACATCAAGGAAGTGGCAAGAAGCTCACCTTTAGCTTGGCATATCGGTCAGATTGGTGGCGAATGAAGCGCTTCGTGCGCTTCTTCACGATCTTGGGTCTGTAGGCTGGCCGGATGGTCATTGCGGCTGGAAGAGATCAGAGAATTGCATGAGAAAACAATCCCAAAACATAACCACACACACACAAATCTTCCTATTCATAAATTCCATGCAAAACACTGAATTTCATGGATATTTCACAGTTATTGCATGCACTGATAATCCAAGTAAAGAATAAAAGAGGAATTGAGGCTGGAATTGCCTTATTTCACCTACATTTTGAGGAAAACTATAAGGTAAATCCACGTTTTCTGACAACCCAATAGAAAAGGCAGACTTGGAAACCGGAAACTCACTTGACGGCCGAATTCAGCGCTCGGCTGTGTTTTGTGGATCGGCATGACAGTCAGCGTTAACCGTTAAATTCGAATTCCCCACCCGATTGAGAAAATGTTTAATTATTATCCAATTTAAGTGACAAAAAGCCAACAAATCCGGACTGTCAGGACGTGATATTCATGTGATTTTCACAATAGATTTCACGAAATTTCGTGATTTCGTGAGGAATTCGAAGAGAATAACGGTAAAAAAATCTTCCCTAATGGAATTCCTCTGGTGGCCAACACTGAAAGCAGCCAATGTCAAAGGAAAAGGCGCAAAAGCTGCGTTCCGTCTGATTCTCACTCTCTGAGTTTTCTCTAATTTCACTGATTTTCCGGCGTATAATTTTCATCTGCAGGTGCAGAGAGCAGCAAGGATGAGTGTTCCACAATTGACAACTGGAGCCATAAAGGTATAACTTTGTTTTCTCCCTGAATTTGATGAGATTTCACAAGTTGTGAAATTAACCTCTCTTGTCGGCTCTCTGCAGAGGCTCACCGAGGGTTCTCAGGAGAAGCCCATTCTCCAGATGCTGGGCAAGAAGCAGATCTCTCAGAATGACAGCGAGCGGTATCGGCTGTTGATCTCAGACGGCGTTCATGTGCACAGCTTCGCCATACTCAACACGCAGTTGAATTACTTGATTCACGATGGCTCACTGTGCGACTACACAGTCTTCCGTCTGCAGAGCTACAGCACGTCCAAGATCAACAAGGAAGGCACAAGTGATAGGTAAGAATGTTCTCAGTCAATTTATTAGATACAAAGCGCTGATGGGTTTCCTTGCAGACACGTAATTGTCATGGCAGGCGTTGATGTTCTCATGTCGGGCGATCAAGTGGGCGAGAGAATCGGAACTCCAGTGAATTTGGATCAAAAGGGCAGCAACAGCAGCGCAATGGGAGCGACTTCCTCAACTCCAGCGTCCTCCGGACGGCCCCAGAACTCCCCTCGCGTAAGTGTGCAGCGCGGCAACGCCGGTGATTCGGGTGATTTGCGGAATTCCGCCGTCAATCCGATCTGCAGTCTCACGCCGTACGTGAACAAGTGGGTGATCAAGGCGCGCGTGGTGCAGAAGGCCAGTATTCGCACGTGGAAAAACGACAGGGGCGAAGGGAAGCTGTTCAGCTTCGAGGTGGTGGACGAGAGCGGCGAGATCCGCGCCACGGCGTTCAGGGAGCAAGTGGACAAGTTCTACGACATGCTTCAGGTGGACAAGGTGTACTTGATCAGCAGGTGCACGATGAAGCCGGCGGACAAGCGCTTCAACACCACCAAGAACGACTACGAGCTGACGCTGAACAGCGACACGGTGATCCAGGAGTGTCCGGACGACATGAACACGCCCAAGGTGCAGTACAACTTCGTGCCGATCTCGCAGATTGTCAACCTGGAGGCGAACAGCATGATCGACGTGATCGGCGTGTGCAGCAACGCCGGCGAGATGGTTCAGTTCACGGCGCGCTCGAGCGGACGAGAGCTGCGCAAGCGCGACCTGACGCTCGTGGACCAGAGCAAGGCCAGCGTGATCCTCACGCTGTGGGGCGACGACGCGGAGTCCTTCGAAGCCACGTACCAGCCGGTGGTGTGCATCAAGGGCTGCCGCGTGACGGAGTTCGGCGGCGGCAAGACTGTGTCGCTGATCGGCAACAGCATGATGAAGTTGAATCCGGACATCCCGGAGGGACACCGCGTGCGCGGGTGGTTCGACAACGGCGGCAGCGACGAGGTCAGCACGAACGTGTCCACGCGCATCGGCGGCGCGGCCGGCATCAAGACGGAGTGGGTGACGTTCCACGAGGCGAAGGTGCGGAGCCTGGGCATGGGCGACGCGCCCGACTACTTCCAGACCAAGGCCATCGTGCATCTCGTGCGCATGAGCAGCGCCGTGTACAAGTCCTGTCCGCAGGGTGATTGTAACAAGAAGGTCGTGGACCAGGACGACGGCACGTACAGATGCGAGAAGTGCAACACGTCCTACGCCAACTTCAAGTATCGCTTCCTCGTGTCGGTGAGTCGATCTTATCTCTGATGATAGCGTTGAAAGCTAGAATCCTTCAGCTTAGCGCTATATCTTAACCCAAATAGGAATAATGGACGCATTCTAAGCAGACTTAGCTACCAAAGTGAAATGTTAAGAAGCGATTCTTTGACAATTAATCACCTCTCTTTGCATTCTCTGATTCCTGCAGATGAGCATCGGCGACTGGACGTCGAATCGCTGGGTGACGTGCTTCAACGAAGTGGCCGAGCAGATAATCGGCAGGAGCGCCCAGGAGGTTGGAGAGCTGCTCAGCATGAATCCCGATGAAGCCGAAACTGTGCTGTCTGGCATTCATTTCAAGAGCTTCATCTTCAAACTGCGCATCAAGATGGAACATTTTGGCGACACGAGCCGCAACAAGATCACCGTTGTCGCTGCGACGCCAGTGAACCACAAGGACTACAATGAGTATCTGATCAATAATCTCTCCAATCTCACGGGAATTGCCACAAATTAAGAAACTTCTCCAGTCTTTTTCATTACATTCATCATCATATTATATTGAACTCAAGTGAAGTTGTTGGATTCGAAATAAAGGGAGTTGAATTGCACTCCATGGCTTAGTGGTGGAAGAGACGCACGCTGGTGTGTGCCAGGACCATTCCGTGCTCGTTGCAGGCCTCGATGACGCCGGCGTCGTTGGTGGAGCCCGCCGGGCTGCCGATGAACGACACGCCGGACTGGCGCGCGCGGTCGATGTTGTCGCGGAAGGGGAAGAAGGCGTCCGAGGCGAGCGCCACGCCGGACAGCTGGCGCGCCCAGGATGCGCGATCGGCGGCCGTAAGCGCGGCCGGCGGCTGCTCGAACATGGCCTCGAACTGCGCCACGGGCATGTCCTTGCCGACGGTGTTGTTGACATAGTTGTCGATGGCGTTGGAGATCTCGGCGCGCTTCACGCCCTTGCGGAACTGCATGCCCACGACCTTGGGATGCTGGCGCAGCCACCAGTTGTCCGCCTTGTCGCCGGCCAGGCGCGTGCAGTGGATGCGCGACTGCTGGCCAGCGCCGATGCCGATCACCTGGCCGTCCTTGGCGTAGCACACGGAGTTGCTCTGCGTGTACTTGAGGGCAATTGTGGCCACAATGAGATCTCTGGCGGCGCTCTTCGGCAAGTTCTTGTCTTTCGTCACCATGTTCGCGAAGAGAGACTCGTCGATCTTCATATCGTTGCGGCGCTGCTCCATTTGCAGCCCAAACAGCGTCTTCCTCTCCATGAGGCAAGGCTCATAGTTGGGATCGATCTGAAAGAAGTGCGAAAGCCATCATGTTAATGCTTTGTCTCGTTTCTGAGCGTTGAGATTTTAGGATTTTAGCGAAAATCGACATGCAAATATTGTATCTTTTTGGCGGATATTAAATCGTTAAAATCATCATAATCGGAAAATTAGTTCGTTACAGCTCAACTTTATATGCAGAAATTGGAAAAAAATGATTTGAGACCCTCTGACTAAATCTTAGGACAGAGTCGCGAGCTTACCTGGAGGACGCAGTAGGCGCCGTTCTTCTTCTTGCGCAGGATCTCCAGCGCCTCCGGTTCGTAGCCGGGCGCGATGATGCCGTCGGACACTTCGCGCGAGATGATCTTGGCCGTGGCGACGTCGCACACGTCCGAGACGGCCACAAAGTCCCCGAACGACGACATGCGGTCGGCGCCGCGGGCGCGTGCGTAGGCCGTGGCCAGCGGCGTGAGGGAGTCGAAGATGTCGTCCACCATGCAGAGCTGCGCCTGTTCGCGCGTCAGCGGCACACCTACGGCCGCGCCGGCCGGCGAGACGTGCTTGAAGCTCGTGGCGGCGGGCAGATTGAGTGCCGCCTTGAGCTCGCGCACGAGCTGCCAGCCATTGAGGGCGTCGCAGAGATTGATGAAGCCCGGAGAGCTGTTGACCACCTTCAGTGGCAGCTCCTTGAGCGTGGTGAAGAGCTGCGCGGGCTTCTGGTGCGGATTCATGCCGTAGCGCAGCGGCAGGTGTGACACGCCCGCCGAGAACTGCTTGCGGAAGTAATCTGAGATGGCGTCATCGTAGAGGGCAGTGCAGGTGAAGGCCTTGAGCGCCAGTCGCTGCCTGGTCTCCGCCGTGGTGTCGCCGGACGTCTCGAGCTCCCGGAAGACGGCCTCGTAGTCGTCGGGGTCACAGAGAACCGTGACTCTGGCGTGGTTCTTCGCCGCCGCGCGCAGCAGAGTCACACCGCCGATGTCGATGTTCTCCACGGCCTCGGCCAGCGTGACGCCCTCGCGCGACACGGTGTTCACGAAGGGATAGAGATTGCACACGACCACCTGGATGAGCTCGTAGCCCTGCTTCTGCAGATCCGCCTGGTCGGCCGCCGTGTCTCTGGAGAGGATTCCGCCGTGCACTGCCGGATGGAGCGTCTTCACGCGCCCGCCCAGCATCTCCGGCGCCCCCGTGATGTCCGCCACATCCTTCACGCTTAGGCCACTCTCACGCAGGCTCTTGGCCGTGCCACCGCTGGCCACCAGCTTCAGTCCCAGCGCCTGCAAGCGCTTCCCCAGCGGCACCAAGTTCGTCTTGTCCGAAACACTAATCAAGGCCAATTTGCCGGACGCCATCGCGCTTCTGTGTTCAAGTCTGGGCGGATTCCACGCAACTGGCGAAAGTGTTCTGGAGAAATGCGAAGTAGCAACTATTTATAAACCCTGTTTTTCAACCCAGATTGACTGTGTTTTCCTCGCGTGGATGAGCGGAAAAATAATGGGATTGAGTGCGCAAAGGGTCAATCGGCAGCGCTGATAAGGAATCCTCACAGCTTCGCTTCTGATAATGTTCGATGGATTGGAGGCAGTGTGAATTGAACTACTTACTCTCCGTGGAGGCGATCAATTGGGAAACGCAGAAAAATCCGCAAAACACTTGTTGATCAGCAAGGAAACGTGCTTCTGGCCGCCGCTCTGACGATTGCTGGAGATCGACTGGATGCAGTGGCGTAGCGACTCGCGTAGCGAAGATGATGTAATAAAAGCCCGAAAGGAGTCACAATGTTTGCCATATAACTTCATACTTGATAAATTGTTTCTGCTTGGAAATTCTCCTTGATCATATCAATAAATTAAATAGAAAAAGACTAGGCTCGGATCTCAACAGCTTGTGCTTCTCACCTGGTTAAGATCTTAGCCAGGAATCTTAGCAAAAGAAAGCGAAAAAATAGTTTTTTAATCTCAACTTTGAGATCTTAGCGCGATGTTGACCGAGAATAGCTCAGATCGAAGCTAGGATTGGTTCTGATCGTTGGCAATAGTGAAATACCTCTGAAATTGTTAAAAATACTGGACATTTTTTATTTATCAGAAAATAAATGATCTTTATAGACTAGACTTCACTTAATTCAGTATTTATATGGACAAAGGATTGAGTTGGGTGGAGTTAATTCAGCTTTGCACTCCAAAAATGTGTAATTTATTCCAAAGCGCGCCTTCATTCGTTGCCAACTTCATGCTCATCGGCCGCCGTTGAAAAGTTTGCGGCTCACAAGTGTTGTAGAAATCATGTGCGAAGATTGCAAATTCTCAAAACAGTGACTTTTTAGCAAATATACTGACTAATTTAAGTAGAAAAGACTTGAATGGTGTGTCTGGTGTGTTGACGTGATGAGTTCGAAATTTAGGTAATGCGCGAGATTGCTTCTGAGGCAGGAAATGAAGCGTCAATTGAGGCTAATTGGTTTGTTTACCTTTTTGCAGCGATGTCGATGAGTACGGCTTTCAGAGGCCAGCGGATTTCGACTACGGCAGCTATGAGGAGATCATGTCTGAGTATCTGAAGGTGCTCACGAGGCGCCAAATGCAGTGGGAGAAGTACATGCGGTCGCACGAGCTCACGATGAGCAGAGCGCTGAAGAGATATGTCCGCAAAGGCGTTCCTGGTAAAGCTCTTTGCTGATGGCGGGAGTTGGACAGAGTGTAGCATTGTTGGCTTTTGCAGCTCATCTGCGCGGTATTGTGTGGATGAAGACATCCGGCGCCTCGGCGGCGAGGGCGTCCGCCCCGTCGCTGTACCGCAATCTGCTGTTCGAGCAGCACGACGAGGACGTGGTGGACATGATCAAGATCGATCTGCCGCGCACCTTTCCCAACAACATCTTCTTCCCGGACGTGCAGAGCCAGCTGTTCAACATCCTCGTGGCCTACGCGCATCTCAACAAGGACGTGGGCTACTGCCAGGGCCTGAACTACATCGCCGGGCTGCTGCTGATCGTGACGAAGGACGAGGAAGGCACGTTCTGGCTGCTGCGGCACATCGTGGAGGTCATCGCCCCGAACTACCACACCAAGTCCATGAGTGGCCTCATCGTCGACATCGGCGTGCTCAACGAGCTGCTCAAAGTGCGGGTCCCTGACGTCCACGCCCACACCAAGATGCTGGGCCTTCCCTGGGCTGTGATTGTCACCAAGTGGTTCATCTGCCTCTTCGCCGAGGTGCTTCCAACCGAGACTGTGCTGCGCATTTGGGACTGCCTCTTCGCCGAGGGATACAAGGTGGGTGAGAAGGGCTATGAAAAATGTACAACTTGACCAACTTAGAGGCAATATTTGCTCGTGTTGACCCAAAGAACGCCCACGCCATCGGGGCGTCCAATTAGGGACCTTCGACCTTTCAATTCCCCCCAGTTATTGTGTGATTGATGCTCTCTAGCGTGCACGGATGACTTTCTGGCTTCTCCACCCACGAAACCCACAAAGCTCAAAGCTCTGAATTCCCACAGAAAGTGCACAACTTCTGTCCCCTGACTTCGCCTCGTTTTCCAACCAAGTTTGAAGCCTTGTGTTTCTCTTGCAGATTTTATTTCGTGTCAGCGTGACATTAATAATGCGCCATCGGGATACTTTAATGGCCACAGAGGACATTTCGCAGCTGGCGAATGTTTTTCGAGAAATGCTGCAAAGTGCGATGGTGACGAATTGCCACGAGTTCATGAGCAGCATATTCACCATTCCGGGTAACATAAGGCGCCGTGATATCGAATCTCTACGGACTCAGGTGGTCGTTCAGGAGGACATTAAGGGTGTCATATGCTAATCAAGGGAGTGAATATCTGTTCAGACATGCAATGCAGCTACCAAAGAACTCACAACAGATGCAGCCTTAATAACTACTCCAAAAAAAAAACACTCGATTTTCTGCTTAATAACTCGAAAAATGACGCCATATCAGTTTGAATTTTAATGCGGCAGCAATTAATATATTGATCAATCCCAAGAGATTGCCAAAGGAGAAAAAATATGTATTTGATGGTGAAGTTTTTCTAACACGTGAAAACCTTAAATGTTTGTTACGAATTATATTGATAGTATTACAGGAAAGTGAGGAATTTTTAACGCGATAGATTTTGTATTATGAGTCAAGTTTTTAGAATTTGAGATTAAGAATGTTTTTGTTTATATTGTCTGGGGCATTTTATTACCCTTACTCAATTTTTAAATAGTATTTGACTTCCATTATTGAATGTCTTTTCAAATGGCGGGGCTTCTAAAGTGACGGAGTTCAATAGATTATCCAACTAGAAGCTTCAACTGCCAATTGAAGGTATAAAAATCGTCACAAAATCCTTACTTCTAAGTGTTCTAATGCAACTAGGCTCCGCCCATTGGAAAACCCAGCCCATTTAGAAATTGAACGTATATTAAAGTCCTTGCATACTCTTTCCCATTGAAAAGCAGACTCAGAGCGAGACATTAGGAGTATTTTTCATGTTTTTGCGTCTCACATTCTTTTGTCTATGAGTGCTAAAAATAGTGAACTTGTGAAAAGTCTCGTGATTTGAGTAATATTAAATTTTATCTGAACGGTGCGCGGTGAATAAAGGAAAAATATGTATACGTAATGTTGGAAGGAAATGAAAATAGTCACAATTCACGCAAAGTTTGTATCCAAAGTAGGGTTAAAAAGTTAGTGAACTAGTCGAAAGTGGGAATGCTGGAGGCGACAAAGTGAATTTTGCAATAATAAAAGAAAAATTGATTTGAGAGCACTTGAGTGTTTTTGGGAGTAAAAGACGGTTTGTTGTATGTATTTTTCTAAATTTATTTTTGATGCGAACATGTGGTATGATTTAATGCATGCTTAAATGCACTTGTCAAAAGCGAAAGAATATAGAAAAAACCTCACACGTTGCAATGATTAACACAAAATCACACACAATAATGCTTCTCTCCGCAAATGTGTCCAGATATTATTCAAAAATGCTCATATTCACTTTTACGTGTTTCGACTATAACAATCAATAATGTCGTAAGTATTTCTTTGCAACAAATACATTTTTTTGTGGATTAGCGCACTACCAACAAATTATCGTTTACACAACTATTCAAGAGTCAAGCCTTAATGAAGCTGGGAAACTATAAAACAAATATAGAGATTAACTTTGCAAATTTCTAGTCATTCAATTTATGTTTTCTCTAATAACATTCTCAATATGGTTCATCAAACAAATGTCTTATTATTCTATATCGAGCAGTTTTATACTTTTACTTTAATATATATATACTTTTGTGATCCACACAAAAGGGAAATTTGTTCAGTTCAACATGTTTTGATCGTCACAATAACTCTTCTTTTCAATATATTTTTCTTTCTTTCTCTTGTGATTACAATTCTCTTTAACAAAGTATACTTGATATAATCATTTTTAACATCTTCTCTTTCTCTAACTGATTGAAAATATTGTCTGGCACGATTTAATCTTACTTACAATGTATTTTTTTTTTAAGTATTTTATACAACTCTTTCGCTAACGCCAACACGACTCGCAACTTTTGCATCTTCTACACAAGGATTAATCCAACAGGTTTTTTTTCCCAATATTATGAGCTTACAATGCTTTCTCCGACGCTTTTTTACATTCTATAATAATAACACAAGAGTCAACAACAGTTTCACCGTGATGTTTAGCATTAATTGCATTTACACAGAGTGTGGCATGAGAAGATCAAATCAGAGAGATTTCAACGTTTTTCTTTCCTAAAATCGATTGTATTTGCACAGTTAAGTATCATTAAATTTGCCAATTGGTTTTGTATAAATTCCTGCTTTTTTTCCTCCATTCTTCGTCAACTCATAATATTTATCCATCGAAATATAATTGCTTTTTTGTTACAAAATGATCACAGATCTGCACATTATCTGGCTTATCTTGCAAAAACGGAAAAAAGAGAGAGAAAAAAACTAAACCTTCCCAACCATTCACTCCTTTCTGCAACCGCGCATGCTTTCAGTAGTCAAAGATCGATGCTATTTATGCCTTGAATCTGTGATATTTGATTGTTTTGTGATCGACTTGATATTTATAAGAAATAATCATGTCAAAATTGGTCTATTTCGTCTTCAGTTTCACGCTCGGCTTCGTTGGACTGAAAAAATTCCTCATCGCACTTTTTGACTACCTAACATTTAAGAAGAAACATAAATCAACTGCACTTAAAATGCTACGAATCTTTAAAAACATTTCCAAGTATTCAATATAGTGTTAATTTCTTATCTTTACGCCTCTTAATATTCATTTTTTTTTAGAACTATAACGGTAGTGAAACGCTTGTTTTTTCACTGGTATTTCGAATGTTTATCCTTTTTCTCTTCATCAATAATAATAATAATCATAATAATATATTTTAATTCCACTACAACTTAAACTAAACTCTTATCATAAATGATTTCTTCATACTTTCTCAATGTTTCCAAATACAACGCGAGTGACTTAAGTTAACATATAGTAAAAGGTGTTTTTTGTGGTGTGGAAAGAATTTCGGGTCCATGCAATGAAATTTCAATAAGAGACTAACTAATCCTGGACACTCGTTCATATTTAGAATGCGCTTCAAGTGTGAAAGTTCATCCTCGTCAAGAGAGTGAAGTATGAAAAGATGTTAGAGTGCATTCGGTATCTTCTAATGTTCTTCTGTCTCACGATTGAGTCAGACACCGTGGAGAGATAGTGTTATAAGCCGCTGCTGGTCGAGGCGTTACCAAGATTGCTCTCCAGGGTGTCTTCTTTATGTCAGAGTGGCTGTTTGTAGACCTCAATGGCTGGTGTTAGCATATCAACTCGAGTTGATATTGATGAATCACTACAAGAAACACACAGAGAATAGTTGAAACTCAAGGCTATCGCAGCACTTGGCTTAACTCAACCTTTTCTAATCGTCTTAGGACAAAAATTAAGACAAAAGGTGAGATATATCCTCGGATTTAACTGATATTTTACGGATCTTTATCGTTTGTTAAGTATCATTTTTTATCGTTAAATTCACGCACAGAATGAACTGAAAGATTCTCAGGAGACAATCGTGTGATGTCGTAGGAAAATAGCTTCGACAATCTTTCAGTGTGTCCTAAGACAGAGTTGGTCATTCGTTTGATAACACAAAAAAGTTGCACTTCCTGGACTGTAATCTTCGTGAAATGAACTAGAACAGGTAAATCTGCACATTTGTGGTCTAAGACAACTGAAACTCGATTGGCGACAAGTCACACTCCGGATTAGGAGGGGGTTTACCTTAAATTCTCTATCCTGGGCCTACGGTTGAGACCGCGTCGTCGAATATGTCTTTCTCGTTTGCATCTACAATCACAATGCAGGACGCACAGCGCAACTGATGATATAAGTGTGATAATGAATGGCACCACGAAGAAATTGACGATCATGGACACTTGATCGTCGCGATTGTAGCTCGTCATGACGACGGTTTTGTTCATCTTGGAGAAGTAGCAGGGGAAGATGGCGCCCTCGATGCCGTACAGGTCCGTGAAGTTGCGGCACTTGACGCTTGGTGGGTAGCCGCAGCCCTTGATGTTGACGAGCAGCTGCGCCTCCTCGGACTGCGGCTGCAGCTCGGTGTAGTTGGCCAGGTGCGGCCACGTGGTTTGGTTGGCGATGTCGGCGGAGGTGGGCAGCGTGAGATTGGTGGAGTTGACGTAGGTGACGTAGATGTGGGTGCAGCGGTACATGTCCGAGGTGCAGCCCTCGCGGCAGGAGCTCCAGGAGCAGTTGAAGATGCCCATGAGGTCCTCGCGGCGCGTGGTGGTGCACAGCGTGGGGTTGTCGATGAAGTCAAAGACGAGGGTGGAGATGGCGGGGTCCACGTAGAGCGGCACGAGGAAGAGCAGCGAGGCGCCCGCCGTGACGGAGAAGAAGGCCAGCGTGGATGTCACGTAGAAGTTGGCCTTCTCGCGCCACGTTCGCTCCACTTTGTTGGCATTCTTCTTGGCTGGGGCCAGTTCCTTCGCCTTCCGCAGTCGCAGTTCCTGTTGCTGCTGTTCGAGGAGCAATTCAGAACTGCCGCTCCTCATTGTCGCTGGCTAGCTAGTTGCCTCCACTTGGTTGTTGCTGTCCTGTCCGTTGATAGCAGCGCGCCTTCCGCGATGTCCACAGCATCCCCGACACGACGGACGCCGAAGGACTCATCGGGAGGCACTCGGCGGCGCTCGTGCCTCGCGTTCCACTTTGGGCGCGTTCGCGACAAGCGAAACTATGGCTCAGCAGCAACTTCAATGTGCCCTGCTCGACTACACAATGTTCATGACCACAGACATTAAAAGAGAGGGAACACGACGCTCTAGCTTCTGCCTTTTCGGCGGAACATGGAGATTACTTAATTGATTTTGTGGTTTATACAATTCTCCTTCACTTTGCTTGGCTGGAAGGCGTCACACGCAATACAAATTTAACAGGATCGTAAATTTACACCCCTATTCTCCCTTCATTTCACCTTCGCTGTTCGAAAACCTTCACGATGAGCCTGCAGAAGAGCTTAGTGTCCCTCCTGGTGACATCATTAAACGCCAATTTCCCTCATGCGAAAATCGATAAAGCGATTAAATACTGGCAATTCCCTTGAATCACTCGTCACAGATTCTTTCATAGCGTGAACTCTTCATTAAATTCCCACACTGACTGACGTTCTTTCCGTCAATTCACTCACTTTTTTCATTCACTTTCCCATGCCCAGAATAAATTGGGCAATATTACGTAAAGTGCACTTTTTTCCCCAACACGGAAAAAGCGGAATTATACTTCTAGAGCGCACAAAAAAGGAGATTTGTAATCCGAAAAAAGTACTGTAATCAAGTCCTGTCGATGGGAAATGTCGTGCAAACACTTTTTCATATCATTATTACATAATCGAAGCGACCGAAATCAAAATCATGAAAGCAGCTGTAATCTTGATAAATATTTTAGCCTCTGTTTGCCTCTCTTCGTCACACAATCGCTCTCCCCAAAAAACAAGGCGAATGGGGCGCAACTTTGTGCACTCTGTGGGGCGAAAATGATGGGAAAACCACCCTCGAAAGTGTCCCTCAAGCTCAATAATGAAAATGTCCAATAACTTTTTTCTCCTCACACACAAGAATTATTCACAGAAAATTAAGGCATGGCAATTTTTATGAATCGCGCTATGAGGATAACTGACTGTGAGCAGAATTTTCCTCTACATGGGAGCGTCCCAATCAAAATACGCTGTTGCGCATGTACCAGGATTGTCCTCCAAATTTCCCCAATTACTCATAATTGCCCCCCGCTTTTATGGATATTCATTGAAGTTTTCAGTATCATGCGCCCTCCCTAGTTATAACATGCCTATTAACGCATTACTTATTTAGCGCTCTCCTCTATCGGTAGCCAGTTGCGAGCGTCAACTGATGGCACCTAGGATGCCACCCTTTCGCCCCCAAAGGCGCCCCACGAAGGCGAATCACTGCGGTTGTTGCGAGACGCACTGGCAAATCCATTTTCAGCCAATCCATTCCATTCGAAAAGCGCGGTTTTTCTCAGAAGCAACATCTGCACTCCCTTTGTTTGGTGGTTTAATGAACTTTGGGTGGTTGAAAGTCTCTTAAACAGTCGTAAAGCAAATTGAGAGCTCTTATTAGCATTCTCATGCATTAAGTACTTTAACTTCTTCGTAAGTTTGCTGCTGATGTGATGATAATTGCTGCCCGACAAAATTCAAACATTGAACTCATGGGAAAATAAGTTTTAAAGAGTCTGAAAAGGCGGAGAGTCTAAATGGGCGGGGCTTAAAGTTAGACGTTTTTAGTTGTAATTCTGGAAATTTACTGAAAATAAGTGAGAATTTCTATTCAAAATCATACAAATTGAAAAGAAAAACTTATTTTCTCGCACATTACAGAATATATTTTTGGGTAAAACTTGAGTAAATCATATAAATTATAAAATGGCCTTTTTTAACTGTGTACATAATTCACAAATTCTCGATAACTCAAAAAACAACTCGTTTCATTAATATTGGAAGCGTCGCATGAATTCTTAACGAATGTTGCTTTATTCTACGCATTTATTACGCACGGTCAATGCCAGGTAGAAAATCGTTGTGTCGTGAATTTGGCAACAGTGCTTTTCAGTCTGTGGTCGACTATTGAGCAAAGTGCGTCGCAAAGTGTGTCCGTGAGGAAGATTTTGAGCTAAAAGTGAAATGTCTGACGTGAAAGTCGAAGGCGACGCTCCGCTGCCCCAGAGGACGCCCAACCAGGGCAATCCGGGGGGCCAGGGGCCGCCGATGAAGGCCATGCAGCAGGATGATGGCATGAACGCGGGCCCGCAAGGCAAGAAGCCGCAGCGCCCTTTCCAGCAGGGCGGAATGGGCAAAAACATGCGCGGGGGCCACCGGGGCTTCGGCGGACAGAAGAACCAGATGAACAGGATGAACAGGGGCAACATGCAGCACCAGCAGCAGCGCAATGACGGCGGCATGAAGGTAAAATTGGGGTTTTTCGCTGCGATTTGCTCTGCTTTCCAAGATGGCGGCGGCGAAGCCATCGTGACACAATTGAAGACAATGGCGAATATTTGCTTCGATTTTCGCCCAAATCCCCGACCACGCCACGCTCTTTTGCGACGCAACTGACTGTCTTTGAGAGTGCCCAAGTGGTTATTGAACGCAAAAAAGGGGAAATTAAAATTCCACGCTGATTCCTGAGACCACGAGGCGAAAGTCCCTCGTGGTCCGGAAGTTGGCAGAGACATTTAACCTGCAAACGCGGAGATTCTTTCGTCTTAACTTAGGCATTTTCTCTGGTTTCCTCCTGTGTAGAATGAGCAGAACCGCGACGGGGACGAGCGCATGCCGCCGCAGCAGTCGCGTGGCCCCTTCCAGCGCACGAAGAACGAGGAGTTTGGGATTCAGCAGAGATTGAAGCACCTCCAGGGGCCCATCCATGACATTCCGCCGCTGGATCAGACGGAGATCAAGTTCAGTGGCAGGAATCGCCTCTACATCGGCAATCTCACCAATGATGTGAACGAGGAGGAGCTGAGGCAGATGTTCGCGCCGTACGGCGAGATTTCGGAGGTGTTCTCGAATCCCGAGAAGAACTTCTCCTTCGTCAAAGTGGTAAGCAAGAGACAAATCTTCGGGATTCCGGGTGTAATTGAATGTTCGCGAAGGATTTTTGGTGAAAAAATCATTATTTGGGCAAGAAATAGTCCGAAAAGATGATCCAGGAAGCTTTCTTCGAGTGTTTTAATGCGCCTTAATATTGTTTCAATTGCAAACACATTAAGAATTCTCCTGTTTTCCTCCAGGATTACCATGCAAATGCCGAGAGAGCCAAGAGGGAATTGGATGGCACGCTTCGCAAAGGGAAACCGATGAGAATTCGCTTCGCTCCAAATGGCACAATATTGAAAATCAAGAATATTGCACCCTTTGTCTCCAATGAGCTGCTCTACAAAGCCTTCGAGGTGTTTGGACAGGTGAGTGAAGTGCAATATCATCCATTATCTTGTCACTTAGAGGACAGAGAGGCCAATACAATAATAATAATTTGTATTGGCATTTGGGGAAATGAGATTGTTCAATCAAAAATTCACACTTGCAGGCCATCCAATTATTTGTCAAAATGCCCATTTGGCGTGGTGTATTTTTAAACATGTGCCCAATCGATTTTTTTGGGGTGTCTAATTGGCATTTGCATTGGGAATTTCAGGTTGAGCGTGCCGTTGTGATTGTTGATGACCGCGGAAAGCCGTCCGGCGAGGGAATTGTTGAGTATTCGCGCAAGGCGAGCGCAATGACGGCAATGCGTCTCTGTGGCGAGCGTTGCTACTTTCTCACATCGTCACTGCGCCCAATTGTGCTGGAGATGATGGAGCACATTGACGAAACTGACGGATATCCGGAGAAGTCGATCAACAAGAAGATGGGCGACTTCGCCCAGGCGCGCCAAATGGGGCCGCGCTTCGCGGAGCCGGGCAGTTTCGAGCATGAGTACGGCACGAGGTGGAAGCAGCTGTACGAGATGTTCAAGCAGAAGCAGGACGGATTGAAGAGGGAGCTGGCAATTGAGGAGGACAAGCTCGAGGCGCAGATGGAGTACGCACGATATGAGCATGAAACTGAAATGCTGAGAGAGCGTGAGTTGGTCGATTTGTCAATTTGCAATTGATTAGGCAGTGATGTGTGATTTTGATTTAGAGCTGCGCATGCGAGAGCAAGATCGCGATCGTCAGAAGAAGGAGTGGGAAATGAAGGAGCGCCATCACGAGGAGATGCGAACGCGCGAGGAGGCGCAGATGCGTCAGCATCAGGAGGACATTCAGATGCGAATGATGCGCCAGGACGATGAATTGCGGAAGAGACAGCAAGAGAATACCTTGTTTATGCAGGTAAAAAACGTACTTGTAAGTACGATTGATATTTCTATCAATCTATTTGCAATTAATGATGATATTATTGGTCCGTGTTTATGAATTTTAACTGATTTTGACTTTAACCATGTCTGATATTGCAATAATTTAACACAATTGTGAATTCTCAACACAACGACTTGGAGTTTCAAATATATTTTCATGTGTTTCTCAGGCGCAACAGCTGAATTCGCTGCTCGATCAGCAAGAGCGCAAGAACTTTGATGATCGTCGCGGTGGTTTCAACAATCAAGGTAGAGAGGAATTGATTGATACTTTGTAAAATCAAGCAAATTGCTCACTTTTCTCTTCTGTTTTCTTTTTAGGCAATGACATGAATCAGATGAATCAAATGAACGTGAGTACAAAGCATTTTATCATATTACAAATCTTGTTTCTCTTTTGAAAAAACTGACTTGTCTAAATGAAAATTATGAGATTCTCTATGAATATGAAATTGAAAATCACACTCTTGCAAAGCTATTACTCAGTGAATTCCCGTTATTCTCGATATAATGACAAAAATTCTGTGACAAGTTCACAAAATATTCTTCAAAATGTGTGGTGTCTTAGCAAATGGGGGAAATTGATAGAAAACACTTGATCTGATTTATTCAGATTGACTTGTACAGAGACGATTTGGTTGGTGGATTTCTGGGGAGAATAAAAAAAAACACGACTTTAAGAAATGCGCTTCTGTGAAGCTCTGAAACTCATTCTTTCGATCATGTCAATTTATTTTTCAATCATATTTGGCACATAAATAGTCTTTGATCTCCCAAGTTCGATCACAAATGTCTTCTGAGTGTCTTAAGTAGATCGACTTGCATCGGATTAATTGTGTAAAAAAAGATCATCGAGAAAAAACAGTCACAATTGACTCGATTTGTCATCAACACTTGAATTCTGCTGCACAACATGTTATCAGTTCATCAAATGGTAGACATAAGAGACAAAATACTTTAGGGAATTGAACAATTACTGCTGGGAAATTACACAAGAATATGAGAAAGTTCTTCCTTTCGTCATAACGTGAAGACTTTCGCCTATACTTATTTTAATTAAGCGTCACACATAATCATGATCAGAAAGCAATATTTGTAGGATGTGTTTGTGAGGAAATTCTGCACAATCCTGTGATTTCATTTTAAACATATTCAAGCGTAAACATACAATAGAGCTCAAGGCTAAGAATGTTTGAAAACTACTTGTTATTATTCCGAGGGTAACAAATTTGCAGTATCACGCTTGACTGCATAAAATGACACTTTACGACGTCTCGTGGGGATGTTATGAATTCTTCATCTCGTCAAGGAATGAATTGTAATGTAAACACTGATTAAAGTGTTTTTCTTCTGCTATTCGTGAAGGAAAATTCATTCAGGATTCGGATGAGTAGACAAAATCGTCTTACTGAATCACATTCTAGTGTGAAAAGAACTCAGAGAAGTTCTCGTATAAAATGCATTAGTATTTAAGGACATAATGGATCAGGAAGATTGAATTGAAAATCTTTGGTACTCTTTTGGTGGAAAGTGTTTCGCAAAGAAATGAAGAACTTACGCCAACAATTTGTTGGTTATTTCATCAAATTGTTGTTTATGCCATGACACATATATGATTAAGATGCTTACTTGTGTATTTACAACGTTCAATACTGCAAAATGCTGAGTGGATTTATTCTGCTTATACTTTATAGGTTGCATGATTTCAATATAATGGCGTAAGAATTGTTTGCTGTGGTTTTATGGCAAAATCACCAGCAATTTTATTGAGTTGAAACTCGTAAAACTAGGCAGGATTAATGGGAAATCTAACTACTGCACAACTCTGGACGGGAATCTGAAGATTCTCGCTTTTTTCATGTCGCTAACTGTTCTGTAAACCTTTGCGAACTCGGAAGGTCAGAAAACTATGCCCAAGTATGGTGGAAAAGAAATGAATTGTCATCTCTGCTTTACATATATACCAAATCATATGCTGTTGATGAAAACAATGAAGTTTTCGTACTATAACGCAATTCTAAGAGTTCTGAAGTCCTGAACTCAATATAAACTGGATGTTTTCTCTGCATTATTTACTAAACAACATATATATATGTACTTTACTTTGGGGGAATGAAGAGAAAATCTGGAAAGATCTTTACCACTTTTTAGTCTTCTTTCGTACTTCAATGTGCGACAAATTTCCAAATAAATATATTCTTTTAACGGAATTCTACTGAGTAATAGCACAATAATTAGAAAGTTTGCAAGGACCTTTTGCGAAGGGTCTAAATTGTTTGAAATTTTTCAAAGTTTTCTCATGGTAAAACCAAAACTTCTTGTCTCTTTTGCTGTGGGTGACCTACAAATTGTAGTTGTTACTCTCTTGGTATGTTTTAAAAAAGTGTTGATATATTGAGAAAACTACAAACAATTTACTGTTGACTATATAAAATACTATCTCTCACTGTGAATAGTATTTTCTTATTATGCATCTCACATTGCGTGTAAAAGAATTTCATAAGCCAAAAAATATAAAATAGAAACATGTGCAGAAAAATACGTTTTCAGCGAATATCAAAAAAAAAAAACAAAGAAGAGCAGAAAGAAGAAGGTAGTAATTGAAACAAACATTCAAATTTGCAATTGCGAATTAGGACGCCATTATGGATGATCACTTTAATAGACAACAACAGTCACGCTTTGACGATGGTGCGAAGCCCGGCGGCGGTGGTGGAGGCGTGAATGGTGGACCTCGAGGTAATCAGCGTCCTTGGGATCGTCGTGAGGACAATTTTCCCAACAAACGCCGACGTTTCTAAGTTCTCTTCTCTGTGTAGAGAAATTCCTACACTTTCACGCTTCGAATATCTGAGCAAAACAGAGAGAGAATGTTGTGAGAAAGGAAGATTTTGATTAGATACTATAAGTTTGACATTTATATTCATAATAACTGTAGAAGAAGTTTTAGAGGAGAGATTTCACACACACACAAAACACACACTTTACTACTTTAAACGTTGAGAATTTTCTCACACGAGAGAATGGATTAATATTGAACTTAAATATTGTCACCGACTTCTTGTTAAAGACAGAAAGAAAACTATCTTTTTAACGCATTAAAGTCGCATAGATTTAATTGAAGATAACTAATGTTTAAGGGTAAATCATCATCATCATTTCGTATTCGGTTGACGACAACTGAATGAGAAGAACATATAAAAAAATGCAAATGAAGTGTTTTACAATTTAGGAATTCCATTAAGATTGCCTGAAATTTTGAAATTCTCTTCAGAATTTCAGTTGATTGTTGTACAACAAATTATACATCTCTTATAATTAATGAAATAATAATATAGAGATTATTTTAGCGATTTGATGTGACTAAAATCCAGTCACGAGTTCAAACAAACTTTGAAGAAGAAAAAAATCAGCTGGCATTTATGCATGTCGGCAATTATGAAAATAATGTACACTTACGTGAAAATATACGGTGTGTCTGCAAAATTACACTATATAAATATCTCTGACAAAGTGCGATCTTTGGGGAAGGGAAAAGCTTTGGGATGTATTAGCAAAAACCTGTAATTCTTTATGTTTTATTTCAGTTAAAGACGATATGAATGGATTTATCGTTCATCTGCGATTTGCAGTTGGACTTTGTATTACTCATTTGTCTGTATTTCAGGTGTTTATCGATTTTACTGTCTCTTGGTTATGCCGGAAATGTCACTTGTGTGTTCCTAGACCACGATCATATAACAAACTACGTCCCTGATCTTCTAGCCACGGCCAAAAAGGGAAAACTTGGCTCACAATCTTGGAGTTGATGATAGGGTTGAAAGAAAAGTCTAAGTGATTTGCTTGGAAGGAAACTTGTGTATCTGGGATTATTTGCGCTTTACGACTTTGAACACAATCGACAAGAGTGAAGATGAAGATGAAAAACTAGTAGGAATTTTCGTAGTCTGCGTAGACAGAAATGTCTTAAAGTCTAATTTCTAAGATTTGCATGTAATGCAAATAGTGAAATCATTGGGATTTCTTAAGTTTTGTCTACTCTGACGAAATGATAAAACGATTTCAGACAATCACGATCAATAGACTCGATTCTGGACTAAAAAAAGAAGAATTAACATCTTGGATTTAAAGATTATAAAGATTTTTGATGAAGGCTGTTTGGATTTTGATATTTTTGTGCCAGAATTGAGCCTATATTTGATTTCTAATCACAACTAAGCATGTTTTCATTCTCATTCTTAAAAAAAATCCTCACTTTTCACTTCCCTGCATGAACGAATATTTGTATTTAATATAAACATTTCATCATTTCCGACTACCGGTTTTGGAGCTTCTCTAATCCCAACTTAAGGACTCTAACTCGATTCTGACAGACGAGACTGATGATGTTAATTTAGGGAAAGACAAATCATGACTAATCTTACCCAAAACTATGCGCTTGCGAGAAGCAAGACGAATTTGTGATGCAAAGTGAAAGAAAGAAAGAAAGAAATACGAATGGTTTTTGGGCATCTGAGCTGCTTGTTGTACAAGAGGTTCAACAAAACTTGTCTCTCAAACACCTGTAAGGATTTTTCTTACATCATGAACCACTGCTAGACTATCAAACTGCCGATAAATGAGTACAAGCGTACTTGTAAACTGAACCTGAATTCATAATAGCAAAAGCAATACTTGAGGTAAGAAACTTACTGTAATTCCAAAAGTGAAATATCTCGCTTTATATGACAAAAATTTACCAAACTCTATTCATGAGATGATGTAGAAGATGAACAAAATGCATTGCGGGAAAGGTGGAGCGGAATCCAGACTGTGTCCTGCTCTAAACACACTAGTGTGAAGAGGAAAAAACATCTCTTAATCCTCAAATAATCTACTCAAACTGTTGTTATGTTCCGACACGGAACTTGTCTGCCAAATCCAATTCTCAAGCAATGAGTTAACAACTCTCTAAAGCTCTGCTGTCTCTGACAAGACGCGAGGGAATTGATCATGGAAGTGATCTCTTTGTCAATACTCTAATGAAAAAGCACTGACTGAAGTGTGGAAGAAAATAATGATATATGAGAAAAATGCCAATTTGTACAAAAGCCAGCAAATTCTAATTGATTGTCTTTTGCAGTTTCGATCGCATGGCTGAAAAGTTGACTTGAGGCTTTCTGGACGAAGCTTAAAGGTATGAAATCCCCTCAATTTCTTGAATTTACTTAGAATTTAAGCAATGATGATTAGAATTACCGGTTGAAGTGTTCTAGGAAATGTTAGTGAAAACAACAAATTCTGGCTGCTTATTTTAAGTCTGAAAGTTTACATCGAATTCCTCTTAAAGTCTTGCAAATGACAAATTCTAAGTTTAGTTTTTATTATGTTTATTCACAGAATTTCTACTGATTTAGGCGTTCAACTTATCCCGCCATCAAGTACGGGGCACATGAAGTGCGGAAAATGGTAATTATTGTCTCTATAATGTGTGTTTTTATCCTTTTGGTGTTCTTATTTATTTTACTTGCACGAAAAGCTCAAATTCTTTTAATTTGTGATGAATAGAATTACCGATTGAGACTTAAAAGTCGATGAAACCAAACTTCTTGGCTGCTTATGTTCTGATTTTTCATTATAAAATGAACATTTTCTTTAGAAAAGTGATTATTTTTACTAATTCTCATTGCTTTCGTTTTGCAGAATTGATTGATGATCTTCAGGACGACTTTTCTGTTGATGTGAAGACATTGCAAAAAGGTATGAAAATATGCAGATTTTACGAGATCTTTGAAATAGAGATGAATCAATGATTAAACCAACGGATCTAATTACATAATTTTTCTATGAAAATTGATGAAACTTTACTATATGAGAATTCTTTGATAGAAGAAAAGAGATTTTTTGGCAGTTTTAGAGAGATTTTCATGGGTTTTTATTTACCTTTTCAGATTCAATGGTTTTTCAACTGGAGTTTCTCGACCAAAAGCGGTGCAAAACAGGTAATTTGGCTTAATTGAATATACACTTCAGTTGTTATGATGAAATTAATTGGTCCGTGTTTATGAATTGTTTTGATTTCACCACTCCAATTACTGAATCATTGAAGTTAACGCAAAAGAAATTGTTGGTTTTGCTTTGATTCTAATGTTGAATTTCTGTTTTCAGGTCTGGAGTTTGATTCAAGGCTGCTCAAGGAATAAAATCCGTGACTAGGTAAATTATTTGACAGAATTTTCATGCTTTAATTTAAGTGGATGATGACTTCTCACTTCTTTCCCCGGCATAGAATTTTGAATGACAATGAAGTTCTGATCTAAATTAACAGAAATACAGAAGACTTCCTTATCTATTCCTCAAATTAATGCCTTCCTCTTTATCTTGCAGGACTTACGAGACCGTCCGAGACTGAGAAGCTGGAATTAATTCTCTGTATTTAGCTTTTTATTATTAAAGATACAAAAAAAAAACACTTCATAAACATCTTTTACTTCAAAATACGTTTTGCAGCTGCGTCATTGGGATTTTGTACACGTTTCTGGGGCGAATCTGGACGTCTTTACAGTGCTGAGCTGAGGCTCTGCTGTTCCGCTTGGCCTCGCGTGCTGCCGGACGACTGCTTTGGCCTCCGGAAGAGCAGAATGTGCGGCTCCGGAGAGTGGATCATGTAGTGCACCCAGCCGGGGCTCTGCTGCACGCCCAGGTTTCGCCACTCGGTCTCTGTCATGAGGTGTGTTCTCGGGACGTGCTTGGCCATCTCCGTGGGCAGAATGACATGCCTGGGAAGGCGAAGAGAGCCAGGGAAAAATAAGCCGACCATTTCAAGGTTATGCTGGAGAAAGTGCTATTTTTACCGATACTCGAAGATGTCATCGAAATATTTCTCTGAATACTGAATCATGTTGCAGTCTGAGGGCATTTCCTGCTGTCTACACAGTGTTTTGTGTACTGCTGCTGTGTCCAGTTGCGGTATTTACGCGATATTGAGAAAAGGACGCCGTCGCCATTCGTTATTCTCCACTGACGTTTTCGCGACTTCATCGATTCTGGGATATTTTTCTCGCACCGATAGCGGACTTTTTCCGCGAGGTGGCGCGCACGCCTCATCGATTTTGGCAGATCCAGAAGAGAGAGAGGAAAAAAAACATTCAAACTGCAATTGATGTGAGTGAGACTGGAAAAGTGCATTTTCCGTGTTTTCTCGGGTGTGTAATGTGAATTGAGTGTGTCGCGGTGAAAATGGTGAATGCCAGCCTAACGTACGAGATATTGATGTATCTGAATTCATTCTATTTCGGAATGTTTGGCGCCTGCGAAGTTGGCATGAGCGTCCTGAAAGCCGTGAATCTCCCGTATCCGGAAGGGAGTTTGCTGCGTGACGCCCTACTCCTGGTGTCCCTCCTCATTGCTGAATCCATTCGAATATACTTCGGCAGACACGGAAGTCTCAGTGACCACGGTAAGCGCGCGAGAGCCCAGAGTTTGCCCAACGCGCGCCGCACACGGAAAATCTATTTTTACGAAGGCGCCGAGCTTTTGTTGAAAATGGCCTATTTTTTCCCGTCGCGCACTTGCAATTGTTTACGGCCAGGAACTGTCCGTGTGCAGCTGCGAGGGCGTGCTGGGCGGAAATATGAGGGGGAAAACCCGCAGCAAACGGCGATTCCAGGCGGCGTTTCCATGACAATGTCGGCGCCCCTAAAACGCGGAACGAGCTTGCAAGTGCGTCGCTAAAAATAGCCCAGGATTCACACACACTTTTTTCTCTCTTCTCCTCTCCAGGTTGGCGTGTCATATGCTCAGTTTTCCTCACATTTCCCAGCGCGGGCGGCGTAGTTTACCTACTGTACTTGCAGACACACAAGCTGGGTCTGGAGTACATCCTCTGTGCCTTAATGTTCGCTCTCCAGCTGACCGAGATCTTCTTCGCCCTCCTGTTCGTCCTGACCATGTGCCGTCCACCGAACTACAACTGAACCCCTGACCAGTAGCACACCCACGGACCCCCTCAATCTAGTCGCTGGCGTGCAGGAACACCCAGATTTCCCGGACAAGCCAACCAGAAATAAGGAATATTAGCGAAATGTGTTCACGTTGACAAGTTTTTCTGTGTATTTTTGAGTGTTAACCCTCGCTTAGCGAGGACATGTGACATGGCGATTGTAGCAAAGACGCAATCTTTTGTAAAGAGAGAGAGAGAAAAGGAGAAAACCAATTGTGGAAACCCCTCGAATGTCCGCTGTGGGTGGAGAAAATGTAGCCAAAGGATATCAATGTACTCGAAAAGAAACTCAATTTAATACAAGAGCATACTCGATTTAATTACTTTCTTGTATAATACTCCTATACAATAAATTTTGCACTAAAATAAATTACATTTACGCGTCACTGCAGACCCAGAAATTCAGCAATATTCAGCGATACTTTCTCATATTTTGTCGCAATATGCATAAAATATCACTATTTTCTTATGTACGTTCTTTGCGCGCCTTATCGACCTTACTTCCGCAATTAAGAGCGATAAGCCAAGTAGAGCAAACAATGATGCTTCTCACATGATGAGAGATACACAGCAGAAGATAAATTTGAGTCTGTTTTGCACGTCGAAAAACACTTAATATTCGTACAAACAAAATACTTTTGGAATAGTGAGGAAACATTCAAGACAAGATCTACCAAGTGAGTCACTTTGTCCTCTGAAATTTGGAATTCAAAATCAATCATTGAAATCCTGAATTCTTTGGCATGCAATAAAATCTGCCTTTAGCCCAGCTGATTGGCAGATATTCCTATAAATTCGTTAAATTTGCTCCTATCTTTGATAAAAACCAATTGTCTTGCTGCGTTTTTACTGGGTTGAATTGCATCTGCAATGGATTAAAGTCATAAGAATTGACTGATTTCTGCTGAGAATTCACGAAACTGGACTAGAGCGCTGACCCACTTGGTAAGTCTAGTGTTAGGATTGTGCTGCGCTTACGCGTTGAGGCGCGGCTTGGCGTACGCCGCGGCCATCTCGGCGGCGCGGCGGCGGATCGCCTTGATGCGCTGGTTGCAGTACACGCGCAGCGAGATGGCGAGGAAGACCACGAAGATGCCCAGCACGCCCAGCGACGAGATGTGGTGCTTGTAGATGAGACAAGAGAGCAGGATGGCGATGGCCTGACGCACGGTCATGATGATGGTGAAGACTACGGGCCCGAAGCATGCGATGGTGTAGAAGATGAAGAGCTGCCCGAGCGCCGAGCTGATGCTCAGCACCACGCAGTCCACGACGAACTTGGGGTGCTGCGCGGCGAAGGCCAGCGACTCCATGAAGCCGCCCTGGAGGCTCAGCGAGGCGCTGGTGAAGAGCGTGCTGAACAGGTTGATGCCGCACATCATCTGGATGGACGTCATGTCGTAGGTCTTGAACAGGTCGCCCTGCCAGTTGGACGTAAAGCTGTCGAAGATCATGTACAGCGTGAGCAGGAAGACGCCCGTGAGCGTGGTGACGGGCGACGCGCTGGAGTCCTCGGCGCTGCCCGTCATGAAGAACACCATCCCCACCGAGATCAGGCCGGCCGTGAGGTACTCGTAGAACTCGTACTTGGCCTTGGAGATGATCTTGCCCATCACCATCACGGGGATGATCTTGCACGACTTGGCCAGCACCTGCGTGGGGAAGTTGATGAACTTGAGCGCCTCGTACTGGAACCACGCGCTCATGATGTTGGACAGCGAGGCGAAGGAGTACTTGTACAGCGGCGCGCGGTGGCGCGTCCGCTGCGTGACGAACAGATACGCGCCGGAGATGACGAAGGCGAGGAATCTGTTGGTGAAGACGAGGAATTGCGAGTCCCTGAAGTGGCTCCGCTTCCCGTCCGCGTCCTCGTACTCCTGCGTCATGATCTTCTCTTGCAGCACGCCCCACGTGAGGTGGCACGTCATCAGGCCCAGGAAGCAGTACGTCAGCCGCAGGCATTCCCGCAGGAAGCCCTGTCCGGAGGCCTTCTTCTGCTGCGCCGCATCGGACTTCTCCACCTCGGCGCCGCTGAAGCAGAAGCGCACGGCGGACGGGATGAGGCGACCCTCGCCGCTCTTCTCCAGATACCGCACGCGCTTCGTGTACTTGTAGATGAGGAATCCGGGCAGGAAGATGCACGAGTAGCCGAAGCAGTTGAGCCCCAGCTTAAGTATCCAGCCGTACTCTTTTGCATGCGTGTCAACCAGCTGACTCAGCGTGAGATCCGAGTACTCCCCACCAAAGTAGAGTCTCATGAAATTCGAGAGGATGTGAATACATCCCAGAGTTGCAATTATAATTACACTGAATGCAGAAAAAGAAGGGACAATCAACAAATCTCCTCCACTTTCTAGGTTATCAACACCACAAATCTCACCATATTATCACATCAGGAATACGATTTTCCATGGTATTACTGCAAATCTAAGTAGCGCGGTGATACTTCTCTGCGAAATATCATGTGTAACGTGGTAAATTTCGCGTGAAAGTAGTGAAAAAAAATTAAATAAATATTCGCAGCGATTTTGAATGGCAAAAACACTCAAAAATCGAAGATATGGCAATTCCGGCAATTTCCGCTGGGCGGCGCTGCGAAAATATCCGGGAGGGAAATTTTTGCCCCCACCATGCGGAAATCGATGAGTTTTAGAACAAATATGGCGTGCGGCTTTTGAGGAGGAGAGTGAACGAGTTTTCTTCCCGAGTTTTCAGCGGTTTTCCTGTTTGTACTCTGATAAATCTCGTCTGAAAGTAGTGAAAAACCGCAGCAGAGTATCTTCGGCAGAAGATAGTGGCAAAAGTGGGCAGGAAAAGTCTTCGGAAAAAGGTGAGAAGAGGAGAAGAAAGAATGTGATAAAGTAATGAAATTCCACACCACACACTTCTATTTCCATCCACACTCATTCACACAGTCTTCACAGCGCTCGCACGGCTATAAATAGAAGTTGCATGTGTCAGCGGAATAATAAGGTCTTCCAAATTGCAGGATTGAGCACACACAGAGCACGGAATTGAAGGGAGAACGGGAAAAGGCAGGCAATATGGCGTCGCAAGTGGTTGACAAGATTCACATAAACAACTCGACGAGTATCTCGCTGAACGATCGCTTCACCATCATGAAGAGCACAGTGGATGCGCGCAGAGTGTCCAGGGCGAGATCCCGATCGCGGTCCCGCTCGCGTTCGCGCTCGCGCAACTTCAGCGAGCCGCTTGTGCAGCGAAACACTGCCGCGTCCCTTCAGGGCGGCTCCGCCCGCAACAAGAGCCTCATCAGTCGTCTGACACAGAAGCACGACGCCCTGGCGGAGAGGACGTTGCGAATGGTGAGTCCCACTGCGAGACGCAGAAAGGCAGAGTGTGACTTTTTCTCTTGTCTTTGCAGAGAAATATGCGCAACAACGTCCGCCCGAGGCAGCAATCCGGAGGCAATCCGGGTCGCAACGGTCAGAATGCTCTCAGAAGGGCCGCACGAGCCCTCAATGTGTTGACGGCGGGCAGACGCCTCTCGCGGGCCAATAGTTTGTCAAATATTGCAACGTAAGCCCCTAAATTTCATCCTCAAAGTCTTATAAATTGAGCTCAGAGTCGTGTTGCAACTTCCAAAATCTCCTGGCACATCACATTCGAGAGATCATGACACGCAATTTGCGCGAGATTTGGCCAAATGTGCTTGTGCCGATCCTTGTCTCGTTGGCGTTTGGAGATATTTTTCCGGGATGGCGATTCAGGCAGGGAGACAAGGCTGAAAAACCTCTCTCTTTATCTATGATTTTCCTAATCCTGTGATAAGTAATTTTGCCCCCCTGAATATTATAGTGTGACAGAGCGATTTAGTAGCGGCAGAATGAGTCGCACGGCATCGATGTCAAATATAGCAAGTCGCATTGGCCAGAGGCGCCGCGGAGCAGCGAATATGCGTGGCCAGAGGAATCTGAAGAGGACCGGAAGCAGGCAGAGCGTCAACAACTTCACCAGGGGCCCGCGCGAGTCCGTGAATCGTCGCCTGGGCAGGAGCGCGGTACAGATGGGCCAGCAGAGAGGAGGAGCGGCGCGACGCGGCGACAGAGGCGCTCAGCGGCCGATGGGACAGCGCAAAGGCGGGCGTCCGGCGCAGCAGCAACAGCAGCAGCAGCCGCGCGGCAGATCCCGAACTCGGTGAGCGATAATCACAGTTTGGCGTCATAGATAAAAGGCCATATTTGTCATTTATGGAGAATTCCAATGTCAAGGTGAAGAATTTTTGGGCGTGTTTGTGAGTTTGGGCAGCATTTTATGGTAAAATTGTGAATTTAGTCGTTTCACGTGCCCTTAAATCACTTTATGACATGTCTTGAGGCTTTGTTGTTTCACAAATTTGCCCTTAAATGCCGTTCAAGAGCTCACAAACATCCTGGATTCCTCAAAATTTTAGCCACTTCTTGACCTTTTTTGTATTCACCTGACTTCGTTTACCTTTTGACATTGGAACCTTGATTGAAAATGTGCGCAGTAAAATATCTATTGACGATTTTTGGGTAGATAAGAAACGACTTAAGAGGGAAAACACAAAAAAAACTGTCAAGGAATGTCAATGTTTCTCACTTAGATTCTATTTTGAGAGGAAAATGCGAGTAAAAACCGAGGTTTTGATATTTTTAAGCACTTTTCTAAGGCAAAGCATGAAATTTCGTCTAATGTATTATAAAAATGTCTGACTAATCAATTAATATGCGGGGCATTTGAATGGGAAAGACTTTTATTCAAAATAGATGTGTAAAAAGTGCTTTTCAATCAATTCCATGGTTTCTGAACTTTCTCTTCGGGTTAGCGGATTTTTGGGGTTTTGAATTTCGTGTGCGCACATTTTTGAGCGTCAATCTTTAAAGGAGGACCAATAAAATCCCTTAACACAAGAGTTTTTAAAATGCAAATATTTAAACGCGAGTTTACATCGAACCAATTCTAGCTATTCCTGATCTAAGAGCCAATCAAAAGCTGTCTTATAAGCATTTCTGTTGTGCTGTGAATGTAAACCATTTATTCTGTAACTCACAGAAAGTTCTATTTTGGGGCGCTTGTAAGAATGCTGCAGATTGTTTACAATGCTGGGAATTGCATCGACTAATCAGGGGAATTTCTTTGATGTCTCTGCACAGGGTGATGCGCAATGCTGCCAACGGAGGCGGACCAGGAGCTCGCGGCCGGTCGCAGTCCAGGAATCGGGCGCAGCCGAACGGCAGGAGCAGGAGCAGGAGCAATAGACGCAACCGTAGCCGCAGCCGTGGACGTAATGACTATTAGTAACTATGCCGCGACTGTCCGGACAGGACATTCTAAAAGCCTCTTCCATTGCAGAGCCCAATCGGCAGCCGGCGAAGAGCAAGGAGCAGCTGGACAAGGAGCTGGATCAGTACATGTCTCACACGAGCGCTGATCAGATGGACACAACGTACTGAAAGCGGCGCTTTTTCTCATTTCTGAAGTCATCGATTATGTTTTTTTGCATTCTCAAACTCCGCGGAGGATTTTTCTTTGAACTATAAGAATTCTGAGAACATGATTTGGAATAAAATTACATTGAAGTTCACACTAAACGGCACTGAGTTTTTTCTTTTCCTCCGCTCTGCCTCTAAAAGCGCCCAATGACGTGTTCGCGAGACGCGCGAGACGAAGAGAGAGAGAGAGAGTTTAGTAGACAGAAGAGTGTCATTCAGTGAAGTGGCACGCGAGATTGGTCGTCTGCAAAATCGTCTACAAATTGGGTTCACGTGTCGTGCAAACTCCAGTGATAAGCAAATCAGCGAGCGAACTATTCTGCCCACGACTGCAATTTGTCGCATCCAGCGAAGATGAGGGACATTCCGGAAAAAGGTGCGTGCTTTGCCTCGCTCGACTATTGCACAACGACGACGAACTCTGACTCAGTTATATTTATTTATTATATAATTTCCCTCGTGCGCCACTCTTATGTGAAGTCGGGAGATTATATTTGGCGTTGAGTAAGGCGGAATAAGTGAGGAAAACATCATTACCTTCCTGCCTGGCACATAACCTCAATGTCACCGCGGCCGGCTGGGAAATACGCAAACGCCACGCAGAATTACGCACATTCCATTCAATTTACTCACAGGCAATCCTATTGATAAAGCATAGTTGTCGGAAAATTGCCTCACAAGCGATTGGTTTTGGGAAATATTCAAAACAAGATTCAAAACATCCCGCTCTTGGGATTCACACTCCCTTTGCTGTTTTCAGGATCACATTTTTATTCAGAATTCTTTCATAGCTTTCATTTTCTTTGCTTTCTCCGAAAATATGTTTTGAGACTTTTCTGTATTTGCGATCCTGTTTATAATATTCAAGGCATTTCTCACGCCTTCTTCTGAGTTTTGTTTCTGAATCCGACAAATTCTTAGTTTTATTGTATATTTTGAAGTTTAATAACCATAGCTTAGGCTAAGAAAGCTTGCAAAAAGCTTTTTTGGCAAGAAAAAATGTTATGAAAAATCCATTATCAATTTTCTGGCACGTCTGTTAATATTCTGTAGATTGTTGCAAGACTGTCTGTTGAGTGTCTTAAGATTATCAAACGACAAGACGAAAAAACCTAAATAAAACTTCGTTCGGTTTATTCTGAAAGATTTATTAGCATTTTTCACCTTTGATTACATAAGAATTTGCTGCAAAATTCAAGCGAATTTCCACGAAACGCTAATTCAAAGGCAAGTTTTTTCTTATCTCTATCAAGTGATGGTGAGATAAAAGAGTTTGCAGAACTTTTTGCAAAACTCCACAATTTAAATACATTTTGCTTTTTATCCATAAACATATTTCTTTATTGCCTTGCAAAGAGGCTCTGAAGGAGTTCGCTTGTGAACTTGTCTTGACATTCAAGAGAGTCCGGATCATTAAATTCCTTCATGCTCTCTCGCATGGGTAAATGCTAATCATTACTCAATCGCGCATTATGCCTACGTGTCATAATTTTTGGAAATGGAAAAACTTTTGCAAGGTTTTTTGGCAACTCCACATAAAACATCCGTGACTGATTGAGTAATTGCATTCAACATTGGGCAAATGGGAATTTCACCTATGACCTTTCCACACACGACGCTAAGTGAATAGTCTAAATATAGACTTCCACCCCTTTTCACATAATTTCCTGTGCGGGAGAAGCGGTGATTTTGAGTTCCATGGAAATTGGATGAAAAGTACAATTAAAGCGATAGTTGTGGAGGCGATGCGACGGTGGGATGTTATCACTCTTGAAGGTCTCCGATGAGAAGTTTCAGTTCTAATTAGGCAAATTTGCGCTCGAGCAGAATTACCCTGTGGCGGTCTGACAATAGAAATACCTCTTGACGCTTCTGCCTATGCACAATTTATTGTAGGTATATTTTTGGGAGCGCCATAGTCATTCATAGTATGGCACTAGCCATTCAATCTTTTCCATTTTCAGCGGTAATAATGGTGTGTGTGTGGGAAAAACTACACAAAAGGCAGCTCACGGTGTGTTTGTGGCAAAACATTGCGTATTGTTCTTGGTAAAATTGTATAACAGTGTTCTTTCTGCTATTTTTTCCACCACACATTGATAGCGTTTGAGGATATATAAAATGCGCATGTGACAGAAAGTTGTTATTTCGATAATTCAGCGCGAGCTTTCTTAACAGCAAACGCAGTGTTCGCCAATGGGCTTAGCACCTTCGTCATGGATTCACTCCATAAATCAGTGGAAGATCACCAATTCACAACAATGGACGCATGTTTCACGGCTTTCGATAAGGACGGGTGAGTTTTTCTCTGTTTTTCTCACCTAATATTTTTCCTCTTTTCTCCACAATTCACCTTAGTTGCTTGAGTTTTTTCTTTGCCATAGAATCTGCCATTTGTAGTTAGATTTGAGGCACTTTCTTAGGACATTTTGCGGCAAAAGACGCGCAATCTTAAGGGCTTTCGTGATTGCTTATGTGCGTGTGCAGTGGAAATGCTAATCTGCGAAGAGTACAAAGTGAGAAATGGTGGATATAAGTTGAATAAGTTCTTGAAAAAGTGTTAAACTTGACTTATTCAATGACTTGGAAGGAAGGAGAAAAAGTTCTAATATAATTATATGGATTTTTGCGCATAACATGTTTATTGATTTAGAGAGAAAAGTCGGCACAACATTTTCCACATATTTAGCACACATAAGACGGGAAATTGAGCAATTTCCTTATGTAAGAAGCATCGTTGATTGTGTTCATCTCAATTTTGCAGCGATGATCGGCTCTCCTTGTCCGAATTCACGCTGATTTGTCGGGCGCTGTTCAGGAACGACAAGGGCCACATTTATGTTGTTCCGCCGGATTGGCTGGAGCACATGTTCGCGGTGTTCGACAAGAACAACGACGGCTTCATAGACAGGGATGAATTTCAGTTTTGCTGGAACAACTGGATCAAAACGGTGAGTTTATAGCGTTTAGTGGGAACGATTCCCACTCAAACTGGGGAATGTTAAGCTTCAAACATATAAAAGTTTAACATTCAAATTGAATGTTAATTGTTAGAGAGTTTACAATCACTTCACACTCTGTAAGAGAAGTAAAATCGAAAAATTTGCCAAAATGTTTAAAATACAATAAAATAATTAGTAAAACCGCGATAAAAATAATTTACTGCAAATATATTTCATGTTCATGCTTGAAAATAAAAACGTCATATTTGCTCCATATTTCAGATCCATCTTTCCAAGTTATTCTGCAATTTCTGATTTATTCCTTTGCTTTTTACACATTCAGGCGGCACAAATCAGTTTAACATGTGTGAATAAGAGTTGCAAATAACACAAGTCGTGAAATTTTTAACACGATCGCCATTCTAAACTTTCGTCATATTCCACTAGCTTTAAAGTTATCGAAAATGATTTTTAACTAAGTTAAAACATATTTTTAGAGGAAAAAACGTTAAAATTTACAATCCAACACATAATTAGTTTATATCAGTTCTGTTTTACTCGTAAATTGTGTAAAAAAGGGGAAATTTCACACATTTTTTATCGATAAGTGTCGGTAAAGTCAATAACTTATCGACATATAATGAGATATTTCGCTTACACAGGTGACTAAGAATAGCAAAGATAGTTACAAACTAATATAACACATTTTTAACAATTCTTGTTTCATTAGGAATCGCTGCATTATATTTTAAGTGAAATTATTCTCAATACTCGATCAATTCTCCATAAATTTTATAAAATACTCTTTTAATTTAAATTAAGAATAAATTTCATACTTGATTCTCTAATGTGATTTTGGTCATTTATGTGTGATAGCGAAGAAATGCCTATTTTTGCACAAAAACTTTGTCAAACAGTGTAATAAAACAGGCGACTTTTCCATTAATTTTGCGAGCAATAAAAGCATCTCTCATTATTTTGCTGTAACTTCAAGTGAAATATCGGGTAAATGAAGAGCCATTAGACAAGTCAGAGCAATCAATAAGTCAAATACTTTTTGTGTTTGTGTTGAAATTCTGATTTTTATACCTTTTTTATTTGTGGAATTTGATCATAAATTGCGGTGCGGAGTCTCGCCTTCGGCGATGCGCATATGTAAAATTGCTGTATGACATCGCAATTCATTTTCATCAAAGATTGAACTATTTTTGGTGCTTCACAGGAAATTAACATACACGCAAGAAATCAATGAATCAATAAAAAAGGAACAATGGCTACACGTTGGCATTTTGCAACAATGCTGTGCGCTATTGTAGAAAAACACCATTTCACCATGCGTGATACATCGGAAATGTCTTTTATATAGAACTCCCTCGGCGATGTGGGATAAATGGGGCTGAGCTGCAACCTTGGGTGGAAAAATTAAACCTTGGACATCGATAACAACACCTCGTTTGCATTGACTTGTGGGTGAATTATAAAGTGGAGCAGATTTGTGTGGGGATGGAATTGTGTCTTCACGCAATCTGCAGCGTAGCAATTATCAACTTATCATGCAATATGAAGAATATTTTATCTCCTCCATCGCAAGCCGATGAATCTCTGACATTTCGTTTGCATATTGCCGGGCGAGTGGATGTTGCAACTGCATTATCAGCACTGAAATGTAATTTGTGGAAATTGACCTTTTGAACTTTAGCCATATTCATTATCAATTCCATGGGAAGTAAGCCAAAATCAATTAATCTCCACTCTGAACACGAGCGAAGCTATTCACATGAGTGAAGGTGATTTTGTAGATGAGATTCTGCTCGTGCGATGCTAAAAAGGCTCACTTGACGATTATAACGAGATGAACAATTACGTGGCTTGAGGGCTTTCTTCGCCATCTGATTGTGGTGTATTATAAATGATGGTTTTCAAGAGCATCTCTCCTTGTCTCTCTCCAGATTGTACGACCGACAAATGCCTTCCTCATTGTCGACGTGCAGAATGATTTTATCAGCGGCTCCTTGAACATCAGCAACTGCAGCGCGCAACAGAATGGCATTGAGGTAATGGGCGAATGGGGTGGGAAAGTGTGTGCTTTTGCCATCATCTTGCTCTTCTCACGCAGATTCTGGCTCCGATTAACAAACTTCTGGACACCGTGGATTTCGATACAGTTTTCTACTCGCTCGATTGGCATCCGAGCGATCATGTGTCGTTCATTGATAACGTCAAGAAGCGCCCTTTGCACCATTCCAGTCCCGTTGATGCTGACAATGCACAGGTTTACGACACGGTGATCTTCGCCGGGCCGCCGCCAATGAAGCAGCGCTTGTGGCCGCGCCACTGCGTTCAGGATTCGTGGGGAGCAGAACTGCACAAGGACATGAAGGTGCGTTGAGATCGCAGCTCAATATTTGCTCTGATTTCAATTTATTTCTCGTTTAAATTCTCAAAATTAGTCAAAATGACGATTTCAAGACATAATTTTCCAACCCAAATGAGTATATGAAGAAATGTTTTGTCATTTTTCGCATAATTTTATAGCTATTTTTCGTGATGCAAATGTTCTAAAACATTTAAGATTTAGTCGATATTCTATTTAAGGCACTCAAGGAAATTCAGTAGATGTTGCGAATCTCTCAGACACAATTGAGGATATCTTTTTAACAAAGACGAATTGTAAATTGTTTAGAAAAGGTGAAAATTCATTGAGTGAATTGTTTGTCATCTTCCGCAGGTTGTGGAGAACGGCGTGAAAGTGTACAAGGGAACGAATCCCGAGGTGGACTCGTACTCTGTGTTCTGGGACAACAAGAAGCTCTCGGACACAACTCTGTGCTCTCAGCTGAAGACGAAGGGAATCACGGACATCTACGTGTGCGGCCTGGCCTTTGATGTTTGCGTCGGTAAGTGGAGCATCGCAGTGGCGCGGATGCACTGTGGCTCACGAATCGATTCTCGCAGGTGCGACGGCGGCTGATGCCCTGTCGGCGGGCTACAGGACGGTCCTCATCGAGGACTGCTGCCGGGGCGTCGATCTGAAGGATATCGAGTGCACGCGGCAGACAGTGTCGACCAACAACGGCGTTATCGTACAATCGCGCGAGGTGAGACATTTTCTCTGGGTGTTTTCCCTTCTAATGCTGCTCAAGTGTGAAATCACACTTTTCATGCTGTGTGTTTGCCAGTCAATCGGAATATTTATTGCCAACTCACTTTGCGCGAGAGTGAAAGTATATTTGAGTGTTTTCCCAAATGCTTATGATTTAAGCACATCTGCTGTGTGACTCTGGAGTGTGTGTGTGTGTTTGTGTGAATTTTCTTATTTGACTAGCGGAAATATTTGCATATTTTTATGTAATAATAAATTTTCTTCCTTTTCTCTTCGGCGCGGTGTTCGTGGAAAAATTTTAAGGTGAAAGCAATGGTGGAAGGTCGTGATCGTCGACCTGAATTGGGCTATAAATTGGCGATGGAACTGAAAAACAGCGACTCATCATCGGCACAGCGCAGCGGAAATCGACGGCCTATTTAAAGGCGAGCTTCTGTGCTTTTTGTAATGTCTCTAAATCAAAAGTGGGTCTCTTTAGGCATGAAGAAGCGCACGTTTGTCCAATTTATCTCACACAATCAGATCTACTTTTGCATAAATTATAGATGAGCGCAGGCTTTTCCTCTGGCTCTACATAGGCGACATTCCTGCAAAGTGTGGCGCATAGGTTGTACTATATCAGATTAGCAACACTAGACAGAGCATGCGAACGTATTTTAGTTTGAAATCCGGGCTCTCAATGGGCATTGTTCCGTCCTGATTGTTGTACAAATATTCCAATATAGCTGCAGAACTGCTGTTATAAATAATTATTGTGCAGGTGATTTTACGGAAATAATTTCCACCACGAAATGCACAAGTAAATGAGATATATTCCAATTCAAGGTAAATCTTTTGTTTACAACATGAAAAAATAGGAAAAATTGTGATGCAAAGTGAGCTTAAAAGGATGTCTTAAAGATACTTGTAAAATAGGTAAATTTCACAACACAATCATGAACAATAAAAACATTCAATTTCATCATTTCCCATGAACAAAATATCTCTAATGCCTTATATTTAAACGGGTGAAACTGCGCTAAAAACTCTTATTATCGGCTAAATTCATATCACTATAGTACAATTCCAATATATTTATCTTAAGCACGTGAGTGTTAATTTATTATTTGTAAGATTTCACGGGTATTTTCTAGAATAGACTTCACATCACAAAATATCTTAACCTCAACTACTAATATGACTAAGTATATTTATTTATGACATAATTTCAGTCAATGGTTGTGCTTATAAAAAATCTTCACTGTGTATTTGCCTTAAGAAATCACCGAAATAAACTTTATCCTTATTTCCAGTTTAGTAAGAATATTTTTTGTGTGCGAGCATGAATAACTGAATGTCAGAAGAGAACAAATCTAGACATAGTTTATAGGGGAAATTGAAAAAGAAAAACACTAGAATGAGCAACTTAACGCATCATTGTCACAATGTTAGACTGAGAAATATAGATTTATTAGAGATTAAAGCAAAAAATTTGCATAGTGGCAAAAATAGTGTTTAGTGTGGCCGTAAAAGATTTAATTATAGCCATTATAGCACGTAAAGGATATGGACTGTAGAGCTCATTTGTTAATTATCAACACTACAATATTAAGACGAAAAAAGAACGCTCTAACCAATTTTTGTGCTGTATATTTTCTGAGTAGAGTAATAAAGATATTTATTTCTTATAATGCTGAATTTCTTGAGTGCGACGAGGAGAAAACGATGGATAAAATTGAATGATCCGTCTTCTAATTCAATTTAATTCTGTTGATTTAAATTGATCTATGATCAGCTTTGGTTTATCTTTTGAGCTTTTTTCTGTCATTGAAATAAAATTGCCTATAAAACTGTGCAAAAACGCATGAATTAATTCACGATCAATTCCGCATAAATTGTTATAGGAATTTTAAGAGCGCTATTAATTCTCTTGCGCAGGCTGAACTGAAAACCATATAAATACTCAAGAATTTTCCTGCATTGCCACATAAAAGTCTGATCAATTGACCAAAGCAACAGCTGAGCGAGAGGAAAATGACCAAAATTCTGTTGCTCCTCTTCTTCGTCATCCTGGGTGAGTTTTCTCGGGCAGATTATCCAGAAGCAACGATAGCTAATCTGTGCTTTACAGCTTTCGCCACCACTTTTGCTTCTCCTGTGCCTCAGACAGTTGGCGGCAAGTATGGCGGTTATGGAGGGTATATTTTAAATCCTTTCTTCGGTTAAACCTGAAAGATTTCCTTCATAACTGACGCTTTCGGGTGGTGATTTTCAATTCCAATTGTAAAAACTTCTAGTAAATTGAATTTTTAAAAATGTTGATTTTGAGGAGTTTTTTTTAATCACTTTTCTCAAGCTTTCAATCTCAAACATTTTCACTAGACAACTCACTTCATCGTCAGAGTGATGAGAAAATGAAGGCAAATAAGAAATGAGACTTTTTGGCTCAAAGTTTTCTCTGTCATATTCCAAATTACCACCTAAAATCTCAGCTTTTCCATGCGAATTGCTCTGCATGAGCTCATTGATGGCCCTTTGCATATTTTCGCTGGTAATTCCCTTAATTGAGGGCCTGAATTTCCCCCTAAATTCAATGAAAATTCTCCCCTCGGTAAATAAGCTAATGATCTGATCGGTATTTAGAGGACGTGATTGAGACTTTGTGGTAAATATTTAGTGAATCTCTATCCCGATTGTTTGCCACCTTTGGGAATTCGATAAGTCAAACAGTGGCTCTCCTTTTCGCCTCAGCGACTCCTGCCAAAGGTACACACAGTGAGGCATTGCGACGTGGACGGCAAGCGAGAGAAGGTGGCGAATGGATGATCGAAGTGGTATAAATAATCCGCATGCGCCGAATTTTTGCAATGCGCACGCGAATCCACGGAAAGAATATCGATTCTCGCTTGGAGACGTTGACTCCCCTTTTCGCATTCTGCTGAGATCCATGGACACTGACGGATTGCGTGAGGAACGACAGCTCTCTTCGACATTTTCCTGCTGACTTGTGTGCGGATCCGGAAAAATTTCACATTGTGCAGTGCAAGCGTGAAGACGGTGCATAATTGCGCGAAATTGACGTGTGAAACTCTGGGAAAATGGGCGGAAGTGAGGTGTGATGCGGGACAGCAGTTCGATGATAGGGTGGTGAAGTGCTATATATGTAGCTTTCGGCTGTGGCGGAGTTGGTAGCAGTAGCAGCACCAGCATCCAGGCAAAGGAAATCGATTTTAGTCAGGTGTAGTCTGCGCTACGAGCCAGTTGAGCTTTCTGACCGTATCCACAATGTTTGCCGCCATACAGTGAATTTTATATGCTTGAACATTATTATATCTTATATACATAAAAGTGCTTTTTCACATCCCCAGGTAAGAAAGGGCGGACAAATTGCCATTACCACGAAAGCTCTTTTTCCCTGCAAATTGCGCTCCTTATCACTGTGGGCGAAATGACATGGGTATTTCGGAGCTTTCGCGATTTCACGGCACAGCCAGAAAGAGAGGAAAAAAAAACTCTCAACTTATTCAGCGAGATTGTCAATCTGCACAGACATTTTGGGATTGATCTCACTTTTTGCTGCATAATTTTGTATTGTCTTTTCAAGTCGAAAAGAAAGGGAGAAAACACTGCTTCTCAGCCTCTCTCAATTTTTCTTTATCTTTATCTCCACTTGCGATTAAAATAGCAGACATATTTATAAATCTGGGAACAAAAAAATCATATCACTCACTGTGAGACGAACAGTAGAAAAAACATCTCGACAGGAGGAAAAAAGAGTCGTTATTGTGGAAATTTATGAGTTTATAAGCTGTGAGCTTTCTAAATATATTCTGCTGACTTTCTGTCAAATGCAAATGGTGAGATTCTGCAGCCGAAATTCTCTGGCGGGCGAGAAAAATCAATCGTGTCTCCCGTTGGGGGGTTTTCTTTGATGACGTCACGAGCCTGTAATTTCCCTTCGCAAAGAGAGCCGTTAAATCTGGATAAAGGGCATATTTTTGCGTCTGCGATGGAAATATTGCATTTATGACATGACAATAAAAAGAAAAACAGGGAAAAGCCGACGCCCAGTGGGAAAAAGTTGCCTTCTAATTTGGGTTCATGGGTGAATTTTGCGATGTTATTTACATAATTATATAAACATTTGCGAAATGTGTATTTTGAAAATATTGCACTTCTGGCGTGTGGCCAAAGTGCAAATGCACGGAATGCCACTTTTTGCGTGATACAATTAAATGCTCATCCTTAATTTTGCGCCTCTTAGAGTGGAGAATGACCCGCCCTTGTATTGCCCTGTATCGAATTCCATGTCGCGGCGCTGCTCTTTTTGGCGATTTTGCCTTTTTTGCGCCACTTCCGCCAATTTCAAGATATGATGTGTCGAAGCGCCGCTATTGTGTTATTTATAGGAAACACAATCTCACAGTAAATCACGTTCAAGCTATTATAAAACGCAAAATGTTACATTACGGGCACTTTGTTGTAAATGACTAAAGCGATGTTTCTGCTCGCGTTTACAGAACTGAGGCAATATTGCGAATTTTCCAATGATTATGGGCTCTGGACACTGCTTTTGGGCAATATTTTACTTCGCCTGCCTGTGTAGTGCATCTCTGTAAGTATCGACGGAGTTCTTTTTGCCCAATAGAGGAGAGCGGGGACACTCGGAAGTCACTGGGAGTTTCTTGACAAAACGGTCAAAATTAATAGAAATTCTATTTATATTCAGAATATTGATTGATTCTAGACAAAGAGAAATTAATTCATTTCAGTTCACAATGAAAACGGCGTCTAAAGCTGGGCTTCATTGTAAATTTGATTATCACTTCACTATTAATTAATTAAATTGAGTGTCAAAAACAATAATTATAAGGCATGCATTGAAAACTTTAATTGTGTTCACGTTGTGTAGACATTTTTCATGAAATTTAATAATCCGCACATGAATTAACGTGCGATATTGATTTGATTCAATACACAGAATGTTTTAGAACAGTAAAACAATTCACATTGCCTCGCTCTCCACTATTTATCTGGACATAGCATAAATTTCGTTGCCAGTACAATAAACATGCCTATCTTTTTTATCTCCTTCCCGCAACAGAGCCAACAATGCCAACATAAATTTTAGAGAACGCGAAAAGAAGGTGTTGGATCAGATTTTAGGGATTGGAAAATACGATGCTCGCATTCGACCGTCAGGAATCAATGGAACTGGTGAGTTTTGAGCTTTCGTTGAACTTTTCGTACAGTAGACTTTTCCATCTATGGCAAAAAGAAGGTGTAACATTTAGAATGATATTCAGCAAATGTTCGACCAGAAAGTGAAGAGGAAAAAATCGTAAAGCGAGAGATTTTTGCAATTTGATTTTCGGTGTTTGTTGCGGTCTGCGAAGTGGGGGAAAAATTGTATGAAGAAAATCGTGAACTTAGGGGCGAAAGCAAAAGAGAAAAAGCATTCTTTGAGCGGGTTTTTTGTGGGTTGAAGGCACTTGTGCGCGATGACATGAATTAAGAGAGATGATTTTGCACTTTTACCCCAACATAAATGCCCATCGGGAAGTCGTGAGCGGAAGTTGGAAGTTCGCGTTTATGTTCACAGCGCGGACACACAGAATATGAATTCTTATAAGGAGATTTTCAAGTAGAATCAACACACGACCGAATATACACACACAATGAATGCTTATTCTCTCTCACATTTTCATTTTACACTAATTCAACCCTTATTTATAGTGAAACATAAGATATTTAGGGGAATGCCCCAGCGTTCAGAAGCCCACAATAATTTAAGTATCAATTGTCAATTGACCTTTTCACGATCATTTCGGCCCTGAGGAAACAATCTCAAAAATATCCTTCCAATCTGTAGATTTACTGTGAAATCTCTGTATAAATTGTCTCAAAATTGCTTTGCTGTAACTTTAATGGTCTTGAAGAGGTTAAAACTAAAATCGTACGAACATGTATTTAATGGATAGAAACCGGAAATCCGCTCTCTATGAAATCACTTTCTTAATCTGTGAATATGGCAAGGAAAGGACAATGTTTTGGGCAATGTTTCTAGATCACATTCAACTTGATAAATTGCAAAATTCGCAGAATTTGTGCATCAAAGATGCACATTAACTGATTGGTTGTTTGAGGATTTGGCTATATATAGAAAATTCAGGGGAAATGAGAGGAAAAGTTTTTCGATTATCTCAAAATGCACAAATGGAAATATGCACCTGATGGAATGTGAGTTGAAACTGCAGCTGAAGCTCGATTTTATTAGAGAATTATGGTCATGCTTGTAAATATAAACTTCCCAATATGAACTATGATATGATTACATTTTTTGCATATGAAGTTATCAATAGCGGAAGCAGTACTAGAATTTTCTTTCTTAGGGACAATGGTAGGGGCATTTTTCTTTAGCAATCTCAAGGGGAACTGTCTCTAATTTAACCTCGCATGATAGCCAAGAATGTGAATTTATAAGGAAGAAAATGGCCAAATTTGATGCAGTTCCTCTAATGCTTTTCACATAATCAAAATAGCTGTAGGGTTTTTTAATGCTATATATAAACATTTCTAATCCATACAGTAAGAAAGAAAGAGCGAAGGGAACTGGATTCTTTGAAGCGTCTTTGGCCATTGTTGTGCAAATCTATGGAAAACGATCAAAATGTTCCATCGACTCTGGTTAATATCAAGCTTTCTAGATCACCAACATTTCACGATTCAGGGCTAATGAAGATGTGCATGTTCTTAAGTGTTATCATAAGGGAACTCCAAATTCAAGACTACAAAAAAACACCCCCCCATTGCAAATACCTTTTAACAGTCGTTGTGTGGAAATGCTTTCGCCAATTTCTAATGCGGAAAATGGGGAAAGTTCACTGCAGTTCCTGGAGGTATTGTTTCTAGGTTGAATGCGAAAATTAGGTCAATCGGAGTCCAGTTCCCTTAAATTAAGGATAAACTGTGAGGAAAAATTGTGGGAAATGCGCAAAAATATGTGTGGAAAATTGGAAAACATCCGCCTGATCAAATGCTAAACACATCAATTTAACACTCACACACAATAATACACAATTACACCCAAGTAAAATGTAAATGATCAGTTAAATAGAAAGAAAATTTGCATAACAGATGGCCCGGCCGTGGTCAGAATCAATCTTTTCGTTCGAAGTATTGCAACCATAAGTGATATTAAGATGGTAAGTTTTTTCCCATAAAGTTACTATTGATAAATAACAACATAAAAATTGATTGAAAAAAAGCAAGAGCAAGAGAAAATTAAATATATATTGCATTGTTAATTCGTAGAGTTATTATATATATATATAACAAGATTAATCCGGATGATTTGACATATTTAACAGTGAAAGGATGTATTTTTTTTTACTCAGAATGGAATGGATTTGCTTTGGTTTTCTGATTATCTGATATATACTTTTAGTTCCTTCTAATTTGTCTAATTTCTGATTTTTACATATTGTATATAAATCTAAGAATGTTACAACTCTAATTTTATTAAAACAAAAACAACCATTTATGATTCAGAGTGATTCACTTCCAAGATGAAGCACGCATTTATATATAAATGCATGAGGAGTGAATAAATATCCTTTTCCTCGTTCTTTTCTAATCAGAAATGATGAAGGATATGAATATTAATGGCTAAAGAAGAGAAAAAAAAACATTTTTCGGTCATGACGTCAAGCTCATAGATTTCGCTTTTGTCATGTCCATTCTCATTTCTGACACTAGAAAATGTTCCATTTAGAAAACTTACGGCAAAGCAATTTTTCCTTTTGCATTTTTATATAAATTATTTTTGAATATATATTTTTTAAACCTATCCGGACTTACATTTTATTCTGATTTCCGTCGAAAGTTAGGCTGAATATTTTGTGTATTTAAGTATAAGAGCAAGAAGTTAGGAAAGGAAGCAAAGGAGTTAGGTAAACAATAGATTTTAGTGATAATATAGGTTTAAAAGGGAGGACGAAAAAATGTAGGAAAAGAAAATGACTGTGAAAAAGAGAGAGACAGCACATATCAAACACAAGCACAAAACACCAGCAGACAATAAAACAAGCAACACAAAGTCCAATTAACTGCAAATACCGATTGAAACGAAACTCTTTGACCATAAAGCATAGAGAATTAATTACAATTTTGTCATTGTCTCGATTTTTCGTCGTTAGATGGTCCGGCAACTGTCCGCGTCAACATTTTCGTTCGAAGTATCTCTAAAATCGATGACGTGACAATGGTAAGTGGATGAAATGGTTGAGAGCGCAACACGCATCTACGCAAGAACAATTGGTTTTGGTAATACGGTCTTGAGCAAGACTTTTCGCTCTGTTTTTACCCACTTTTCTGCCACAATCGCAGGCATCTTGGTCTCATGCAGACTGCAATTTCGTTCTATTACCAAAACCGATGAGCGTACAATGTAAACTAAAGAATACACATGAACGACTCGTAGTGTCTCTTTGAAACAAGTTTTCTTAGGTCATGGAATTAATTTGATTGTCCGGTGTCACGTGGGCCATGTTTATTATCTTGAGATTTTGATGGATGTTTGTCGTAATATTATATATGATTTTATAAATATAAATATTATAATACATATCTTCAAAATGGAATCATCAAGTTTTTCATCCTTCTTCCATCATTATGAATTTTTTTCCCCTTATTTTCACCTTAGGTTAAAAACTTTATTTTCCATTCACTTCTTCAAATCTTGGTTACAAATTTAACTTGGTTCAGACATTTTCTGCAATTCTATTCCACCTTATTTTTCATGTCTGTTGGATCTCGGTGTTTATATTTTAAGATGAAAATATCTTGTGTGTCTGTGCTTTACTTGTTTGATGACAATATAAACTGTGATATTAGAGAATCATCAATTTTTTACAACTCAACATCATATTTTTTAGCAAAAACATTCTTTTTTTTCAAATTTATGAGACAATTTGTGTTGTATGTCACATTATAATAAAATACGAGAACTCGAAGGAAATATTTGAGAAAAAAAACACATGAAAAATACTCACCAAAAGCAATAAAAATTGATGAAAGATATTTTTGTTGTGTAATAATATAACTAAGAGATCCAGAGGCATTTTTCTGAAGAAATTGGTGCCAATTTACTTGATTTTAGTTGATTTTTATCTTGTATTCTCATCCAATTGCATACGTTTATCTAAGAATTTCCATATTATTCAATTTTAGAAATTCAGTGAATCCTAAAAATCCTCCTGTAACGAGGAAATTTATTTACAAAAAAAAAAATTCTGTACATGGTAAAAATTGATTATTTGCATGATTTTTTTTACAAAATCAGATTTTCCTCCTTTTAATTTACATTAAATTATGATTTCAATATGAATTTCTCAATTTATCTTTCATTCGATATCGCTTTAAACATTGTTTTATTACTATTTTTCTGAGAAGAAATCTGAGAAAAGAATGAAAGTTTAAAGCAAATTTGAGGTTTGAGGACGTCCGCCGCAATTCACAGACTGTTTGAAGATACTATTTATCGATATTGACATTTATAGCTAGTGATTCGGCCACTGTCGTGAGGGTCAACATGTTCCTTCGGTCGATCTCTAAAATAGATGATTATAAAATGGTGAGTTTCATTTCTTAAACCCAGTCAAATGCAAGAGTATTGTTAAGCAAAACTGAGAAATGTTGATAACGAGAAAAACTATGAATTGTGACAATATGATAAAATTGTATAATGTGATAACAACACGAAAATACTTTTTACACTTCATATTGATTTATTTCCACATTTGGCTCTAGGGTTTCTCAAAATTAAGGATCAAAAGAAAATTTGTACATATTCAAAAAAGCTTTCATGCATTTTCATACATACACATAAACACATACATTTCCTAGAGTCTCTCGTTCGAAAGAATAGCGACAGAACTTTGCTATTCTTTCCAATGAGCGATAATCACTTTTAATCTACATATAATGTCAGTTAAAGAACACTTTACTTCAAGCAGTAAATACTATTTAAAAGACATTCTATCGCAAAGAAGTTTGCAAACACACTCGTAAGACTGAGAGTTTCCGATAAGAGACTGAATAAGAAGAAATTGGAATAAGTTCAGGTTGCAGAACTGCAAAGAATGTATTTTTTGTGAATTTGGATAAAATCTAACGTTTTACACAAGGAGAAAATGTTTAGAGTTAAAATATTATTCTATGGGAATAATTTGTATGCTTTGGAAATTGGTATTAAGAAGAATTTAAAGTCTCGACTTATTCCATTTTCAGGAAACTTTTTACTAAACGAAACGGTATTTGAATGATTCAAACTGTTTCCTCGCACTTAAATAAAAAATACTTCACACAGAAACATTATACACAACATATATATTATATAATAAATGAAAAAGTGCTTTTGTGAATTTTGTTTTAGTTTGAATTCATATGAAACATGTCTATTTATGTAATTATCCATATGGTAAACAATAATTATGAATTGTATCACTAACAGTGGACATAATACATGTTTTCTTGACTGTATTCATTGTGAAAGAAAGATCTTGTTAACAGATTTCATGACTATTTGACATAAAAATCATATGCTGAACTTGTATTCAGATGTTGGAGACTGTTTCCTATGTTTGTATGTAATTGATATATAATTCCTGTGATAATCACGAGTGGAGAAATTGGAAATTGTACAGAAGCCATGGCAATTGTATGACTATAAAAGTAGGTGTATATAAACAGGATGAAATTGAAGCTCATTCTGGGAAAGTATGTGAGAAAATAATTTATATTACATTGTCGTCTTTTTCGATGAAGATTTTCCCATGTAAAATTGCAATAAATTATTTTCTCGCATACAGGAGAAATGCTAAGAAAATTGGTGTATGTTACTTGTATTGGTGAAATGTGAATTATTATTTAATAATGTCGGGATTTTTTCTCAAAAAATATTGAAATGTTTCATTTCTTTTCCTATTATTTGCTCTGTGTCTAATCAGAAAATTAATTATACTTTGATTACATTTCATATCGGACGAGAGGTTAATTATAAAAATAATTAGGAAAGTGGAAATTTCAGGAACTATTTCTAGGATTAATTAAGATTATATTCATAAAAGGATAAAAAAAAATTGTTTTATTTTGCTTGGAAAGCCAAAGAGAAATTGAAGATAGTAATCGGTAAATATTTGGAGTATTAGATAGACTAAACAAAAAAAACTTTAAATTAATTATTCTAATATTTTGAATTTCATTGATATTGTTTTATTACATATGTTTTGACTTATTGTTTATGGTTACAAGCAAAATGATTATCAGTTTCTATTTTTATTACTCTTTCTCAAAATTGTGCTTTTCCAGATATGAAACCCGCTGTTTTGGCATGTCTTATCTAAAACACATAAAGCATGCATTTGGCACGCAAGGCCCTTTCAGAGTGCATTTTGGATTTATGGAGTTGCATGAGTAATTTTGCATTATTATATCAACTTGTCGACTGGAGAATGATGTTTACTTTCAATAGAAGTTTTTGAATGAGTATTGAATAATCTAGAGAAAAAATATATTAGACTAACAACATCATAATAAGAAATTAATAATTGTGTAATTAAAATTAGCTGAAACTTGCGGAATGAACTTTTGAATTGCAATCATTAGATGGTGACACTGAGCTTTTGAGATGCAATAACAAGGTCTTTATTCTCTTGTCTCCGACTCTCCGCAGGAATACAGTGTGCAACTGACGTTTCGCGAACAATGGCTGGATGAGAGACTGAAATTCAATGACGTAGGAGGTAAAAATTGAATTTCCCCAACATAATGTACATTCGCTTATATGCTTGGCACATCTTGACTGCAGGTCGCCTCAAGTATTTAACACTGACCGAAGCGAACAGGGTTTGGATGCCGGATTTGTTCTTCTCCAATGAGAAGGAAGGCCACTTCCACAATATCATCATGCCTAACGTCTACATTCGCATCTTCCCCTTCGGATCAGTCCTATACAGCATACGAATATCCCTCACTCTCGCCTGCCCGATGAATTTGAAGCTCTATCCCTTGGATCGTCAAGTCTGCTCCCTACGAATGGCCAGTTGTAAGTGCACAAAGCTCCTTCTCCAGTTTTGGGCATTTACACGACACTCTTTTGCTCTGTTTTAGATGGTTGGACCACTGATGATTTGGTTTTCCTCTGGAAGGAAGGAGATCCTGTGCAAGTGGTGAAGAATCTTCACCTTCCTCGTTTTACGTTGGAAAAATTCCTCACTGATTACTGCAATAGCAAAACTAATACAGGTGAGGAATAATTTCACTGCGAAGCTTCTTGCAAGCGAAGCTCCGCCCACCACTTTGCCCCGCCCTTGTGTAAAACTCATCTCTTTCTGTATCTTTACAGGCGAATACAGTTGTTTGAAGGTGGACCTACTGTTCAAGCGCGAATTTTCGTATTATCTTATACAAATTTATATACCTTGCTGTATGTTGGTAATCGTATCTTGGGTATCATTTTGGTTAGACCAAGGAGCTGTTCCGGCAAGGGTTTCACTAGGTTACCGACACCGTATTTCTCCCTTAATGCCAATGTGCCAATTGCTAATGTGTGTTTAATGAAATTTTAGGTGTTACAACTCTGCTCACAATGGCCACACAAACGTCTGGTATTAATGCTTCCTTGCCACCTGTGTCATATACAAAAGCAATTGATGTGTGGACAGGTGTTTGTCTGACATTTGTTTTTGGGGCTCTACTGGAATTTGCACTTGTAAACTATGCGTCCCGTTCAGGTTTGAGAATTTTCAGAATATACTTGAATGTGTTTTGCACACTAAAACCAAAGCAGCTCAAGATTAAAGTATTGAATTTCGAAAATTTGATATTGACGGGAATTGATTGAGAAAGTTCGCTGTAAGAATAGTTTTTGTACATTTTTTGGAGACAAAAAAAAGTGAAATACTTGCTGCCAAATTGAATTACTATGCAAACATTCAGAGAAATTCAAAAATTGCATATCCTCGATGTATTTATTTTATATATAATGTATGAAATTTTGTTTTCTTTTCTCTATATGTTTTTGGATCCCTCCAATTTCTATGTGTGTGTGTCTAAATGACCTGACTTCCCCTACCCCAAAAATGTGGACACATATATTCTTTTTGAATTCATTGTGCATGCACCAATGCGGACCGTGCCGCAGATCTGCATCGGGAAAATATGAAGAAGAAGCGACGTGAATTAGAACAAGCAAGTCTCGATGCTGCATCTGACCTTCTGGACACTGATTCCAATGCTACATTTGCAATGGTAACGACGCACTTTCAGCCTAATCCTCTGCCAGTCACTGAGCCAATGTCCTTTCCTTGCAGAAACCACTGGTAAGACACCCTGGAGATCCGCTTGCTCTTGAAAAACTTCGACAATGTGAAGTTCACATGCAACCACCGAAGAGACCAAATTGTTGTAGATCGTGGCTATCGAAATTTCCAACAAGGTATGCATCACATAAGCATCACTATCTCATTTTTTGTTGAGCTATCTCACCCTCTCATGAATTTCTCTTTCCCCTGTCAAATGTCTCTCATCTTGCCTAACGCAAAGCCTTGCTTTCATTGCACAGATTCTCATAATCAATAAATGTATAAATATTTATCCAAGCAAATGTTCTAGATCGAAGAGAATTGACGTTATATCGAGGATAACGTTCCCACTTGTATTTGCGCTATTCAATCTGGTCTATTGGAGCACATATCTCTTCAGGGAAGAGGAGGAAAATTAGACAAATTCAATTGTCAAATTTCATTTATCCAGAATGGAAAGTGAAGAAGAACCGTTGTGTTACAATATTTTGGAAATATCACCATTTCTTAGAACAAAACAAAACCGAAACACCTTTAAATACGTCATCTTTCTTTTGTCAAAGGTAAGCCGAATAAATTCACCTCGATTTCTGAACATATTGAATTGACATTTTGTCTGATTGCAGAATTCATTTCATATTTATTATTATGTATACCAACGACTTCCTGGTAGCAATATTTTTTGTATGTGGTTAAGTCTATGATATAAAATATCTACATATTAAACAATTATATGCAATCATTGCAGAGAAAAACCCCCGAAACGGGCTTAAATTTGTCAAGGAAATTCTATGTTTTGCCTAATGCTTCAATAACTTGTATCGATTGCTCAAAAATGTCTCTGTTATTGGTAGAGTAAAGGGTGTAAACAAAATTACTATAATGATACAAACCGGTCTATTTGCATGAAAAGTCTACAGTTTATTATTTTGTGTTTTAAAGGAAAAAAATACTGCCCAATAAGATGATTAGAATTTGCGTATCACAGCAGCGATTTATGAAGAGAGTATAAACTATAGAAGAATTATTGGTTTTTCTTTGCTATTTGCTTCTGATGAAGAACAGCAATTGGTTTAATATAAAAGTTATTTGATAATTAAATGTCTAACTTCTATACATATAAATTTAATTTATCTACTTATTCAAGAAAATATATCATCGTTGAACATTTTTCAAAGGTTTCTTCCTAATATCATATAATGAAATTGTTTGTATACTCTAGCATTAGATTGATTGATGTGTTCAACCTTTCTTTCGGTCTAACCTATGTTACTGGTAATATTGTATGATATTTTATTTCACAGCTGTGTGACAGCTTGTAAAGGATTTTATATTGAAATGATAATTTTTATACTAATAAAATAATGAGGAGAGAGTTCGTGAATAGAGAAATTGTTAGAATGTGGTTTAGACGGTAAAACATACTTGAAAATATAATTGTTAGGAGTCTAGATTTATACGGACAATGTAATAATGTATTGAGTTTTTATAGAGAGTGACACAGTGATTCTGGTTATCGTTGTAAGATTTTTGAATTAAGGAGTGATGATCGATGTTTTCGTTTACAGACATTATTGTTTTGCAGACGGTTTATCACAATTACAGGATATCTGAGTTATCTTATAATCGAAATCTGCACTTTCAATACAGGGTTTGCTATTAATAAAAAAAAAAATGTCATTGTATATAAGAAAATTGTGACTAACATAACACTTCACAGAATAAATGTATGTATGTACAACGTAATATTGAGGATTTTGGAGGAAAACTATGCGTACATACATATGAGATATACTGTTAAACCATTTCCCATTTCCGTTTTCGATATCTATAGTAGCACTTCACCTTCAGCAGCGTCCTTCAATCTTCGGAATCTACGCAGAAGTCATCACAATAAGGACTCAATGAGAGTCTAGAGAAAGAACAGTATTATTTTAAAACTTATGAGTCGTGTAACGAATGACTAATACTCATGAAGGAATACAACTATAAAATAAAGAATATATAACACAAGTTATGCTACAAGACAAGGTTAAATTGTAATAATGAAAAATCGTCATTCATCAGCAGTCTAGAGTTACTAAGGACGAGAGACTTTAGAATAGTGATTAAAGGAATGCATGCAATGCAAAATCAATTAAGTACAGTTAAGTTGTGAAGAGAATAACTATAAACACGTTTCAATTGTTTGTATTATGCAAAAGACAAATCGCTAAAAGAGTTTGAATACCAAGGAAAAAAAAGAAAACATTAGGATCTCAATTTAACTAAGACATCAAATCAAAACTCAATTTCAACTCACACTAGAAATATAACCCAAAAAACAATGCAATTACTATATGACGAAATTGTTTACCCACATTTTTTTCCTTTTTCAGAAAAAAAGGTTAGATGGTTAAATAATATCAGTAAAAGAAAATATGGTAGTTAAGATAAATAATCACAAATTTATTTAGAAACCAAACATGATGTGAAAGACAAGAGTCACAAATATTTGTATTGAAAATGTATAAACATATTTTAAGAGGAGGAATAATAACTAAATTGATTATTGATATAAAATTGCAAGAGTCTTTTCCTGTTTCTGTATTCCTACACATAATAACTTACTTATCTACATGTCTAGTTCTTTGTCGTCTCTCGTATCCAATCCATGTACTCGGATATCCTGGTATAGACGCCTGGGTAACCTGGTTCACCGCACTTGTTCCCGAAACTCACAATTCCCAGCTGAGTCCAGCGCGCGTCAACTCTCATCATCAGTGGACCTGTTTGGGGGTGAAGAAGAAGCACAATAGCGAATTGTCGAAGGATATTAGATTGTTCTTACCGCCAGAATCTCCTTGGCATGCATCGACACCACCTTCTGAGTATCCGGCGCACAAGAAGTTCTCGGTGATCGGCTGGAAATACGCTCGATTGCAATCTTCATTGCGCCAGAGCGGCAGATTTGCCTGTCGTTGCGTCGTTGACTCCTTTCCGCCATAATATGTAGTTCCCCATCCCACAACGGTGCCTCTTCGTCCTGAAACACACTTCCAGCTATCACAGAATCCATACAAGACAGCAATTGGGCATACCTGCAAGTCTGTCGGGCGCTGGGAGATTTCTGTTCGGCAGGCAGACGGGAATGACGTATTTGGACTTTCTCACTGGCTTCTCGAGCACTATTATGGCTATGTCATTGTAAAAGCCCACTCGCGAGAATCGAGGATGTGCTCTGACTTCTTTCACTTTGAAGGTAACTGGCGCCGACGGTTCGTCATCGGTGGATAAGTCTATGTCTCCCAGTCTCACTGTGAATTGCCGCGGAGCGAATCTGTAGAAGGTATTTTGTTAGCTCAATTGCTGGATTGAAGTGAGTCTGCTTGAACTCCTTACGGTCTCTGGCGAGAGTCTCGCGTACAGTGAGCAGCTGTTAAGACGTATTTTGTGCCAATCAAGGAACCTCCGCACCAAAACTCTGTTCTCTTTGGCCCGTGAAGGAAGATTGCGGCCATCCATGGCCACTGTCCATTTGGTGACCTGCAATGCAACATGCTTTTTACTCATCGCCATCGTGACACACATTCGGGGAAGAAAATCATTTTATAGTGAGCACAGGAAACTCTGATTCCCACACAAAATAATAAGTAAATGATTAACATACTCAACTCCACCCACAATCCGTCCAGTTGTGAACTCCTGCTGGCCACAATCTGCCGGATCGATGAGATTGCCTGAACTATCATCCGCATCTATAGCATTCGATTCCCCACTCGATCCGGAGGGAATTGTGAAGACAGGAACCAGAGGTCTTTGGGTCGTTGTCGTGGTAATCGGAGTGATGGGCCTGATGATGAGACTAGAGGATGTTGATGTGTCACTGGGTCGCACAGGCGCTTGAATGGGTCGCTGAGTTGTTAGAATAGTCGTGTCACGCACCGGACAACAGACGCCAGGCACGAAGAGACTCTTGAAGCATAGCGAATCTCTCAAGTGGGCCAAATCCAGCAGCAAACTTGGACAACTGCTGAGGTCCTGGCATCTCCCCTGGTGTCCATCGGGCGTCTTGCAGCGATGCTCGCTCTCCTTGGCTTGCACATCAACCGAGGGCTCTGGGATGATTTTTGGCGCTGCTTTCTTGGTCTTTTTGGTCTCAGTGGAGTTGTTCTGTCCCAAATTTCCCATTCTCTTTATCAGTGGCTCTATTGTGTTCGTGAGATTCCTCCCGAGGACTTTGGACGTGAGAGTGAGGATTGCGCCGGGCACAGTGTCACCAGATGAGCCACTTGAATGGATGATTGGGGCGGATTCGCCGCGTGTCACGTTCACTAAGTACTGACCAACTGTATTCAGGGCTCCGAGGGTCTCGGAGATCCTCGAGAACGCCGATGGCGAGAGTCCTCTGTCCTCTTGACTCTCCTTCTTTGGATGTGTGTCCTGGCGTCGGAATCGCGTCACCTCCGCCGGATCTTGATGCGATCTCATTGGCGTATTTGGTAACCTATAGTATTCTACGTGCTGATAAGGACTGTTGCGTCGCATGAAGACGTCCGGCTGGTGTGCATAGAAGGGCTGGAAATTAAAACCTTCTTCAACACATAAACTATCATTCGAGCTGTTGTCCTGGGCACTTTTGACGTGACTCACCATTTAAGTTTGAGTGATATCGATTTGATTTGAGAATTTGTTGGCCTAATGTAAATTCTACTATTGTCACTATGGCACCTGAAAAAGAGAAGAAATATGCGTTACTTGCGAGAAGCTAAATTCTTCGACTGATCACAGAAAAAAGTTGGTGTGAATTTGTCTCTTAAAATTGCAAATTTTGCGTATAACACCTAATTAGTGATTAAATAAATGTGTTTCTCTCCTAATTATTACCATACTAATCGCTACATAATAGAAGCGATATATTGACTATTGATGACTCAACCGGATTCATTTCTCCGAAACTCACATCGACGAAGTGATGGTGTTGAAAATTAGAGGAAAAACGAGCAATATTATTTGCCTTGTTCGTTTGTGGTTAAAGTCGCGTAAATCACTTTCACCAGAAATAAATACCATATAATACAATCCGCTGAGTTTTTACTCTTCGAGCTCCACATGCGAGGTTTATATTGCAGAGGTGGCTGAAGAGTGCTTGTGTTTAATTGCCGCATGTCATCTCTTGAACTTTCATTGCAGCTTCCAAATTATGTTGGCCTTCTTATGCTCTCAGCCAAGGTCGCAAAGTCAAGGCTGTGCTCTCTCGTCACGATCACGCCGCAATGGCCAATTTGTAGTAAATCTTTCCAGCTCATTGAAGCAAATTTGAGTGAAGTTGGATTGAAAGTGGCTTTGGAAACAGCTTGAAAGTCATCATAAACTGAGAATTGCGTGCCGCGAGAAACATGAAATCTTCTTATTCGATATTATCAGACTATCAAATAACGTAATCGATCGTGGTTCACACAATGCGTCTCAAGGTTTGATGACTCTTTCGGCTGCATATTGATGTTGTGGATTGGATTCCCCAGCGCGACTACCAGTAGTTGTGAAGTGTAGTAAAACACATCAATAATAATGCTTGAGATACACGAAACCTGTTTCTTAAAAGTGAAATTGCTCTCCAACACTGTCATGTCTTTGTTTATGGCGCGCACTTCATGTGTTGGCGGGTTAATGGCTTACAGACCTTTTTAGCTATGTATACACCAAAAAAAAGATTCACGGAAAAATTTTGCGAGAAGAGCTTTTTGGTCCGCAGAGCTTTTGATTGGAGATCCAATCAAAAGCCCGAGCCTAATAAGTGGAGAGCAGAAAAAGTGCCCATCGAGTGACGTGAAATGAAAGGGAAATTGAATGCGTGAAGATCAAGCAGATGACGGCATGGTTGAACTCTTTTGTGGCGTATTTTGCATTGCGGAGAAAAAAGAAAATATGCATTGAGTGAAACTGTGCCACCACTTTTGTGGAATTGTCGCTTTGTAATAATTGCGACACTTTCATCTTGAAAAATAAAGCACTGTGAAGGTTTCATGGTCTTTTCTTTTTTTCCCACATCTTTTTTGCCTTTCATTTTGGGAAAAATTTTCACACAGAATGCACAGAAAGTTTATGATAATTTTTCTCCGCTCGAATAACTGATAACAAAATTTGCAATTCCTATTGTCAACACTCACAAAGCACGCACACACTTTTCACTTACCAAAGCTCACAATCCAAATTTTTGACATTTTATCTCAGCTTTTTGCGAAGGTGAGAAACTAAAATAAAATTTGGGAAAGTTTTGTCAACAATCCTTGACGATATATGGTTGGCGAAGATCGGAAATGTGTGTCAATTCACAGAAGAATACACAAAATGCATAACTAATCAAGACGCTATTCTACAATGCAGTTGAACACATTTTGTTGCTGGGCAGGCACTTTCCACTTCTTCAGCTCGCGAGCGTCTTGCGTATGATGGAGCGATCCTCACCACGTCGAATCCGAAGCACTACTAATTTCCAGAGATCTCCGAGAGAGATGGATGAGCTGAGAGCTCCCCAGACGGCAAGATAGGTAAATTACCATTTCATGTTCGTCTTGGCCGGTCGTTTGGCCTCACCAGCACAGCGCAGCGAAGCCTTTGTATTTATTTTCGGTGTCCGCTTGAGTGCAATTTCGTAAGTGAAAGGCAATTGATGGCTATAGAGGCTTCACACCTTTCTGCATATGTACGGCGGAATACATTAGCACACAGTTCACGTGAATCATAATAATTTTTATGCAAATTCATGTGGGTACGCCTATTATTACAATTTCTTAATCTTCTTTCCTTTCTGAACATATATATCACGCATGTAAATCTGTCTGCAGAAGGGAAATTTCTTTTTCAGCCACAACACAATACATAAAGCGAGTCTTCGCTGTCTCTGCTGTCTTTGGTCTTTCTGTGCACATACATATCCTGTTTTCTCTCACGTTGCATAATTGGGAAAATCCCTAGATTGCAGAAATAGTCTTACTCATACTTCACATTGACTGAATGGCTGTATTGATGAGGTTATTATTGATTGCGCATGTTAAGTGTTTTGTTATATTTTACATAATTTCAGTAGAAATTTAGAGAAAATGTGGAGATATTCTAATCAATAGACTTTGTAGATTTTTGTGATGAGATATTTTCCAGAAAAAATACAATGCATAATTAAATAAATGATTCAGATTAATTTCACATTAAAAATGTGCAAAAAGACTAATGAAACGCAAAATAGTTGCATCGGATTAATTGTATGAAACATTTATTTGTTTCGCCTGAAAGATAAAATTATGTATCCAAAATTTTCTTGTTTCGATCAAATATTTCTGAAATATTTAGGGAATGAACGAAATATTTCGAGTTTATGAAGAAATTTATGAAGAGATTTATTTGCTCAGAGGCATTAAAGTCTATTTTAGTGAATCAGTTCGTAATCTCCATTGCTAATTATATCATGTTTTTTTTTTAATAGAACCATTTAAACCCCACAATTAAGTGGAAATACACCTTTGGAAATCTGAGCTCAGATCAATATACTCAATTCAGCACTAGTAAAAGTAGTGGGATAATTCCCTAACAGTTCTCATTCTAAATCTCCAATCTTGATGCTCTATTTCACTCTTAGAAAGTTAAGGGGTTATAAGAGAGGCATGTAACCATTAAGAGACTTCTCTTAACCTGATGGGAAACATGTAGCAAAGCCACAAACCGTTCACTTGTTAGGAATTCTTGCATTTGGGTTTTGTGGGTATATTTTGGACAATATTGTAATGTCATTGCTCGGCATTATGAAGTTGCAATTTTCTCCTTAGTTGTCTAGTCTATTTACAATATTATTCACTACTTTAACAGTGAGTTCTTGAGAAGAGTGACCCGAGTTCGTGCACGGAAATCAAAGGGTGATGAAACATTCTGTGTTTCGTGAGATTGTCACGTTGGAAAAATCATTGTCGGCAATTGGAAAGAGCTGCTAATTCAATCAATCGCGAAGGTAATCCATTTAGAGCAATTTAAATTATGATTTGGTCATGCTGAGGTGATAAAGCATACAAACATTTGAGATTCATATCTGCGTTGTAAGATTTCTATATACGGAGGCGTTTTTCCTCTGCGTCCGAGAGAAAGCAAGAGTGATTTTACACGTGTAGCAATTATAACTATGTAATTTTTGCACTTAAGCTATAGTGTTATGCTGCGATACTTGAGCTTATCAGCGTTTGATTGTGATCAAGTCGGGAGTATTTCTTGTCACTTCACTGCCATAAAATGCCAATTGCCAATTGTATTTCGAGGTGTGAATTTCTAGGTCTTTCCTGACAAAAAAACTCTCTATCTTTTCAGAGTTTCTGGTGAAAGTGTCTTCTCTGGGCCAGGAAAAATGGAGTTTTGCCCTCCAAACGACACTATTTCCATACCATGGATCAATCACGGATTGACTCAGTGCTTCTTCAACACAGTTTCCGTGTCAATAGTTGCCGGGTAAGACCGAAACGCCTCCAGGCTTATCACATGAGAAACAATGTTGTAAATGCTCTCAATTGCAGATTTCTCTGGATCTTCGGCTCAGTGCAGCTATTCATGTACCACAAATATGCCACGCCAATTAGCGAGACTACGGAAATTCCCAAATCATCCCTCTACAATTTCCAAGTGTTCCTGCTGCTCTTCGTGCCCTTCATGGCCATCGTGAGATTCCTCCTGACTGCAGTTTACTTCAGCAATCCCATCTACGGCTACATGGTAAATTAATCATGCAATTCCAATCAATTGCACAATGTGAGGAAATCCTCTCTGCAGGTCTTGAGCCTCGTCTTAACTTGCTGCATGTACATTTACTCAATTGTGCTGCTCAGCAAAGAGCGCCACTTTCTTCTGCCTTCCGTGCCCACGAGAGGACATGGGCTCGTCCTGCTGCTGTTCTGGACCATGATTTTCATAACTGAGAACTTGGCTTTCATCAACATGAGGCAGGAAGGATGGTGGTTCAACCTGAAAACGTGAGTTTACACATAACACTGGGTGGTGGAAAATACACATTGTGACATGAAAATACGACACGCGAAATGGTTTTTCACAAAATTGTTGCAAATGAACAAATAATGCGACACAAAAGCGACTAAAATGGGGTTTTCTGCAACCTTTTCGTTTATAAAATCGTTTCCGTAAGTTTTTTCTTGCATCGAATGTTCTACACGTTTTATTCAACGTTTTGAAATTACTAAAATCGAGCATAAAAATGTTATGTTATCATTTTATTATCTTTTACGAAATGTGTAGAGAAGATTCTAGAACATACAGGAAATATTCATTCTGAAACCATAATTTTTACGAGAAACGTGTAAGTAAATCAGTTTAATGCAATTTGTGAGATGGATTTCATCAATTTTGAAATGAATTACTAGAATTAATCCTCATTGAGAGCGATGAGTACGAAAAGATTTCCAGCTTAAGAACAAGAATTAATACGTCAAGATGTTGCTTAATCAATTAATCTTATCATAAAACTGCCGTATTATTTAGAGTGGCATTTTACATTTCAAACATTTACAGGCTCCCGGACAAAGTGGAAACAGTGTTCTTCGTTCTGCGCTACGTGTCCTGTCTTCTCATCTTTGTCCTCGGCCTGAAAGCGCCTGGAATTTACACTCAATCACCGGAGGACTATCAAAATCTAGTTCCTCCGCAGAATGACGACAACCAGTCGACCTTCAGGAATGCGTGGAGCAAAATTAAGACGCTGGCGCCCTTCTTGTGGCCCAAGAAGGATTGCTTGCTGCAATTCCGGGTGATTTTCTGCTTCGTCCTGCTGCTGGCCGGCCGAGTGATCAATCTCTACGTGCCGATCTACAACAAGAAGATCGTGGACAGCCTGACGGAGAAGCCGCTGGCGTATCGCTGGGATTGGATTCTCATTTACGTGATGTTCAAGTTTCTGCAGGGCGGCGGAACGGGAAGCATGGGCGTGCTGAACAACTTGCGCTCCTTCCTGTGGATTCGCATTCAGCAGTACACGACGCGGGAGATTGAATTGGAACTCTTTCGTCATCTGCACAATCTGTCACTGCGATGGCACTTGAGCCGCAAGACGGGAGAAGTGCTGCGCGTGATGGATCGCGGAACTGATAGTATCAACAATTTGCTCAATTTTATCCTCTTCTCCATTGTGCCCACCATTGTGGACATACTTGTGGCTGTGGTGTTCTTCATCACCGCCTTTAATGGGTGGTTTGGGCTCATTGTCTTCGTCACTATGTCGCTGTACATTGTCGCCACGATAACAGTGACTGAGTGGCGAACGAAGTTCCAGAGGCGTATGAATTTGGCGGACAATGCTCAGAAGGCGAGGAGCGTGGACTCCCTGCTCAATTTTGAGACTGTTAAGTACTACGGAGCCGAGAATTACGAGGTCGATTGCTATCGCGAGGCCATTCTGAAGTACCAAGTGGAGGAGTGGCGCTCCTTGGTGACTTCCAACATTCTCAACACCACACAGAACATCATCGTGTGCGTGGGATTGCTGGCCGGATCCCTGCTCTGTGCCTACATGGTGGCGTACGAGCAAGGACTCACTGTTGGCGACTACGTGCTCTTCGCCAGCTACATCATTCAGCTCTACGTGCCACTGAATTGGTTCGGCACCTACTATCGCGCTATCCAGAAGAACTTCGTGGACATGGAGAACATGTTCGACCTCATGCGCGAGGAACAGGAAGTGATCGATGCTCCAGGAGCGGGACCGCTTTCGATTGTGCGTGGAGGAATTGACTTCTCCAACGTCTCCTTCGGCTACTCACCAGAGAAGATCGTCCTCAACAACGTGAGCTTCACGGTTCCGCCGGGGAAGACTATGGCTCTGGTCGGGCCGTCCGGCTCGGGGAAGAGCACAATAATTCGGCTGCTGTTCCGCTTCTACGACGTGAGCAGAGGCGCCATTGTGATCGACGGGCAGAACATCAAGACGGTGAAGCAGGCTTCCTTGAGGCGCGCCATCGGCGTTGTGCCTCAGGACACGGTGCTGTTCAACAACACCATTCGCTACAACATCCAGTACGGCAGAGTGGACGCCAGTGACATTGATGTGGTCACAGCCGCGCGCAGTGCAGACATCCACGAGAAGATTCTGACCTTCCCCGATCAGTATGACTCTCAAGTGGGCGAACGAGGACTGAGACTGAGCGGCGGCGAGAAGCAGAGAGTCGCAATCGCGCGGACGATTCTGAAGTCGCCCTCGATTGTCCTGCTGGACGAGGCCACAAGTGCTCTGGACACTCACACTGAGCGCAACATTCAGGCGGCGCTCAGGAAAGTGTGCGCCAACAGGACAACAATAATTGTCGCCCATCGCCTGTCCACAATTATCCATGCCGACGAAATTCTCGTCCTCAAGGAGGGTGTGATTGTCGAGAGAGGATGCCACGAGGATTTGCTGCACAAGAACGGTGAGAAAGACAGTGATTTTGCCCTCCAAATCCTATAATTGTTGTCAATTTGCAGGAGTTTATGCGGATATGTGGAATCAACAGCTGCAAAACCTCGATGTGAGGCAGGGAGAGGAGGAGGAGGCCAGAGACGATCAGGGTGAGATTGAGCAGATGCCGAAGACATCGAAGCCACAAAGCAACCCACAAATTCCCGCAGCTTATAGTCAATATGTCGGTCATCATCATCATCACTAGTATTTATACGAAACTTGGGGCGAAACAGGTTTCTACCGAGTGCATTGAGGGAGTCGTGTTTTTATCAAAGGATGTAGATACGGTAGATACATATTTAGAAATATATATTAGACATGTTTAGCAGTGGTGTTGTCATGTTTGCTGGAGGGTTGAGGAATTTGTGAGGACGGCGAGCGAATTTGCATAAAAGGCAGCTGAGACAGAGCGAGAGACAATTTCACTGGGAGCTTTTATGTAGGTAAGTTTGAGTTAACAGCAATCATTTGAGCTGCTGTATTTGTCATGTATACCAATTCAAAGATATTTTCGTCCTATTTTGATGATCGATCGGTGCGAATTGACCACAAATCTGTGGAATTGAGTGGAAAGTGCTTTGTTCAATACTTCACAGCCGCTTTATTGAGCTGTTTTGGTTGTTTTGATGTTATAATAATTGCGAAAATTCGCAGAATACTTAGCACAAAACGATTTAATATTCCTTGTGAGGAAAAGCGTGGGTTTTCCGTAGGAAATTTGTGTTGAAATATCATGATTTTGTGTGAAAATTGGCCCTGTTTTCCCCTATTGTTGGTTTAAGGCAGGAATTTTTGAGGGAAGTTTGCATAGAAGTGATATATAGCAACTATTTGCAAGTACAAATCCTTACATACAGATAATCTGGGATACACATGCATATATGCGAAGGTATTGTGCGCATGAGAGTTTTTGTTATGAAATTCCGGCATTTTTACATGCCTTCAGATATGTACACACATATTTCAGGAATTTGCTTTGGCTTTATGAAGGCTTTTATCTCGAGAGCAGAGAAATCAGAAGAAATGACAAAAGCCTCGCAATAAAAGTGAAATGAAATATTTTCCTATCAAATATGATGGTCTGGATGTTGCGATATAGAGAGTTTGTGGAATCTAAAGTCGTAGTTTCATAGAGAATCACCTTCGTGATGTTGACTTCCACTTTCAAAGACGCATAATACTTTGACAAAAGAGCCCCAAGGCTCACTTTTGTGCTGATGACAAAACATACAAAGAGGACTCTCAACTTTGTACAACCGACTGAAGAATTTAGTGAATTTATCAGAGCAAAATATCGCAGATTATCCTTTGTGTGGTGTTACTGTAATAGCAATTAGGAAAATATTTTATTTCTTGCATAAATTAGCAGGATTATACACAGACAAATTGCTTGCAGAGGGATATAAAATAAAGGGACATTCACTGGATGGGGATTAGAACGTGATTTGTGCTCTCGTATCCAGTGAGGATGTTTCTAGGTGAGGGATGCGAACATATGTTTTGGTATACTTGTAGCATCTTCGGCGGGATAACTCAGGGGCGAAATCGACCCTTGGGGATTTGCCCCGAAATGCCAATAGTACATAAGAAGGAGTTGATTTATGCAGATCGCTGTGCGAGATACGCTCGAACTCATTAATAATTGGATGGAGTGCGAGTGGATGGGAGACAAGATAAGGTGTGGGTGAGGAAGAAAAATAACAATGTATCAACCACTTGTTTTCCACACTTTCACGAGCTTTGGCGTGCAATCTCAACTTTTATTCAGTCAGGAAAGTGCTGTGAAAAGCAGGAAAGTAAAGGAATTATACTTGAAAAACTCTCTTGATATGATTTATTCTATATTCTCCGCTCTCGCTTTTGCTTGTGCGAAAAGAGGGAAGCTTTATCGCTATAGTTTTATTGAAAGAGAAGCTCGTGAGGCACACTGAAGGCAAGAGTGGATAAGAATAGACCCACTTAAAGTATTAAGAAAATTTCCGTCTTTTCGCAAATTTAGCACAACGCCTTCATTCCTGTCTCGATAAACACTCAGGGTCAATTTTAGGAAATAAATTTTGGAGATTGTCTCACTTCTTAACGCACTCTATCTCTCAACACATCGCGTGAATGTTGAATTGCAGCTTTTCGCAGTTCCTCGTGGGCGAGCGAAAAAAAAGTGGAGAAAAAGGTCTAATAACAGAGCGAATGGCGGAAATTTTAATAGAACTCCTCATTCTTCTCGAGTTCACAGCGGGGATAATACAATGAACACCGAATGGTGCGTTATACTTAAATACGAGTATAATAGGGAGTTTACTGTATAGAGAGTCATTAATTTCGTTCGTGTATAAATCCACTTGTATTTCGACGCTTCCTGCGCTGGACGAGGACAGCGAATGGGGGAGAGTTTAGTCATTTAGCGTCGTAATCACTTCTGATTCTGTTGTTGTCCTCTTTCATCTTGGCAGGAGCTTTCTTAGTGTCGTGCGGAAAAAAACCGCCGCCACTCCGTGAGGAGACAAAGAGGACATCCTTTAGTCCTGAATACCTTATCTGCAAAACATGTATATTAGCGTACATATGTATGGTCGTTTAATAAAAAAAATGTACATGTAAAAATAAATATAATCCTAGTATTTCATGGTTCTTTTCCCTTTTCGCCATGAATAATTCCATTTGATGTGCCGTGGAGACAAAAGTTTTTCCTCTATGCTGCAAAACATGGTGGGACGACAGCACAGCATGCTTTCAGGAGGTGTTATCGTGCGCGTCTCTTGGCGATATTCGAGATTTCACAACTTGAGTGAGCGCCAGAAGCTGACAAGGCTGAAGATCTATTATTTTCTCCTTTGCCTCAAGGTGAACTTTTGGCTGTCGTGTGCGTCAAAATATGCAAAATGTGTGCACATCGTCAATTGTACATCTTTTCCTCGGTGTCACTCTTGTAATTACATTAAAACTTTTCCACGCCAGAAGAGCAAGTCTTATCTCAATTGCGAATAAGATGGTCTGAATTACCCGTTCAGCCATTCCCAACACCTCTCGAGGATGGTTGGTGGGAAAAAAACGAGACACGCACAAAGGAAAGTGAGGACATTTTTATCATCCAGACCAACTTCTGTGCCTGATATTCCATTTTGCCATCTGAGAAATGTGAGATATAACAGATCGTTTGCAGAAGATGGGAATCTCAGTAATGTTGCCGCAAGAATATATTTGCAGGCTTAAACACATTGCTGGGCGAGTTGACAAGGGACAGTGCGAGTCCCATCTTGAGGAGAGAACAAATACAAGTCGTACAATTTATTATTAGGAATAATATGTGAAGCATCTTCGTGGATTTAATATCTGTTTCGTGTTGCCCGAAGATAACAGCGGCTCAAGATAATAAAGCCAAGTATCACAATATTTTGCCAAAATGACGCTGATGAACTGATGAGAAAGCACAGAAAGTTCCTTGAGAAATTCTTTGTACTTTATTGACTATCTTCAGCATCTGAGTCCAAGTCTTCGATATAATACGATCGATTGTAGAGCAAAACATTGTGTTAGTCTTAGTTCACTTTCTTTTTTGCGAAGTAAAAGTAATAATAATTCTCATTTTAGCACATCAATTTTTATGCTTAAGTCCGAGAGATCTTTAGTCATGGGTAGAATTAAGCATTTACGTGTAATAAACATGGATATTCGAACCTTTGATACTGAGAAACACTGCAAATCGTGTTGAACTCTAACATAACCTCAAAAAGAGTCATGTGGACTGGAAAAATGTTGATTTAGAATATTTTCTACACAATTTTGACTGTGAATCAGCAATTTCTAGCGACTAAAAAGCCTTTTTCAATGGATTATTGCAGAAATATCGTAAGGAAACTTACGAAATTTATTAAGGGGATTAATGTGGAAATAGACTTACAAATTTCAAATTCTAGAACAATGAGAATCTTTGGATCGAATAGTATTCTGTATCAGTTAATTCACACCACGCGAATTTTCCTCAGATCAGCTTAATTATGTTCCTTTTGTTGATGATACTAAATTCTTTATCACTGTATTTTCCCGGTAAAAAATTGCTCATCGATATTTCTTGCCATTCTCTTGTCAAGATGCTATCAAAAAATGTCAGAACACGATAGTCTCACAATTTCCTTCAGCTTTTCAATTTCACAACATCGCCTTTTGCCGATAACAGACTTTTGATATCGTTCTCATTGCTTTCTTTCATTCCATTTTACAAAACTGTTCATCAAAATGACGTGAATGCTATGTATATACATAGCATTACAGGTTGTGCAGTGTATTGCCGAGTTTCCCATCAGATAGCACAGGTGAAGGCACTTTTGGAGCTGTGTTTCAGCACGAGAATTATGATAAATATCTTTAGGAATTCTGTGATATTTTCTCACCTGATGGCAACCACCCATTGTTATTCGACCCCTGCGTCCCGCTCCCAAATCCACAGAGTTTACACTGGGAGCATGGGAGACTATGTAATGGCTGGTGTGTCGATGTACTGAGAATTTCATCAGCCAGCAGCACCAATCCTGCCAGCATTTCACTCGGAGCGTTTTGAGATAATAAATAACAAAAGAAACTTCATATCTCTGACACATTTCCGCTTTATATCATACCCAATGCGAGCCACCCAAACACCTCACTCTTCCTCTGCCAGAGCCGTTGGAATTGATTATTTTTCGTCCTTCCTTCTAACTATTTTCATTCTCTCATCCTCCTGATGTCTGGCGCTCTTTGGCAGAATTTTACCATGCCAGAAGACAAAGAGTCGTGCTTATGTAATTCACTGATTGATACAAACTTCTGTCAGCCGGAACATTGTACGAATGTGTAACATAACGAGCATCTTCATATGCTTGTTTTGCTATTCTGTGATGATGGAATTGCCGCCTCATCCCGTCGATCTCACCTGATTATAATTGGCAGAGTTGCGAATTTAATAGGATTTCTGTACAGTTTTTTTGACTGTAGTTTCTAAACTCTTCGATAAGCGTAAATTGCTATTTGCCCATTTGACTTTAAACCATCCCTTCCGCATGCAAAACGTGAATTTCAATTTATTATGGCCTTTTTGATGTTCCCTGTCTTGCTTCGCATTAGCCATTTGCTTATATAGAGCAACATTAGCGTGTATATATTTCGCGTATACAGAATTTATGAAGCAAACGTAAATATTGACTGTATAAACGCAAATAAAAGCACAGCGAAATGATATGACAAAGGTATGGGAGACACAACATTAGGGGCAACCACTGAAGGGGTGCCATCGGTGAGACTATCCAGTGGGAGTTGATAATCAAAGGGCGGTATGAATATTGCATGCGTCGGAGGGTGGCTTCGCCAAAAGCTCTCTGGTGTGTCACCCCAAATGTATTTATGCTAAATGATGATACTGTATTTTCTTCCCTTCGCCGCCCTTTCGCACAATTCAACGGAATTTGTGTTCAATTTGTTTTCCTCCTTCCTGGCACATTTCCGCCCACGCCACTTTCCCCTAAATATGTTGACAATTCACCACGAATTACTCGATGAATGATTGAAAATTATATTGCTTGTTTTATATTTATTGTGGCCATTGAGTCGATATGGGTCGCAAAACAACAGTAAACAATTCAAACTTCCTAATTCAACAGCTCAACTGACGAAGTTTTATAAAGTGTCGACTGAAAAATGACGTAACAATACACTTTTCTTTCTTCATTTCTCCTCCCAGAGGTGCAGGTGATAAGTCAGTCATTATTAGCAAAGGAAAACTAATTAATTAGTTTACAACATTTATCATAGCGGCAAAAGTTTCGTATGTCCAGTGACAGAAAGCACGCTTTTGCGACGAGAATTCACCTTCCTGGCGGCGCGAGGGTGGAAAGGGGGTTTGTTTGGAAGTGGCTTTCAGATGTCCCAGACACTGTTCTGCTCAACGGTGCCTGAAATTTAATAAACGACCGTATTCATCAAGTGCTACGGAATGCGTAGAATTTTCCTTTTCCTCCCAGCGTCGTTGTTTCAATATATGACATGGAAAATTGGGTAGGGATGCGTTTTCCAGTCGTTCCCACCGTACAATTTCGAGTGTAATAGCAAAATTGAGAGGGGTTGGAGAGGTTGTTTTTCCTCTTTATAGTTATAACTTTGGGTCCCCATGAAAAACAGAGTGAAAGGAAAGTGGAACAATTAGTTGCATAATTTGTACAAACCACGTGAGGCGGCAATGTTTATTTTGATGGGATGAAGCACCCAAAATAAAAGACATTAACGGTACCCTTTATGTCAGGAAAACAATAACAGAGCTGCTGAACGCTATAGGCGGTGAGCGAAAACTTTTAGAAAATTGTCAACATGGCAACGGAACGGGTGATACAAGGAAAAGCAATTAGAGTAGTATAATGTGCTGGGAAATGGAACGGGACTTGTTGATAAGTGGACATGTTGGGAGGCAGCGCGGTATTTTCTATTGTGGAATTTGATGTTGCCTTTATGAACGGACTTAGATAAAAGGGCAAAAGTTGCTGTAGGAATAAAATTTCAAGGCTTCAATGACGTCTATGACTATCTCGCAGTTTGACGAGCACTAATGTGCTTTCCAGTGAGTCAGGGTCGGAAATTGGCAAATATGTATTCCCCCAGAGTTGATACTTTTTCCACAAAGTTGAAGTACTTCCTTTTAAATTGCTACATTCATTAGATTCTGTGCGATGAACACGATGTTCTCTCCACTCGTTCATTCCTATATGAACGAGAAAGTTTGAAATTTTAATTTTCTGCCCAAAGCAACGCTAGCAATTAACTATTTTTTTCCTGCACTGTGAAAATGAAGTTCCAGTTTGCTTTCTATACTATAGTTTCATTCTAATTTCAAGTATGTGACAAGTGCGCGATAATAAGAGGCGTTTTAGGGCAATTTCCTATTACCTCTATTTGTCTGCGCTTAATGCCGAAACACGAAGTGCGTCTCGTGTACATTTTCCAAATCACAAATTAACATTTCGTATGAATATGGAACATACACGTTAATTCGACTTCATTTAGCTTAGACCTTAATTCAGCATGTAAATCAAATTTGAAGTAATTTAGAGAAACAAGAAACATTTTCCAGAGAAACATACAATTTCCCATTTTCCCTCGTAAAAGCGATGAAGCGAGGGCGAGAGGCTGAGAAAATCCAATTTGGCCTGACTTTATAAGTTGCGGTATGAATTTGTGGGAGGTCAGAAAAATATTTTTATAGTGCTGGTGAAACGTGTCTCGTTGTCCTCGCACACGTCCTCTTGGCCTTTGATAGTGGAGTTAAGAGTGCTGTGTCATGTTTCCTCATGAGTACAGCAGTAATCATAAATTGGCAAAGAGACGAAACAATGGCGGCGCTCTTGGTACATCTCAATTATCAGCTCCATTGGAACATAACTACATTTCGCAGGAGCTCGGGAAATTCCTGAAGAAGTCCTCACTGCACTGCTACCACTATCTTATGGAGCCCGAAAGGAGTCGCCTTGAATTGTAAGTCACATTCCTGGCATTCCTGCTGAAATGCTCTAAGCACTTCTTGCACACTTTGCCCAGAGATTTGCCCCCGACAAGACAAAGGCAGACACTCACCAGAATGCTGATGGATTGGCAAATCTCTGCAGACTCTGGGAATCCAAAACTATTTTAATCTCATCCTTGTCTCCATATTGCTTGTGCTCGAGTGCGATAAAAGTTTCCAAAAATATCAATTCCCGCTTTCAGCTGGTTCTGGATTCTCATTCACACTATCATTGTTGTCATGTGCGCCATAATTGGCATTAGCAGTTGGAACAAGTTCACATCCAATCCCCTCGTGACATCTCTGCATGACACTCATTATCCTATTGAGAAGGTGCCTTTCCCCGCCGTCTCCATCTGCAATAATAACAGACTCTCGAAGAAGGCATCCCTGGAATACGCCAAGGAATTGTAAGATATCGCATTTAGTCGAAAAAAAAATCAAATCACGATATAATCTCTGCCCACTCAATATCGCCAGAGCTGAAAGGGACCCTGAGAGACGTGATGTGGATTATTTCTTTGAAAAAGTCCGCCTCCTGGGAAAGCTGCATGACTACGATGTGGATGGAAGGTCAGATTTCCTGGCCTTTCATGAATTGCTGGAGAAACTCTCGTTCGCAAATGACTCTGTCAGCTTCGACATAATGAAAATCATTCGAAAGGTACGGCCATCAGTGATGAGAATGTGTTTTCCACCCCCCACCTCACGCCCTCCCGATTGTTCCAGCTCACGCCGCACTGCTCTGACATCCTCCTGCAGTGTCTATGGCTGGGCCAGGAGCAGCCCTGCATGAATCTCTTCTCTTTCAGGCGCACACAGTACGGTTTTTGCTGCACCTTCAACTACATTCGCAAGGACAGCTCGGAAGAGTGAGTGTTATTTGTTCTAATTGAGATGTGAATTTACGGTTATTGCGCTGCCCGCACGGCAAAAACTCTCCGCTCACGTGGCTTCTTGCAGTCCACAGAGGATGGTTTACTACACGGACAGCAAGTCTTGGGATATGGGATTGGTGGTGACATTAAACGCATCCTTAGACGACTACTACTACCCAATGTTCAACTTGGAGGGCTTTGTAATCACTGTTTTTGGCAATGACGAATACCCCGACCCATCTGCTGGTTATGTCTCTGAAATACTCATATCCCCGGGCTACGAGAACTACCTCAAAGTGGATGCTTACTCGACATTTGCGGAGAGGAGTGTCGCCAATTACGAAGTGGACACGGTAAGCAATATTTCGTGGAACACTTGAGCCACATTCCAACCGAACATATCGATCAGCCGGCGTGTTGTGTCCAAATGCTAAATACATTTGGACCATTTCGACCATTTGGACACGTACAGTGGCCGCAATTTCCTTAGCGCTCCCTTGGAAGGCCCAAATTGACACACATATCGAGATGAATTGCATGTAATTTCTATATATTAGCACAATTTTAGGGGAAAAATAGGACTAATATGGAAAAATTAGTCCTTAAACTGTCGATTTTAACTATTCTTTCCTTGATTCTTTCCCTAAAATTGGGTGAAAATACGGAAAATACACAAAATTCGTAGCGATAAGTGTCGGCATTGGGAAGAATTCAAAATATTATCGCTTTTTCAAAGTATTTATTGAATCCACAGATAAAAGTTTTACAAAAATCAGTTAACAAACTCTGCGAAAAAATCCAATGATCTCAGGGATGAAATTTATAAAATTGCACCATTAAAATTTTCATGAGTCGCGGTTGATTTTTATTCCAGATATCTAAGGACATATCATGGTTTTAATGGCCTTAAGTAAACTTCAGTCGCTATGCAACCTTTTTGACTTCCTCCCAAATTATTCACAACTTTTCATTTTCTCTCATTAATTCTGAATACCATGAAATGAGTTTTTTCTCTCCCTCCTTTTGAGCAACAGTGAGAGAGAAAAAATCCAAGCTCTTTAATTCCTTCATGAGTATGAATATTTTATATGGCAGTCGTTGATATATATCCTGGGGTGCCCCTCTTAATGTGCCCGTAAGTGAAGAGGAAAAGCATTTACGGAGATAATTGATTAGGTCTCCTTACTCATATTTGGGATTTAATATAAAATCTCCCTTCCAACACAGAGAGGCTGCCTTTTTGACGACGAGAACAAAATGATGATGGATGTTGCGTATTCCCGAGCAGATTGTGTGGTGAATTGCAGGATAAAGAGTATCATTCGACTGTGCGAGTGTGTTCCATTCTTCTTGCCACACGCAGAGAGCTTTCGGGATGGGACGCACTGTCGTGTGTGCGATCTGCAGGATCTGCCGTGCCTGGAGAAGTACAAAAGTGAGTGCTGGTCTCGTTTCTGTGCGAATCCATTCCATTAATGATGATTTTCGCCGGGCGCAAGAGTCACACGAGAAGGGCACAATTACAGGCAGTGGAAAGTGGGCGGGGAATCGATGACAAGGGAAGCGAATAACAATGATTTCCCCAGACGCTTGTACACAAAACTTGATCGATTTCCCCGAAGACTCACAACAGTTCGCACATTGCTTTGTCGCCCTCTGAAGCTTGCGTGTGCACTTGCTCTGACACTTCTTTTACATGCATAATTTTCAGTTAAATGGGCAACAGTTGTGAATCAATACGAAGGCGTGCTGAAGTATGACATGAGAGAGGTTGAGGAGTCCCTCTATTGTCCTGATTGTCTGCCGAAATGCTCAGATACCAAGTACAAAGTCAGCACGGTGAGTTTGCCTCTCCAGAAACAATTCAAAAACTCCACAGCACTCCTGTAAGTATGCAGAATTATTTATCGTGGGAGTAACATTCGAGGGATTTTTTTTCGCCTCCTTGCATTGGCAGAAGCGGAATTGTAGACGTCTCATCAATATCCACAGTGAAAATCTACTTCGGCTCCGCTGAGGCTTGGGTGTATCGCCAGGATGTTGCGCTGTATTGGTTCCAAATATTTAGTGAGTCCTGGAAATTGAATATTGCTTCTTGACTTTGCATAAATTTGCATTGAATACATTTCATAAGGCTTCCTTGGCGGAATAATTGGATTGATGTCAGGATTCTCCATCATAAGTATATTCGAAGGAATCTGGTTTCTGCTCGGCGTACTCTTTCACATCGTGCAATGCAAGATTAAAGCGTTGCTGCCATCAAAGAAATCTCCAGAGCCATTAGTGCTGAAATTTCATCCTTGAAGCGCGCACAACAGAAAGTTGCACTCTAATTACAACTTATGGCGACATGTGATTTCTTCAAAACCTCTTCAGCGCACTGCAATGATTCACAAAAGGAAAGTACACACTCTCGTGATAGCGTTCGATTGCATGGCTTCAATATCGAATTCAATACGAGAGGACTCTTCAAAAATTCACAACTCGAAATCTTCGCAATCTCTATTTATCTTGCGACTGGCGAGCTTTATATGGAATACTCCATGAGCTACACAAAATGATAATAAAGCCTCAATTATATTCCTTTGATCCCATTCTCGTTGCGACTCCACAGAGTCGCTCTCTGAAGTTTTAATAATGTACTTGTGCGTCATACACGAAGCAAAGGATCTCTAAATGGAATTCAAATGAGAATTTTCGGCTACATGTTATAAACGAGCACTGCAACATGTCATCAAGGATTGATGATTTGGAGGAAATATTTGGCGAAACGCTGGCAATCATTACAATCATTTCCTAGTGTATTTGATTAAATTTCAGCCATTGATTTAGTGTAATTCTATCTGTGTACAAACACAAAGTCTGCACGTGGAATGTCAATAAAATTTTCCACAGTATTCCATCATTTTTCCCATTGTGCATATTGATTTCATTTATTCACTGCCAATAGAAGTTAGTACAATTCATTACATTGAGCCTGGCTGCGATTCATGCTAAAATTTCATTGATATGAAAACCTAATAGTGTGCTCGAGGGTAATAAACTTCATATATGTATCTCCCAATAATGCTGAAACACACACACAATACGCTGTGTTTTCCGCATTTTCTCTCTGATTTCATCCAGTGCAGAGCTGGAATTTTAAATTTTTCACAATACATCCCATCTTGCTTCCACCATTCCAACGGAATGCTCAATAAAACCAAAAGACCGTTTCTTTTCCCGTTTAGTAGACGCGCACCCATTTTCATTTATAATGTGGATGCTGCGAGTGTACAATGAGGGTTGAAATTTGAATAAAAATTATGGTGGATGAAGGCAAGGCGCTCGTGAAATCCAATGGAAAACTCCTCCGCCATTCTCTCTATGTATAATACATGCTGTACAATTGAACATAAATGCACGAGGCGCGCACATCTTGCGTGAGGCGCCCGCTGAGCATCGACGAGGACGTCTAGAGCCAATTCCCCAGGTGGCGCACAATACTTTTCACCATCCATTGTAAGCTCTCCGCATTGTCGTGCATTTAGGCATAATTGCTTGTCCGCTGTGTGGCTCGGAAAATGAAAGCTCTCCATTCAGACTGCAGATTTTCAATGCTTCGCTGCTGAGGTCCACTTATGCTAATTGACAATTGAGAAGGTGCAAGTGTAGATAATGATGATAATCACTATATTATATTAAATTTATTGTGTGCAATTAGGGCAAAGCGGAGTCTTAATTACTCGCACAGAAGCTTCCAATAAACTGTGTAGATTCTAGAGACAGTTTTCATCTAGGAAGCTCTATTCACAATTGACATTCAATATCATTTAAAGCGTGTCATTACCGTTTAAACAGGGAATTGTCCAGTGTAAATGATACTTTATATTCCTCGTCTAAAGTAGGCACACCTTCTCCTATAATAACACATGATATTTATGTATGCTCAACGCTCTTAAATATTGCTATAAACGCTACCATGTGAAATGCGAAATGAGAATTAACGGAAGCACCAACAATAATCGTAAATCACATAATTATTTCATGTTGGCGCACATAAATTTGATGATGGGAAGTCAGTTTGTGGTTCCCGGCGAAATTAATAAAAATAACGAAATAAGCGAAATAATGATGAAATGCATAAATCACTCGCAGTTTCAACTCAATGATATATTAAAGTTCATCAAGAGAAGTATAATCGCAACACCTTGTGTTGAGGGTGGCTGTTCCTTAAGCATGTGCAGGGAAAATGGATTAAAGTAATGTGGCAATAAAAGCACTCGGGGAAAAATATAACGACAGAATTTATTTGACACAAAGGAAGCGAGCTGAGAAAAATGAAGCTTCGCCCCTTTGGATGCCGCCCCATCGTAAATATATGTACATGGAAATAAATGTTACTAAGAGTGGAAAAAGGGTTAACTAGGGGATGAAAGCTAAACATCTACGTTCTTGTGATATTTCACGGAATATTTGATTCACGCGCAATTTTGCTGGGTGGGAATCGATAAGGCGAGAGAAAAAAAAATGAAAGGAAACCATAGAAAAGTACAGAATTTGACGCTTTTAATCGCGCACTTCTGAAGAATTCCCAAATTAATTGAGAAATTCGTGGTGATTGCTTCTCGAGTGGAATAGAATGGATTTGATACCTGTGTGCGTTCAATGTCTAAACTTGGCAGAAAGCACACGATCAAAAGAATGGTTTTTGGCGAAAGATGAAAGCAGAGAGTCTTGCCTATTTCGGGCGAAGGCATAATTCATCAAACAACTCTTTTGTTTATCCGAGCGCTATTCATTCCCCCAGTCATTGAGTTGTGCGAGCACAAGAACAATCCGCCGAGTCCTTTTCCATCGTCGATTTCTCCTGGCGGGACGGCGGACTTGAGTCGGAGCTCTGTGTATGAAGTGTTTTGGTGTGTATAAACTCGCTGCGAGCGTATCCTTTGTAGGAATTTAATTTCAAAAGTGTTGCGCGAAAGTGTATGCGAAATGTGGAATGCGGAAATTCTCCGTTTTGTATTTTGCATCGAGTTTCCCCAGGAATTGGGCGAGAGGAGCTCACAAAAGTCCGCCTCGTGGCGATATATAGTTGTGTGCATACATAGCCTTGCACAGGGTGTGTTTGCGCGCACATAAATGCGTGACACTAAATTGATCTCCCGCGGTGCTGCTGATGGGAGGCTGATGAATCAATTGTTGCGAAATGAAGTGTTCCTCCCACTCAATCCACACATATGTACATATGGCAAACACTTTTCCGCTGTTTTCCTAGTTTCCGGGTCATTTCTCCTCTGTCATGTGCCGAAGCTTTTTTGTCAAGCATCGCGCGCGCGTTGTTTTTGCTCCCTTCTTCTCTGGGCCTCTAATTTATTTATTCGCATTTTTACGCTCCTCCACTTTCACTCGTCATTCCAATTTTCCTTTGGCTTTCCAATCACTTTTTCTCGCATTCCCGTGAAGTGGAGGAACGCCCGCATCGACGGTGGGTGTGGAAATACAGAGAATGCGACTCAAACTCACGTTTTCAAGTCGAGGGTGGCGATTTGTTTTTGGCGTGGCATGACAAAATACATCAGCTTTCCTATGTAAATCATGCACCATGACAGCCTGTCACGTGCTCCTTCGGCAAACGTGAAACAATATAGCGTGAAAAAATCTGGGAAGCTTTCTATGAAAGTAATAACTTGCAGAATACACACGATATAATATTTATCTGTGGGTGGCTTGATGGGTGTGATATATTGACGCTGCTCAAATTCATACATGATATGGTTTCCGCCTTAAATTGCTTTTGTTATGCTCCAGCAACAGCATTCTCGCATGCTTCCGCCCAAACGTAAATAAAGATGGCAAGAGACTTCTGGCTTTTGGGCATAAAATGCGTAAAGGTCAGCATGTTTGGGATAATTCAATTATATTCTATAATTTATTTTCATACTCATGAGAGCCTCGTGAAGGAGAATGAGGTCAGAGAGTAGCGTTATTTCCTGTCAAGCGGCGCTCTTCTAGGCATCGCTTCTGACTTCTCATCAAACCATTATTTCTAATAGCATAATAACACATTACTGGCAAATTCCCACGTGATTTAAGGCTGTGAGACTCTGCTAATAGTCACTCTTATGGACTGGCGGAATTGACTCGATCATCAGAGTGGGTAAATTTTCCAATTGACGCACTTTCCTCACCAGAAATGTACATAAATTCTGAACTAACATTTCAGTTCGGCGCACAGGCAAAGGACTCCATAATTGAGGTTCCGCTCATTCAGATCGAGAGCAGGTGGAAGTGTGCATATATGGACAAATTTGCACAGTTATCGAGAATAGAAATTTGCAGTGACAGCACGATGAGCGTCTGTCCAATGTCCCCTTGTGGAGTGATGGCAGTATTTAATCTCCAAATAGACAGGACGAATGATGGAAACCCTGTCATGTTTTCCAGGTGTTGCCCAGAGGGGAAAAGTATTTGTGTGGGATTTATTTATCGATATGTAAATTGATGAAATGGGAAAGCAACATTTGGCTGGAGAAGCTCAAAAGGTCGCCATTGAATATCAATATGAGAGAGAGAAAAAAAAATTCAATGAAACGTTATCTTTTATGAGGAAAGTTTATAGTTCTTTGCCAAAGTGTCTAAGAATCCCTTTTCCTTTCTTATTCGTCTCAGTTTCGCTTCCGAAAAACTTTGCAATTTATATTTAATGAAATTTGCATGGGAAACTTTGCTGTAATTTATTGATTTCGCCTGAGTGTGAAAGGAAATGATAATTATGTCGAAGCAAATGGCAAAAATTTGTTTATATACACATTCCGTATCATTGAATTCAATGCTGGAGGAATAAAAAATCATTGCGCTATTTTCACATGGAGTAAAAAATATATATTAATTGAAGCTCTCTGGGCGAATATCTTCGTCCGCGTTGATATTTTATATGAAAATTAGCATTTTGTTGTTTCTGTTTTTGTTTCTCGGGCGAAAATGCCCCAATGAATTTTCCACATGACTACATATTTGGTGGAGTATTATGCAAATTATGAGAAACGAGCAACAATTTTGCAAACCATCCCACCCACTTTGCCACCCCATCGGGGAAATTGAAAGTATATGGTATGTCGTTTTCCATTAAACAACTCATATCCTTTCCGCTGGCCAGTCAAATGCACTGTTTTTAGGTGTACACTGACCAACACGCTATAATTAAATATTTCATGTCATTTTAATCGAAAAATTCTGTACTGAATTTCAACATAAATTGCTGCTGTTTGTAAAAAGACTGTTAACACAATGTAATTGCATAGTGCACAAGTTGAAAAATATTCATTTAACCCGAACCAATTTTGGCACTCCACGCGTTTGTATGTATCTTGAGTAATGGCGCACATAGGAATAAAAGTCATGTATTGATGTGTCACTCGGGTGTCCTAAGCGTGCTATGTACCGATGAAATTGCCCGTAAAAATATTCATGTTAAATTTCCAAGTGAAATAGCCGGAAAGCGGGAGAGCCAGTGAGGTGAATCCGCCTCTGAGAGCATTGGAAAACAACTGGAATTTTATAGGTTGTGAAAATTTATGCTTATACCTTCCCCAGTGAAAAACCCTCCTTTTTGGACCTCTTTGCGAAATCATAAAAGTAAAAGCGTTCAATACTTTTTCACTGGTGGAATATTTCGTGAAAACATATTTTTGCACCAATTAATTCAGTTTACATCTCAAGTTCACAGAAAACTGCTGAATGTAGCAAATTTAATCCACATTATTCTCTCCTCGCACACAAAGCGCTCACATGCTCAAATTTCCACCCCACTCGAATCCACTCGACCTTTTACCCGGCTTTTGCTCTCAAAAGACCTGCTGAAATCCAGGATTTATGCTTTTGCTTGGCAAATTTAGAGATTCCAGATTTCACTTAACATCCTTCACCCTTTCAGTTTTCTCAAAAGGCCAGTGCAAAAGTGGTATTGGAATAAATTTGTAATTACCAGCACAAAATGTACAATATGTTGCTGAATCCCTCATGGAAGTTTATGCGAATGAGGATTAATTTCTCTATCATGCCGAGATATACAGTGTGCGGATATACTTTTCAATTACACTTGCATAAAGTTTGCATTTCATAGTCTATTTTCATTCAATTTGAGAGCACTTTCATCCACTCTTATTTCCTTTAACTCCATTCTTTTTCTTGTCTGCACACGCACCTCGATGCTATGTTGCAATGAGAGCAATATTGCATTCAATGTCACTTGCTGCTCCCAAATTCGCTGAAAATCCTGACCAAGTCAAGGAACAAAGGGTAACAGAAGAGACAAAGAGGAACTAAAAATGAATTACAATGCAAAATTATAGTTTTTCCACTAAATTCTGGCACTGAGCCAAGGATTCAGTGGCACTTCTACTAAGGAAAATGATACTACAAACATTTTTCTCAATTCTAAAGTGATTATTTCTTGAGTTGCAATTCATACAATAGACGAAATTCGGGCTTTGTTATCTTAGACTTTTGTCCAGTGCCAAATTTGGGGCCGTATTTTTGGAAAAACTCAGAAAAACAGCAGAAAGAAAGGCAAGTCTGCGAATGTTATGTGCTTTGATTTAATCACAACTCAGTAAAGGGTTAAATTTCACGTGCTAAGAAGCCTCCTTTCCCCCATGTTGAGCATCAAAAACTGCCACTGAGCACTCTGCGGATTCCCTGCACTCCATTTTCACAATATATATTCTATGGTGTTCGCTTTCCGTAGCCCAAGAGCAAATATTCTAATTACTCGACTTGGTTAACTTCACTTGTTTTCACAATGTCTAGAATTTCACTCTTCCTTTGTTAGGAAACCATTACAAACAGACAAAAAACTTTCGCAGAATGGCACAATGTATATCGTTTGTATGAACACCCGCCCTTTTGATTATAGCAATGACGATGGCATGAAAAGTATTACGGATTTAATATTGTAAAATTAATTTTCTTAATCCGATTAAAAACTAATTTAAGTTATTTCCATACAGCACAGAGTGCAAATTAAAATGTTACATATGAATCGAGAAGTCTGATAAATGAAAGATTAACTTCGTGACTTGTCTGAAATAATTATTCAAATTATGTTTATACATAAGCTACTGCGAATTCTACGGCTGCAAAGTTTGCTGAACATCCGGGGCGGCATAGAGAGGGGTGGTTATTTGTGGAGCTCTAAGTAGGCAACATTTCTATGTTGAATGTTTTTAAGTTTTGTGCGACATGTAAATTGAGCCTCTTTGATTTCTGCGAACTTATTAAACTGCAAACTCAAGTTACATTACTTTGAAGGATTAAATTTAAATAATTCATGAGTGCATATTAAATGCAGAAGAAAACACGATGAAATGAATAAGGGATAAGAAAAACATTCAACCCCTCATTCTTTATTCGCCTCCCCCGGCGAACATTGGATGGGAAAAACATCCATCGAGATGCTCTTCGGGATATTATAAGTAAAGATTATGTGACTGTCTTAAAAATCTGTGTCACTTCGACAACCCATTTTCGGACTTCTTGCCATTGGGCAATTTCTATAAACAACACTCTGCACATAATCGCCAAATCCTGCTGATGCCTTGCCGTTGGCGAGGGAAAAGGCAACTCCTGGCATTTACTGTGTGAATCCTCTGCGCCATACAGAAAAGTTGTCATATTGGCCGCTCTAATGGGGTACTTGACAAAGTTATTCCATGAAATAGTTGTGCGAAATTTTCGTCCCATCCAAAGCATTCACACTCTGCGCATCGTGATAATTTAATTAACTTCAAATCTAAATCTCTGCGATGAAATTGAATGACTATTTTTATCTTTCGCCACGCCAGCGAAAGATGGTGAACTTTTTGATTTATTGAAATAAGTCCGCTTGGAGTGCTTGAGGAGTTTTATCACAAGAATTCCTAGATATTTCGGCGCCATCAAATAAATTGGAAAGTTGATTTCATTGAAACGATGCTGTTTTCTCGCCAAATATCATTGGGTGCGAAGAGGGGCGCACAATCTTTTCTACTACATTGAGTTTAGTTATGCTAATTCCAGTCCAACAATCCCCTGTTGATAACCCTTAGCTTTGCTTATATTTTGTACACATTTTCCATCGAGCGCTCTTATGTAAAGCGTCCCTGTTTGCTGATGATATCTGTGAACGCAATTTAGATGTGTTCAATAAAATAAACTCTTTATTTTGCAGTAAAACTGCCTGGTATTTTCACGACGTTTTACTGAACTCGTGTTTTGAAAGTTCATTGACTCGTTTAAGGACATTTTTTCCTCATTTACTTGAAATTTGTCAAACTTAATCCTTCCATGGGTTTAAATGAACATCTAAATATCCTTTCATATTTCATAGTTTTATAATTTTATTGAAATTTGTGATAAAAATTTGTGTGCAATTTATTTGTTATAGAAAAATTTGTTTGCCAATTTTAATTTAATTCTTTTCATTGGCGAAAAGTGGCGAATTATTTTCCCAAAAATATAGAACATCTCGTCTGTTGAAATATTGCAGTGAAAACCCGAAAAAATGTCACAAAAATGAGTGGAAAGAAATCAATTTAATCCCCATTGGTCGAATTGAAATCATAAAAATAAAAAGCTCCCCCAAAAGCGTGTGGAAATAAAACTTATTTCCCCTTCTCGACGTGGGTCGCAAGGGTGCTGTAAAATTATTTTTTATTGCTTTATAACCACGTTTTGCCATAATAGTGGTTTTGTGCATTGGCTTTTTGGGTTGATTTCATATGCTGTGCAAGAGAAACTTACCAATAAAGTTGCCAAGGCTGCGAATCTGTGAAGTGTCACGCAAGACAGAATAAAAAGCAACTTACACTCTTGGAAAATATTTATTCACACTAATGAGTATTCATTACAAAATCTCCGATGATTTATCAACATTCTTTCCAGTGTCACTCACATGATAAACACAGAGGAGATTACACATAATGTGACATTTAGAAATGTTAAAGATGCATCCAAAAATTTGTATTGCTATTTATATGTGTATAAATATTGTAATAATAGTAATTCTTAGAATTTATAAAATGTTTTACCGCAATATTTGCTTTGATTACTAATTTTGACCATTATATAAATTATTTGCCATAGCAATTCTAAATTGGTATCGCCGTGTATCGAATTCGTTACATCAAATGCAATCGATATTATGCGTGCGCTTAATTTGAATACATTTTGTAAAATATTACCAGACAATGTGCAGCTTTTTCCCAAATATCCTATTTACACTGCGTATTTCGTATTGTAGCTAATATTAACCTTTGGAATATGGGTGAATACGAGTATGTGCACGTATAAGAGTTACAATCGTCGAATTCCACTATAAACCATTCATATTGAAATAGAGAAGAGCGAACATCAGTCCTGATGTCAACGCCTGAGGGTTATTATTCTCCTAACTTAGTTGTAAAATTCGTTAAATGAAGTATCGAAGTTCAATTTGAAAATTCCACGAATACAATAATATCGCTTCATATCTAAATGCAGATCATAAACACACTCTAAACACTCAATTAGGAAAATTGTAGTTAATGTTATCGCAAAGACATCATTACACAGTTTCTTTAAGCGTTGATGATCACGTCACGTTATTCATCAAAAAATTTACAATTCAGTGCTCATTTCTCCAATTATTGCGCTCTGAAATGGAATAAAGACAAAACCATTAGCAAACAAAAGGAAAAAATGAAGTGTTGAAGCACAGAAAATACATAAAAAATAAAAAGAAACCATAAACTTTACATATAATACACTTAAAATGAATACTAATCCCAATACGCTAATCACCAAAACTAAATTTTATGACTTATAATAGTGTTTTGACTGTACTTTTTGGCATTTCGCTGTTAATGTGATAAGAAAACTTACCGTCTACTTTGCATAATTGGAGCGAGAATTGTTGCAATTTGATCATTTGCACATATGGCTTGAGCTTTATCCTTTTTACCAAACACTTCAGGTAATTCTCCGATATTTTGGGTCTGAATTGTCATGTAAAATTTATATATTTTTATTGAATGTTTGAATAAATGTATTTAAAAATCCATTGCATGCTTCTTCGTGACTTTCTCGCATGCGAAAACCTCTTGTGGCATGCGATCAATAACAAATATCAAATAAATTGAGGGTATCTTAGGGGCAAAATAAAAATGTGGATGTAAGAATCTTAAGAAAAAAAAGATAAAGTTTATATAGAAATCTTTGATATTTTGATAACTTTCAAAATCTGAGAATTGTGGCGTAAAGCAATGAGAATGTATATTTCTCAGTGTAATTTATGTGTAGAAAATCAAATCTGTGTCAATTTCATTGTCTAATTTAAGCAAAATATTGAATTTATGTGCTTCACAGGGCGAGATCATTGCTGAATTGAATCAGAAACTGGTAAACCACAAATCTCCGAATAATCTCGATGAATTACATTGCATATAATGCAATATATTAAGCTTTCGCAGTGCCGAAGTCATGCCAACCCGCATCATTTGTGCGCGCGTTCTCGATGCAGAGAATCGTTTATGTGAAATAATGATTCACATAATTGAGTGATTAAAGAAGCGTTCGGTACAATGTGGATGTTCAGTGTGTACTGGAAGATTTAATTAATGACAACGATAACAAATTTTCATCTAATACCTATTCATGTGAGCTGTAAATGAAATTTAATCATGCTGCATGTCTGAAGGGCGGAGCCATCGTTCAGGGACTCACAGTAAATTAAAGGTGTACCCAATCCATCCAGTGGTAATCATTGCGTGGATGCTTTGAAAATCTGAATGGAAGTGCTTCTGTCAAGCTCGCAAATAAACGAGGGGGATTTCGAGGTGTTCGCTTTAGGATATTTTTTGGGGGAAATGGGAAAAAATGAATTGGAAAATCATGAAAAAAATCAGTTTGCCAGAATGTCCATATGTGCAAAAATTCAGCAACAAAGCATGAAAGGCGGAAAAATATGAATATGAAAACAAAGCACAAGTGCATAAAATGCTTCACACAATCGCGATTTCTTCTTAGTACTTTCTTTTTAATTACTGAGAGAATAAGTTGCGGAAGTAATGCCAGAGACTCATTGTTGAGGCTCTTTGCGAAAGACGAGATCACACTAAAATATTACTTAGAGAATGTCAAAGTTGTGCGCTGTGCCGCTCATGCATTGGTAATGGCTTGCTGGTGTACTCACATTGTTGTAGGGAGATCTATACTTGATGTGGCTGGCAAATCGATTGGCTGCTGCGTGTTCTGGATCAAGGTAAAGCAGTGGCCCCACCGTTGTACCAGAAGCCGATTGATTTTGGGGTGGAAGCGTTGTGTTATTTACATTAGTTCGCTGCAGCTGATCTGCACCCAAATGATTGTTATTACTAATAAAATTGTTATTGTGCGCACTACTGGAATTGAGTGTTGCGAATGTATTTGCAGCGCTGTCAGTCTTATAATTGTCCAGGTAGTCGGTGATGCTCGAGACACCGGAGATGTGAAAGGCCGCCAGTTGGTTTTCCGACTTCACCGACGCCAGCTTTCCGGTGCTGTGAATGCCGGCGTTTGTGTGCAATTTCGACATGTGGCGCCGATTTATCGGCACGCCAATGTCCGATTTTGTGCCGCGCGAGGCCCTCATCGAGCCGTGACCGTCGCCGGCCGGTGAGGCCGTCGCACTTATGGGCGATGCGAACCCACCACCGAAACCACCGCCAGGGATACGGTTAAGACTAAACGTGTAGTGGAGGTCGTTGTGATATACGAGATTACTCAGCAAAGATGTGGTACAATTGTTGTTAGCGGCGTGGTAGTTATTGTTATTATGTACAGGAACCGACGCGGGTGTCTTTAGGTTAGACTGCCGGTTCGGGTGAACCGGTGGCTTCCGATTGGTACTCACTGAGTGGTGATGACTGCCCGTGACCGCCTGACCGCCAATCTTGAGCTGACCCGAAGTCACAGAAGCGCCAGACGACTTGTTCGTGCCGTACTTTGTACTGTCGCTTGACCTAAATACACACGAGTTAGACAGGCAAAAGCGCAACGTCCGCATTCCTACCTTTCTGACGAATAGGCGTAGTCTTGGTCCGCTCCCAGGCCAGAGTCTGTGTGCTCATGCGATACCCGTAATCCCGAACCGTCCAGTGGGCTGAGACTCGATCCCGACGGCGATATAAAATCGCCCATACTCAGGCTCGACATCATTCTGCGCCAGACAAAATTCCAACATAAATAACCGCTGAGATTAGGACATTAGCTGGAATCTTACCTAACAAGACCAGAGTTTCTCTGGTCTGCATCCCTATTTGAGCTAATCGTGCTTGCAGACCTTATAGAACCATCAATAATGCCAGGTGATTCGTTCGTTTCCGACAAATATATTCTAAAAACAAGAGTTGAATGTGAATCAATTGCTATTCATGACATCTACTTAGCTCCGCCCACTCCAATGCTCCGCCCCTTTTATTGATTATATCATGTTCTAAGCAATGGAGAAACTCATGAAGTGCCCTGTAAGACACAGCTGACACAACTCAAGCAATAAAAATCCTTTCGACAAACAGGATTTTAGTGAAAGTGCCTCAAAACTATCTCACTCTCCCCTTTAAACTCAAAATTTATATTGTAGTAACAGCAGAGAATTTGTAGGAATGTCCATTATAATCTGCAGCTTATCTTTTCACCACGTCTTTGGAAAATGTTTCTGAAAAATGCTCAACATCTCCGTGTAAGCCTTATTGACTCTCAACATTGCACACTGCTGGGGAAAGCAGGACTGCTTCTGTTTGTGTGTATGGAGGGAAACTCTGTCGATAAGCTCACCGGATATTCGCATCCATACAGTGCTTTCATAAATAACAGTAAACACCCCATTTTCACTCATGCCCGCGATAATGCTGTGCATGTCGGGTGGTGGCTTAACGAAAAATTTTATATGGGGTAAGAAAGTCCCGAGATAATTGAAGACATAAATTTGGTAATGGCGTTGGCAATGCATTTACATTTAATGCTGTTAATATTCAATTTACTCACCCTCGAATCCTGTCGACGCGGTCCTTGTTCGTGCCGCTCTTGTGCACTTTGAGGGAGTTCGTGGCGGGCCGCTTTATTGAGCTCGTCTCCACCACTGTGTAGGGAATCTCACGGAGTTGGGCGTCGGTCATGCCGGTGGTGTCCACTAAATCAAACTGCAGATGCTTCGCCAATTCGCTGGACCATATTTTCGAGCGGCTCTCAGACGGAGACCTGCGGAGTCCCAACATAAGTATGCATCATGCCCCATTTAAGCGGCATCTTGTGCTCCGCAAACTCACCTGTGCTTGCGATGTTTTCTGCTCCGATGGTGCGAATGCTCGGACTCGCCGCCGTGGTGTTTGGGAACGAGATTGCTCTTAATGACTGACGCCTGTTGAATGGCGCTGTAGCCATTCATTTCCGCCTGCTTCCGCTGCACCTCTCGCCATTGACTGCCCGAATCAATTAGCTCCACCGATCCTGCAGACACGCGGTGGCCCGAGTAGCTCCTCGCCCTCATGCTGTCATTCTCAGAGCCGGAGTCGGTGCGGCGGTGCCTCGATCTCTGGCGTCTGTGCTTCCGATGGGAATTGTGGGAACGCCCCGATCGGCCAGAGGCCCGCGAGAATTCACTCTCATTGTCCGACGTGCGTCTGTTCTTGCGCCGCCGACACGATCGCGAGTCGTTGGAGGAATGACTCTCCACGGAGCTGGACCTGAACCTGTGCGCCGAGGCGTCGCGGGAGGCGGATCGCACGGATCTGGGACTCGCGGTGACGCCGAAGAGTCCTCGCTGCTGCGATCGCACCCATGGGGCGCTGCGTGTGCTGCGTGGCGAGTCCGGAGCGCCCGTGCTTCTTTGGAATGACTGTCCGTTCATCGCCGCCGGGATGCTGCACGCCGAGCGATAGAGCACGTCATAGCTGAGGTGAAGAAATTAACTCATTACAGCTCCTCGAACAACATATAGACACAATTGTATTACTTCTGAGCCGGTTGTGGGATCGATATTGTCTTGATCTCATGCTTTGCCTGCTTGGCGGAATTGTCAGGTGACTTTGCGTCCAGCAACTCATCGACTACTCTCCTCGGCTGTCGCCGCGACGGCGTCCTGGTGAAGGCAGGCGGAGCTCTTCCGTGGGTGAGAGCATCTCGGACGGCTTGCTTCTCTGTGCGACCACTTCAAATGGGAATAAATGAGCACATAAATGCTATGTGGCCACATAATTGCGTACCGTGACAATGTCAAAGGCGGAGGTCTGGAGATGAGATCAAACTAATAATTGGGTAATGCAGTCAAGAGGATTACATCAAAACCCCATCAAGGTTTGCATATTTCCCTCCAATTCGCCCCACACTCTCAACACGGCCAGAGATACAATTTCTTCCTCCTGCACAGCCAGACGCCTTGTAGTCTCTCTCTCTCTCTGTCTCCCATGTGATTTATGATATACACACAAAGGTATAAAATTACTTTCCCCCCTTTTTGTCTTTTGTGCAAGATTGAAAAATGATAGATAAATATACGCACAAAAGATAAATTGAATTTTAAATCTAATTACCTGTACCGGAAACGTGATCCCAGTGCAAACAAGTCAGTCGTCCCTGCCTGAGGCTGCATCGGCGCGACTCGCACCAGTCGAAAGAAGGCGTGATGCTCAACGCAGCACCGCCATAAATGTTTGCACGCAGACTTTCGGGGTGTTTCAAAGCCATACGTATTCACTTCGTTCTGTTGTGTCGTCGGTGCGCCAGGAAATAGGAATAATGAGGTGAATTAGCTGTTCATGTTTAATTAACAGGCACTGAATTGCAGGAACTTTGCTAATTTTGACCAAGAAGGAGTATCTATACATTACGCATAGGTATTTATGGGCGTTTTGAGGAAAATAATGGGGTGTCTGAAGCGAAATTTAATACATATTGCTGAGATATTTGCGCAAGTACACGCAAGAAACACACGCTCAGACTCTATGCTAAGGTGGATAAATGTTCTGAAGGGATTTTTCTAAGAGTACATTATAAAAATACTCTGTTAAGAGACCTTTCAGCATATTTTCCGACAGTATTAGTGTGCTAAGGCGAATGTCACGCAGTGTATGCAATTTTCTATTGAACACTAAAAGGACTGACAGAGATTACTCACATTTTTATCACAGACCCGCAACATGAAGTACTTCCCTTTGAAGTATACTTTCGCGATTCTGGGCCAATAGTAGTGCGCGACGGTGGTCTTATTTCGCAGCACGACGATTCCGCTTGGTGTTAAGCCGAGAAAATACTCAACGCTGTCTTCGCCCTGCGGTTTTTGGTGAGGCGGAATAATTGGAATTAGCAAAATTACGTGTTGTGTGTGTGTGCATGAAGAAAGACGAAATTACCATGACGGGATGCAAATCGACACCGTACATATCGTGCCATTTAACCTTGTCCAAGTAATTGAGTTCCGCCGCCGAGGGTGACAATCCCTTCAGCTGTTGATGTAGTTCCGCCACACGACTCTCAAGTTCTCTCGTCTGATTCGAGAGAAGTCGAAATTCTGACACATAGCCAACGGAGTGTCGCCGAGGATCGTAATCTCCCAGTTCGGCTGTTTGTGGGAATAGAGGAAGAAGAGGTGTAAAGTTGTGCGGTTTTGTGGGTTTTGGGGAGAAAATACAAAGAGGAAGAGCATCAAATATCCTCACATTGCACAACATATGCACCAAGTTCCGCCGCCAATTCGAATGAGACCGGCAGACGTCCCTGCAGAACATCCTGTTTCACTTGCAAAAACAGCTGGTAGCGCGTAATCTCCTCCAGCAACTTGCACGGATCCGCAGCATAGAATTTCACACCGAAGTACAGATCGTACGCCTCGCAGGAGCCCTTCAGCTGACGCGATATCCGTGACAGGGGATCCAGCCAGTGCTGTTGCGGTGACGAGACGACAATTTTCAATTTCAATTTGCCATTGACAAAACTTTTATCACAGCGTGGGAATCAATTGATAAAGCAACATGTGCGATACTCACGGTCTGGTTCTCCTCGTCCAAGTAGCGAATGCCAAAATAAGCCGTCTCGATGAGGTTCAGGCGTGAAAATATCACATCCAGCAGCGCCTGACCCGGCAAATCGTCCTGCGTGAGAAGAAAGCCAAGAGTCACATGAATATCACAATGGAATGGATTAATTTTCCCAGCAATTCATATTTATAAATCACGTATTCTCACACATTCAGCCCCGGGATTTGACCGTATAATTTAAGGAACGATGAACTCCTATTTCACTTGAAAGGCATATTGATTTTATTATGCAACTCACATCATACTGAATAATTAATTAACTTATGCTTTCTTATTAATATGTGCAATTTTAATGAGAATCTGCACAAGTGTAGAGAGATTTTCGCAGTGTTTTGTAACTTATTCATAAATACAGAGCTTTATACGAAATAGCAAGTTGAACTCATAAAAATCTGTTCACTTTAGCATGTATCTGAGCACACAGAACGATATATCTCCCGTGGCAGAGAACAATATTTATTTAATTGCTGAACAGTGGTCGGAAAGATTAAGTCAAAGTTCCCATTAATATGAGGAACAGTGAGAAAGGTGAGATCAACAGCACTGAGGGAGAATGAGGAGAATCAGGAGGTTTTCATTTAGTGAAACTTAATTGAAATTTTAATAGAAATTTCAAATTACCAGCGTCTGTTGCTTGCGTGTGTGTACAAAGCACTCGGTGTAGAATATCTGGAGGTGCATTTTAGTGATGCTACCTCATATATCATTTAGCTATTCCCAGTGTTCACGATGGAGGAAAACTTCAGCCACACAGAGAGAGAGATGAAGTCTCAACATTTAAGGGCGGCTCATTGATCGTAAATTATTCCCCGGCGCAAATCTACTTAAGTGACATATCTCGTCAGTGGAATCTCACCAGCATGAACTAAATTGCCCCCACTGTGAGATTAATTGGGATTTACAGATCTCTGTTACACATTCACTGGGTAATTGATAGATAGACGGCGAGAAAGTAGCAAATTGAAAAGTGGAGACGCCTGGTTGTCTGAAGTAATTGCACTGGAACGCAACTGTTATGTACACTCTATGTACACGTAAAAATGCGAGGGAGAATTTGAGGTCGTTTCACTTCCTCAATTTCGCCGCGAAGGTGTTGACAGAGGGCACTGAGAGTCCCCTTTTCTCACTTAATTTACATCAAAGACATATTAAGAAGGAAACGAAGCGGGTGTTGATAATAGTCTTGAGCTAAAACACCAGCTCGTTGCCGTAAAACTCCTCAACATACTCTGGCAGTTCTTCACTTTTATATAAAGTAATTAGGTGTACAATGTGATATAGAAGAGGTGTACAAAATTTGAGATCATGCAAGTTATTGGAAGCTTTCATTCATTGTATCTCATATGAATCGCGTGTACAGAATTGGCCGTTAAAGTGAGAATTGATTTATGGTTTGAAAATCTCATACGTTTTCTTATGCTTTTAAGTGATTCTCTGCACACTATTAAAATATTTACTGCACATATTCAAGTTTGCAGGATCCACCTACAAATTACACGGGTGAAAACACTTGATAAACCCCATGCTCTGTCCGAGCTTGTGACCAAAGAGATTCTGTGGGAACGATACGAGCGAATGTGTGAAAATATGTTTGTATAAGTTTGCCACAAGCTGGGATCGAACTCCTTGGCCAAACTGCCTTTGAGAAACTCAATTGAAACTTCTACATGCTTTTAACTGTTGCCCTCTAGCGGCAATATGTAGCAAAAATTTTCAATATTGAAATTATAACAAAATTTTGATTGAATATCCAGAAGATATTCAAAAATTCTAGAAAATCGTCTGAAAATTACAATTATTAAATAAAAGATTGTATATTAACGAAGTTAATGGTCTGAATTCACTAGTGAGTCTTCCTTTGAATTCAATTCATTTATTTCGAAATGAGAAGTTAGGAAAACCCAAAGCTAGATATTTGATATTCCACTGAAGACAGTATCTGTGAACATGCGGCGAATCGTGCGGCTAATAAATAAGTTAATGAAGTCCAGAGAGTCTCTAAAAAGGGTGTAGAGGTAAATAAAAAATTATGAGCTCACAATAGGCGAGATAATGGAAAACAATAAATTGTAGATTTGATTTACGACGTAATTAAAATCAAAAATTTATTCCTATGTCGACCTATTGCAAATTTAAAGATTACGCCGCACTGTCTGAGTAACAACAGAAAGGCAGTAAAGGTAAAATGTGAGTGCGATTAGTTCCACATTCTGCATAAAGCTTCCCACCGTCGCTGCGCGATGTTTGCGTTTGTCTCCATCTGGCAATTGTCGGAGGTGAATGAAAATGGTCAGAAATGCTGGGCGCTATTCATAATGTTGAGAAGTAACAATTGTTGATTGAGGATGTCGCCTTTTGTTGGTAATCACATAGACAGAAGGAATGCCAGTGGCAAAATAGATAGGGATTTATTTTCTGCTTGCTTATCAAGATTGCAGAGCACAACATCCGGAAATGTGTTGTATTCCAGCTCTGTTCACGCACAATAGACTGGGTTTTTCATTATTAATTGTACAGCGAAGTGAACTACATAAGAAAGCAAAATTTTGACAAACCAATTTAACAACGTTTTCTTCGAGCAAACCCAAAATTAATCACCTCAACCATCATATCTCATGTTCATGCCTTTGTACATTTGTTACAATGAACATTATTTGGTCAAATAAATCAAAAGTGAGGGGCCAAAATTCTTAAGGTTCTCTTATTCTTCTTGCGCTCTCGCATTCACAGAATTCCTTCAGTCTTGAGCTGAACTCTTTTTTCTCTCGCCACTGGCCAAGAACACGTGTCGAAAAGGCTCAGAGGCGCCTAGAGTTAAACTGAAGGGAAGTTGGCGAATTTTAACACCTTTTTATTGTCTCTCACCTTCCAATTTGCGCGTTTCATTTTTGATGCAAGCAATGATTTATATCCTCATTGTTTGGCTGTGATAAAGAATATGCACGCTTACTGTAAATGCAGTAAATGGTGCTCGGCAGAGAATTCAACACCCAGAGAGTAATGGTGCAGAGATTGAATCATCAAATACAAGAAATTCAGCATGGATGGGAAATAATACTCCTAGCCGACGAGGGAAAAAATCGCGCACTGTGTTGCTTTATAACCCGTAAATTTATCCGGAAGATTGCGTGAATTGATATTTTTACACAAAGTGGAAGAGCGCGCAAACTGTGTGAAAATTCCGTGGCGAGTGTGGCAAACATGAGAAATGTCTATAATTTCCGATTAAAATTATCTTATTAAACTCGTTTTCACATCTCATTTATTTAATTGATTCGATCCGATTGTTCAATGCGACCCAAGAATTGCCCAAGACTCTCAATTGAAGGTACAACAGAAGATGGATTTGTGAAGTACATATAAGGTAAATTGCTGTGAGCATAAATCATAATAAAGCACTGTGCGCTTCACCTGACTTACCTATGCTTTTGATGTGCACGTTAATGTATAATATTACATAAAATATGGCACATAAATAGATGGTATTTCAATAAAATAAATATCGTGTGCACGAGAATGTTTGAGTGAGCAAATTATGGTTTACACACAAACAAGGAAAAGCTCTCTTGCCCTTGCTTTTTCTGCACAAAAAAGACACCATAATAAACCACGCTGGTGTATCACTAAATATGCGTTTTTTTCTGCCGGAATCTTCTCCCCAAATTTAGTTGTTGTGTGATTTTATGGAAAATCAGCTCATTTATGAGCATCATAAATATTGTTTAAACATCTCGGCACTTTTTGCCCGCCTTTTTTTTGCCCCGTGAGTTGCAAAGCAAGAGACACTGAAGTGTATTTATATAATTCCCAAGGTAATTTCTGAGCTGTTCTTCGTAAGTAGTTTTGGAGTTCAAAATTGCCTATATTGTGCATTTCAAAGTGCCTCCAACAATAGCCAAAGTTTATCCATTATGATTGCCAATTAGTTGCTTTAACCCCATGAAGGTAAATATTACGTGGCATTATATTGAGAATACGCGAGTTGATTGATTGTATTGAGAAATCAATTGGTGTGCTCGTGAGTGATCAATGCCAGGTGGGAGTTGGAGTGACGCGAGGTCCGAAAAGCAAGTCACTCTTCATCCAGAATAGCATGTCATCCATTGTGTAAAGGTCAGACGAAGAGAATAAAGATCTGCGGCGATTTAATCATTGTGAACAGCTCAGAATTTATATATCTACATTTGCATATATAGGCAATAATATTTGTGCTAATTACCCGGAAATATGAGCGACGAGAACAGCGATTCGGTGTCTTTTTGCGCGCGGCAAATCATATGAGACACATCACAAAAAAAACGTGATATCATAATTCTTATGTTGGCTTTAATTAAAATGTAATTCCGCGAACATCACATTTCATCGCTGGATGTGAAACGAAGTAAATTAAAAGTGCCTTCATTTGAAAATTGTGTTTCAATGATGTTTTTGTCACCACACGGACTTACTATTAGTAATTCCATTTTTGGTCATTTCATTAATTACATTGAGTGAGGGACATTTTTTTAATTATCGGCCCAAAAATGAATACTTTGCGGTGGAGGATTAATTAAAAATATTGCTGTGACAGTGAATTTGCATGTTTTTTTCTCGCAATATCTGGGCAAAGAGCCTTTAATCTCTCATGGCAATTGCAAATACGAATTGGAATTATAGTTGAACGGACATTACATAGTAAAAGCTAATGGCTGCAAAAGAGTCTCATTAAAAATGGTCTTCCGAGAAGGTTGGCAAAGCCATTTAATAACATTTCCACCTCCAGTCGATGGAAGATAGAGTGCGGAAATGACGGAAGAAGTGCGTTCTTTCTGAGCGCGTACGAGGGGCTGTTCCACAGAATACAACATGAAGCATTAAAAATTAATTACTAGCTACCAATTAGAGGGACTTGAAAGGTTACATAATGCTGTATATACACGGATAGAATACCGTTTTCCGGAAGCAAGACGCAATAAAAATAAAGTGTGGCTCCGCACTGGAGTTTCGATCGCATCGTTTGTCTCATTTTTGCTAGATTTTTCTGATAAAATTCACTTACAAATTGTGAGAAGTTTTTAATGTGGGTGTTTTCACATAAACTTCCACAATTAACTCTGCCACTGTTTCCATGTCAACGTGCTTCTTTCACAGCACCAAACTTTCACATCATTATCAGCAGCAGGTGAAGTTCAAATTCTCCCCTTTCATAAGTACATGTCATTGTAAGAACACAATATCAAGACCAGAGACTTGAGCAACAACTATATCGAGCGATCTTTACTTCAAATGCAAATCCAAAGTTGTGGAGGCAGAAAGCCGGTCACTTTCTCAGGCACAGAGTGAAAAATTAATAAATCAAAGTCCAAAAACAATGCCTTAATAGAAGAAAAAAAAAACGGACTTCATGAATATCCAATTCAGTCTTTATATCGATTTCTCTGTGTTTACACGGGAAAAAATCTGGACCTCCCACATAAAAGTTGGCAACTTTGTGTCCAATTTAACATAGAAAACAGTCCAAAACACCTCTGGAGTTGACACAAAATGCCCCAACTTTTTGCGATCCTCCAACCCTTGCTACATTATTAATGCCAGTGCGAATGATTCCTGCAAAGGTAGTTGAGAGCGAAGCGTTTTTACCATACTCGCATAATAAATGTACGGAGCGGCTATAAAACCTTTTACGACCCCAAGGCTTCAAGACTCTACTATTTTCGCTTTGTTCCTGTGTAATATCTCTTTTCGCCTTCGCAACATGGGTTAGTATAAATTTCTTATATTGAATATCGCGTATTAATATTATATGCTTTCTGAGGTTTGTGAAATGGGGGGATTTTGTGAAGATATAGTGTGCACACGTAAATATGTTATTGTGTAGGATATTTATTATTTTCATCTCTTTTGTGTCTTGCTGAATTTATCTTACCTGCACGGTCATTTATTATGCAAATGCACCACTAATTGACGGCTATTGTGAACATTACTGTGAGTCAGAGACCAAAAACCGCAGCAAATCAATCAAAACTTGCGCACAACATTTCTCTCATATGGATTGATATCGCATTAAAGTGTGTTGAAAGAGTTTCTGCACATGTGGAAGATTCTGATGTGAGTTTATGGTCTCAAAATGTGAACAAACACTCGCAAGAAGAGTGACAAAAGCCAAAGAATTGCCGCCAAAATGTGCACACTTTTTGTCGTGTTAAAAGGATTATTTAAAACAGCAAGAATTTAATTGTCATTGGTGTGAAAAGTTCTGTAAATATCATGTAAATTCAAAGACTTACAAGTCCGCATTGTCATTATTGTTATCATAAAATTGTGAAAAATACGACTGTCTTACGGAAATTCATGGAATGTCTTCCCACTATCCATGGGACAATTGAAGGAATGTGTTAGTAAGACAAGATGCCAAAAACATCCGTTATTGTGACATATATTTTGAGAATCAGTCGCAAATTCCACTCGAAATGGCGGTGAAAAAGAATTGAAAAAGCCAGACATAATTTAAAGGTCCAACATTGCGGTTTTTCCGTCTCACGCTAGTTACAATTGATCGCGTATGGAGTAAATAAATTCAATGATCCGTAATTGCAGAAGGGAATGCAGATACCATGACGATGGGTCAACATATCAGGGATTCACACACAAAGTCCGCACAGCGGAGATTTACCAGGAAATTATATAATAAATAATCTGCTATTGACGAGTTAATTCGTCTTTATTTTCGTACGCTCGACTAATTTGCTCTTCAAACGCGCTAATTTCAGTGTACTTTTTGTTGTTGCTCACCTCCATTCTCGCTCATCATTCCAGCATTGAAAGAGGAGTGTCTGTATTCTAATAAAGTGAGGAGAGATTGATTGTGTGCAAAGAGGTTTTCGATGATGTCATTGACCAGGTTGGTGAGTTTTTTCTCTCCTTCTTCCTAACCATGGCGCGGTGGAAGACAAAAAGGCCGCGCGCGCGAGGTGAATATGTAGGGAGAAGGGGACGCAAATGTGGAGGTATATCAAGTCAATAATCTGGGCACTGTCATCTCTCAAAAAATTCTCCTCAAACAATCACAAGCTTGACACGAGGTATTAAGTTTTAATGGCTTTTTGCTGTTCTCCTACAATATCGCATCGCCTTTTTCTGTGCCTCGTCCCTGCAAAGCTCCTCTAATTGCGAGCCCCTGACGCTGTAATTTTTCCCGTTATCGCGCGTAAACCAATATTTCCCGGCCCCACGAATTCTCTTTTTCACCTATATTTCCACGCAACACTCGAGGAATCGCATTTTGCATACGCACAGAGAGCACAAGAAAGCAATCTCGTGGCAATAAGATTAGCCGGCGAGCGGAAGGAGGGCACTCTGGATGGGAGTCCCGGTGGAAAAAAGTAAAATGTTATAATATACGTGACGTCTTGTCAAGCACTCGGCATAAGTTAAATAAGAAACGTGTGTAACAAGCGACCAGGGGGTGCAATAATGCATAACCATCGGATGCTCTACGTGCTTGTCGTTTTCACTTTTCTTGTTAGCGACTGCAGAAGCTGGTGTGTTGGTGTGCCTACAGCATTCTGCGCTCGCCGGAGCCAAAGAAGACGATCTGCAGAGCCAGATCTCGGCACAATATGTAGCAACAAATTTGAACTTTTATGGGAAACACGATACGCGATGCAAGGAAAAAAGTTCGCATGGGAAGATGCGAAGGCCTGTCGCGACTCTGTGCATCAAAAGATGGGAATCAATTTAAGGAATAGAGAAGACGCAAAAATTTTGCAGGCAATCAACTGAAATTGTCTTAGACAGAATCAATCCGGAAAGATTACAAGTCACTGTAACGGAATAAAAATACAGTTTGCTCTTCGATTCACAAAGTTTCGTGTTTCTTCGCTGGTTCACTCGAAAAATTAATTACACATATCATGTTCACTTGATGCAGTCTTGCATGAACATTGATATACATTTCATAACTGTTGAAAACACACACAATATCGAATAGTTTCAGTCAATTACCTTTATTTCATGATGAAAATCCGTTTCGTCGAGCAACACAATTCTCGTGGAGATGATCTTCGATGATCGACAAAGGCAATCCATATTGATAACTTTTCCAGAGCACACGAATGATTTCTTTCACTTGCTGTGCACTTCTCACTTCACATCTTTCACTCTCCTCTGCGCCACACTTTCGCCAAATCCTCTGCTCGCAAGAGTTTTACAATAAATAATAAGCGCCTTCAGAAATTGGAGCACTGCAGTGGAGGAAAGACCTTCTCACTTTTTTGGCGTGTCGCTCTTGAGTCACTTCCAATTTCCTGCTCAAGCGCGAGCACACTTGCACTCATTTCTGCATGGTGGAATCAGAGTCGAGGTTGTTTTCTCGCCCAGACAGCAATTTTTGCATTTGCACAGAACCCGAGCGGAAAGTTCGAAGGGGTGAGCAGAGAATGTCGTCCGCAATCAATTATCCTTGTCACTGGCATGAAGCTCACAACACCTGATGGATATTCTACTTATGCGCCCATCTTGCAGATGGAGGACACACACAATGAGCGGGACCGAGAGGACGAAATAGCGATGGTCTTGCAAGACGTTGACGCTTCGGTGGGCACAAATGTACACGCTTCTCTATCGCCGGAGACAAGCAAGAGTCTCTCTCTCGTCCCTTTTCGCAACTGTGTGTCGCCTAGTGATGTTGATGAGTGAAGAGCATGAAATATTTCCTGAAAAGACAAGAAGGACGTCGTAAATACTCCAAGAAAAATCTTCTTTATTCTCCTCATGCTACACATTTTCCCATTTTCCCCAATACATATTTTTTTTCTTCCTTTAGGACCTTTTTCATCAAAAGAAATTGAGAGATGAAAGTATTAGGGAAGGAAGCAGAATTACTGTTATATAGCATACATATTTGTGTGAAAGTATGTACTATAAATTCATATTTGAACCTTATATCAATTCTGCCTGTATTCCAATATGTTGCCTTTCAATGATCCTGATATTTTCAGTCCTTATGACCACATTTCTTTAACCCTTTACCGCCGCAAGAGGTGAATTCAATCACAAAATTGCAGACGATCTTAAAATATCTCATAAATTTGACCTTCTATTGGCAAATTTCTAAGCCAACAATATACATAACATCATAATTGGCTCTCTTTAAGTATACGCTTGAGCTATATTTGAGTACTTTGCTAAGTGCTTTGCCTTCGAACGCACAGCTAATGCTTCTCTTTGTAACGTCGCGTTGTGGAGGAGAAAAAAAATATCTCAATAAGTTTTTCATTGTTAATATTGTGGTTTCTGTTCAGACATCAAAAGCGCACCGAGGAAATTATCTTTCAATGCCAATTCCAAAAGCCTCCTCCTCCTTTTTGCCCCCTTTTCAACTATTGAAAAGGAAATTGCTGTTTTATTTTCCAACAATGCCAAACTAAACGCCAATGTTTGTTGTCGAATTTTACTGTCTTGCGAAAGAATCAATTTCAATATATGTGTGCAGCTTCGACAGGTATAGCGCACAATGTAGGTGCTCTTGGTGAAGGATTCGAAACTTTATTGCGGAGATTGATTTAGAAGCAATCCGGCTGTGAAATTTTCAACAAAGTTGTTCAAACAGTTTCTCCCCATTAAAGTTGGTCGTTTTGGATTAAGGAAAACTGCGGACGTTTTATTTATCTATTTCCCAAGCACAGCAATGGTTTCTCATTAGGCATTTAATTGGAATATCATTCTTACTGGCCTCAACAGTGGGGAAAGCTTCTCGCAATCTTCGTTCTAGTCTTTCTAATCTCCATACCAACTCAATTTCCACCGGAGCTGTCTTCCAGTGTGTGTCACTGTCACATGGGCGTTTTGGAACATGAAAACTTGTAACTGCAGAGTTGGAAAATGTTTCCCTCAACTATGATGGTAATAAAATGTTCAATAAGTTGCAAATTGTGCTGAATAGATCTGTCAACAGTTGCACATTATTTATTTCCTTCACACACTTTTTCCTCCCTCCAGCATGACAAGAAGACAGAGTGCAAACGAGATCAGAAAAATAGTCTTGTTGAATGCAATATTGCAAAATGTGTATTTTCATATTGTCCACGGCTCAAGTCGAGCTTCAGTCGCCGTGATAAACAGGGACAATTTACATGGGAATGTGGGTGCGCTCAGGGATGACTTGAGCCACTCTCTCACTCTCTGCTCTCTGGCTTCCGATGGCATTCCCGAATTCCACAGGAATGGCTTCACTTGCACGAAAAGCACCCAATTTAATCACAGAGTGTGTGCGAATGCGGCGAGTGACTTGGCAATTTGGTGTTTGCGCTAACAGTTTGAGGGGTGAGTTTTTATTACAACATAACTCTTATCACACCATCCCTGATGGTTTTCCTGCTCCACTCCCGGCTTGTGGCATTTTTTTCCCCGCTGCTCAGTCATCATCATTATCATTTGCAGCACACGGTGAAATAATCCCAGCAAAATAGGAGCACAGACAGTACACAAAAGTGACTCTAAAGAATACCGTGAGCGAGAAGAAACGTGAGAAAAAGAGTATAATCACTGCCAAGAACGAAAACTAAGCGAGTAGGTGTTAATTTGTTGGTTTCCCAAAACACTCGACGAGAACTCTTAATTCTTCATATGTACTCAGGAGTATTATAAAAGATATGGCAAGAAATGAAAGCGAAGACTGGGAAGACAAAGAGCAGAGCATCGGAATAGACGCTGCGCGGCGATGCCTATGAGGCTTACATGTGACGAGGGAAGAAAAAATCCCACGTAAGAAGATTAATGGTCAACACATCATATTGAAAGGTTCAAGATCCATTTGTTCAAATGATGATGACTAAATTCAACATTAAATCAGACACGTCGCATTACCTGTGAAAATACTTGCGGATAATTTATTAAAGTCACCCATGCAAATGTAATGTAATTGAACGTTAATAATTCCTCGGCGAACATGTGCCAATGCGTCCGCTTAATTAAAAGAAGGAGAGAGAGATGTGCCGATACGTGGAGTGCCAACAGCAGGGTATCAATTAAATTATTCAGCGAGATCATTCAATTGTTCCTCGAGACTCTTCGCGCAGTCTGAGAAATGTGGGTCAACTACACAATAATCAGCACCGCGCGCTCAGCTTGGATGCTGTGCCTGGCATTGTTGTAACATGGAAACCCTCTTCACATAATGATTTTTCAAAAGTAACACCGCAAGCGGTTGCTCTTTTAAGAGATTGTCTCATCATGGATTCGAGCCAATCTCAATATATACTGAAATCCGCACAGTCTTTTGCGGCCGCGTAATCTCTTCAGCTGTAATCAACTCCGGGAGTGTTAAGGAAATTTGGGCCGATGCAAAAACACAAAACTACCTTTTTTGTCGTTGGTGTAAAGTCTTGTTTGTACAGCTGAGAGTAGTGTCAGAAAAACCAATTTGCTTGCAGTCTTTTTGTAGAGAAATCCCACTAAATTACTTCAGTGTGACTAAGTTCACTCGCTGCGAAAGGTTTGTTTTTAAGGAATTTCTTTCAGTCTGCCAAATGTTGATCCCTAGCCGTAATCGTGACTATTATTTGTTGGCAGTGAGCTCTATTTGGAAATCACAATTCAATTCCACAAGTGGTTTTTGGTGATATAAATTTAGGATCTGTCGAAATGCGGCAAGAACAATGTCCATTTAGCCCCGCCCATTCGAACGCCCCGCCCATAAAGATCTTTTGTGAAGAATCCCAGCATGACTTTTCCTGTCTGACACAGATTTCTCTCAATGAAACTCAAATATGCACAACCTTTGTGCACTTTGCAATTGTCAGTGGTATTTTCTTGAAACCAAAAGCCATTTGTCATAAGTGAAATGAGAGTGCAATGAGGTGAGTCTGCACAAGAAGTGCGCTGTGTGAAATGTGACAAAGGTTGAGAGGGAGAAGAGAATGTTAAATCTGGAAATCACGAAAGATGTACAGAGGAAAAAAGGCCAGAATTTTCTTGCCAATTTAACAATGTGAGCACATGCAGTTAGTGCGCGCCAGCACACAACAATAGCTATTGCAATGCGATAAATTGAAGTTGGGGATGTGGGCAGGTGGCGACTCTATCGATTTTCATGGATATACTCTGGATATCAACTGACTTGCCATTGCGAAGGACATTATATTCCCATTGTGGAATTTTATTGCATATCATGTGTTTCATCGTGTGTGAATGTGTTCTGTGTGGCGAAGGGTCCGCGCGCGCCCCGCAATTCGCAGAGGGTTTACAATGTGGCATGATAATGCCGAGAAGACAGAGGAAGACGCAGAGGAGATTCGCGGCAATTTATGTACCAGTCAACGGAACACACATAAGAAGACATGTCACGCAGTAAAACATGAGCGGCCAACAGACAAAACAAGTTGATAAAACAATGTCCAACAAAAGTTTGAAGGTTTTGTTTTCCTCCTTCAAACTGCACATCTCCCAGATGAGCCATCGCGCGATCCTCATAGAGCGCTGCCATAAGTGCACGCCGCCGCGAATGAACTTCATCGGCTCCAAGGCATCGCGAGAGCCTTCATGTGGCTGAGATTCTCTGGGGTGTGGTGTCATGTCGCTCTCTGTGTGCCGACAAAATGCTGAATTGATGGGTGTAGATGAGGCATTTTTACACACTGTTATGAACGACAATTTTCCCCGACAAAGCGATACATTCATAACTGTCACGCTGCCAAATCGTCAACGTCAACTTCAAGCGCAGGTGTAACTTATGCGACTGATTGGACAGTGATTTACATACACGCAGTCCTTGTGATTTCCTGATGGTCACACCAAATCCCTATGAGCGACTCCAACAAGTGCACGCACTCGAGCTCAAATAATATTACACCAAAGTAAACCAACTTCACTCGGCATCATGAATAATTTACAAACCTTTGCGCACGACTCAAAGTGCAAAGCAATATTTATTAACACAGCATTTCCATTCTATCATCGCATCCACCAAAATATTCAAATCACTCTCAATTCGGGGAAAAAGAACCTCCTCTCCAATTGTTAAGTGTGTTTTGATATTCAAGCCACGAATTTCCTCACCCTCCCAAAAAACCTGCATTTAAAGTGCATCCGTCATTATGGCTCAGTTTGCATATTACAAAGTTATGCGTCAGGTTGTAAAAATGCAACTGTGAATGGGATTTTAAACACATTGAAGAGCGTGAAGATTTTCAAGAAATCTGCTTTGCATTTTCCATCCAGTTAAAACTCGTCAAGAAGTTTTATGTGAAAAGCACTGTTAATTCTCCGAAAGAAATTCAGAGCGAAAGG